CCCGAGGCGCACGGCGAGGCGCGAGCCTGAGTGATGTGAGGCGCACAAGTAAAATTTTAAAACAATAATTGTTAACAAAAATAACACAATTAAACAATGAACATCCAATAATAAAAACACTAAATTAGTCTAAATATATCACAATTAAACCAATAAAGCAACTAAAAAAATAGAACAATTAAACTAATAAAGCTATTTATTCATAAGAAAGATTCAAAAAAAGGAAAACATAAACCAAGTAACCATATATTATAAATTTATACTTGATGTCTTAAGCAAAAGCTATCATTTGACTCCAAAACAGATCCATCAAAAGATACTTAGTAGCCTACCAAATCTATAAAGTATCATAGTCAATACTTAGTAGCCTACCAAATTTATAAACCAAGCAACAAAATATCAGTTTCAGTTTTGAGTTTTAGCAAGGACTCCTAAAACTAAAGTTACCAAACAATCTTAAGGGACCTAAATATCATCCTCTTCACCAAACAACATAGTCTCATCATCGTCCAAAGTCTGAAATTTTACAGCAATTAAGATGCAACAGACAACAAAAAAATAATAATTTTAAAAAGTCTTATTCTGTTCGGTATTTCTTTATTAAAGGGTGAGGTGGTGTACTGATTCTCCTGCGGGTAATATAGCACTGCAAACTATGTTTGCTGAAGACTGATGATGATGAAGATTGAAGAGCGTACAGATTTACAGCTATACACCAAGAAGTTGAAAATGATGGAAAAAAATACAACGAGAAAAAAAATACAGGCCAGAGAAAACCAAAATATATATATATATATATATATATAGCAAGACACGGGAGAGGAGTAGATGAAGAAAAAGAAAGATGAAAAAAAAAAACAGAGACCCACAAGAACAAAAACAGAGATGGAGAAAAAGATAGAAGAAAAAAAAAAAAAAAAAAAAAAAAAAAAGACCCAGAAAAAGAAAGCTAAAAAAACACAAAACCAGATCTATAGAGAGGAGGAAGAAAAAAAAAGACCCAGAAGAACACAAACAGAGCCGGAGAAAAAAAAATATACAGAGATAGAGAAAAAGATAGAAGAAAAAAAATAAAAGACCTGAAAAAAAAAATACCAGTCTACTAGAGACCCAGAAAAAGAAAGAAGAAAATCAGAGAAATAAAAAAAAAAAAAAAAAGGGGCGAGATATAGAGATTAGAGCAAATGAAGAGAGGGAGAGAAGAGGAGAAGTGAAGAGGAGAACTGGAGAAGGAAAAAAAAAAAAAAAAAAACTGACTTGTTAATTTGATAGACCCAGAAAAAGAAAGAAGAAAATCAGAGAAATAGAGAAGAAGAAGAAAAAAAAAATTAAAAAAAAATTAAAGGCCGAGATATAGAGATTAGAGCAAACGAAAAGAGAGAGAGAAGAGGAGGAGAGAAGAGGAGAACTGGAGAAGGAAAAAAAAAAAAAAAAAAAAACTGACCTGTTAATTTGATAGACCCAGAAAAAGAAAGAAGAAAATCAGAGAAATAAAGAAGAAGAAAAAAAAAAAAATTAAAGGCTGAGATATAGAGATTAGAGCAAATGAAGAGAGAGAGAGAAGAGGAGAACTGGAGAAGGAAAAAAAAAAAAAAAAAAACAAAAACAAAACTGACCTGTTAATTTGATTAGGTGATTCCTGGCCGGCCGGACTAGTAGCCCTCTCCTCTTCTCTGCTCTTCTCTTCTCTTTCTTTCTCTCTTCTCTCTCTCTTCTCTTTCTCTTTCCCACTCCCACACATCTTTATTTCTGCTGCAGCCTTTGCTCTTTGACTGATTTGTTTTGTTGACTGTTGGGAGACATTTCCATTTTGTATTTCTGCTGCAGCCTTTTCTTTACTATATATATATATATAATAATATAAACTAAACAAGCAAACATACACGTAATACATCAAACAAATATTTGAAGGAGCATAGAATATATGAAGCGCGCCTAAGCGCACCTCTTAAACTATCCAAGGCGCAGCCCAGGCGTGCGCCTAGTGAAGGTCACTGCGCTTGGGCTAGCATGAGGCGCATGAGGTGCGCCTATAGGCGCCTTGCGCCTAGGCGTGCGCCCAGGCGCGCTTTTAATAACACTGGCTATGCTACTAAGGGATTTTCAACAATTCAATTAAGCATGCTTTCCAAGCATCATAGCTAGCAATTTGTAACACTTTAGACATAGAAAATTAACATTTATCATGCTTCTCAAATAAACCAACAATTCCACATAATCACATGTTTCATGCACTCAATTAAATCATCTAAGAAAGCAATCAAGTTAATTTAAGAACAATAATTCAAGTAGGGAAACTCACAAGGGTACAAGAAAAGTATGAATTAGAGTCCCCTACCCTAAGATTGTGCAAAACCCCCAAATTCTTCTCAAACCCTAGAATTAGAGATTTTCTAAATGATAGCCAAAAAGAGATTGGCTCCGATCAATTCGAAGTCCTCGATGCGCTCCTTAATTTACCGCAAACGGCACTCCAAATCTCCAAAAGTTAAGAGAGAGATCTAAGATTGAAATATGAAGGAAAGAAAAAAGAAAAAGTGAAGATTAAGAGGAGAAGAGAGAGTGACGGGAGAGATAGAGAGAATTGAGACCCAAAGTGCTCTCTAGACCACCTAAATGGGGTGAGGTGGGTCCCACCCAAATTTCTTTTCCTCTCTCTTTTTCTTTTGCTTTTAATTTACACTACAAACAACACATATGCACACAACTATATAAAATGCACATATGGCACATCAAATAAAATGCATGAAATGCAAATGGACTCATTCAAAATCCCCGGATGCAACAGTACAAGCAACGGGCCCCACACAGGACTATCCGGTCCGAAAAATTGAAAAATGATCATCTTTACATTTCAAAGAGTTTTAGACTCAATGAAATATCCCAAACAACTCTAGGACACAGCCGGTACACTTCACAATGTCCGGCACGAAAAATAAGAAAAGACGTAAATGCCCCTGCGGTGACAAAATTCCAGAAAAATGAAAAAAAAGCTGAAATTTGGAAACATCACAGTGTAGTACATCTAATATGGGACGGAAGAAATATTAAGATTGTCAATAACTTCGTATTGTCAACAGAGTGGAATAATGTCTATTCTTGATAAGTATATGTAACTAATTATGAGTGTTTTGTAGTATACATGCTTACCATGTTATCCTATCATTTTGAAGCAACTAATGAAATTCTTATATTATAAATTTGAGGAATGATGTCTCTCTGTGTATGATATAAAACTGGAAGGCAAAGATTTTTGAATGTGGTTTCTTCTCTGGCCTAGAATCCAAGGGTTAACTTTGCAAGTTCTTAGTGGAAGAAATTTCGTTGACAAAGAGAAGTATAGTCAAAATTGTACAAATAAGTACATTTTATCAAATTGAATATTGAAATACCTAAAAATACCCTCAGGCAAATTTAAAATAAACAACACTGATTTCAGATTTTTTATTTTTTTTTAATTTTTTTTTTCTCTCTCTATCTCGCAATCTCTCATCAGTTATGCTAATTCATTTGATACCATTGCCATTATTTTCATCTTCTTCAGCAGAAAGGAAGCCCAAGAATCCTTCTCATTGAAGAAATTACTGATGGAGAATCTGGGTTAAACAATAGCAAATTGGCTCTCACATGGCCGCGGACTGGACTTTTTGTCAATCCTTTCTCACATTTTCCCTTCTATGCAACTGAAAATGAAAAATGAAGAAATAATAATAATACAAACTTAGAGGACACTCAAGACGAGATGTGACTATTTAGGGCTCTACTGTCTTCCAAAGCGTGGTAAGCATTAGGACATATATTACAGCAAACACGAAACAGAGAAAGAAATAGCACAACTAAAAAGACAACTTCGATGGCATGGCAACTATCTTTCCATTACATTTCACACATCACAGGAAATTATTCCAGTACTTCGATATGCAATGTCACATACCTAAACCAACGCTCTTTATTTATTACATCTCAATGAGGATGTCCAGTTCCAGCAGTGGATATACATATCTGTTGCATTCGGGAGCACTCAGCTCTTTGAATTTGAAATTGAATTTTTTTTAGTAAAAACCAATTTTAAATTCAAAGCCCTAATTCGGTGCTCTCAAACATAATAAATCTTATTATTGAATCACTTTCTTTTACAAAAGCTGGATGGATGGAAGCAACACACACTCCTCTTTTTAACAACATACAAAAAATCAAATAGATGCAAAATGAAGTGAGAAGGCAGAGAACTCTTTTCAGTAACTACTACGAGCCTCTTTGGGATTGTTGTTAGAATGTTAAAAGCACTTTTGATAGTTGATAGTAGAGTTGTTATAAAATTGTTGTTAGTAAAACACACTTATGAGTTTGGTGACAAATTGTATAAAGTACTTTTTATACTTGAAGCACTTTTAAATTTGCTTGGTAATAAATTGTCATAAAACACTTTTATTACTGATTTTACTATATTACCTTTACACTAAACATGTGCTAATTCCCTACTATTAAATATTGGGCAAAACTGTAATTATAAAAAATATAAAGGGATTAAATTGTCTAAAAAAAATTAGTTACCTAAAAACATAAACCTATACCTGTAAAGCAATTTTAAAAGCTACTATTCTTAACTTTACTTAAAGAAGCTACTATTCCTAACTTCACTTAAACGCCATTTTTAAAATTACATAGATTCCTAACTTCAGTTAAACGTGCTTCTTTGACGTAAACTCTACCACCTAGCAGTTTAGTTTTTTTTTTTTTTTTTCACCAAACACATTGTACCATAATTTTTTATAATGAAAGTGATTTTCGACGACTGAGGCAGTTGGTGCTCTAGGGAGATGCGGAGATCAATGGGAGTGAGTCAGTAGAGAAGCAATCCCACTATATGTATCCTTGTGTGTGCCCAATTCTGTTGGTTCCCAACTTGCCAGGCAATATGTAACACAGTTGGTAGAGGCAGGCAGAGGCGTCTTGTTTGACAAGTCTTGCATGTAAGCAGACGCATCAATCTGCATAGCATGTGCATGAGCAAGAGCCTTGGTCGTATTCGTATACAGAGAGTTCCATACTCAAAGCGAATCCGTATGTTCACAATCTCCAACGAATTGGAAAGATGGTTGGCACAGCATTGCTTGGAGAATATGGAGAAGGAAAACAAAGGGAGAATACTTGGTGCAACACACCCACACAGTGTTCGTGCGCAATCCATATTGAGAAACATAGTTCAAGGAATGCACACTGGTTTAGAGCTTAAACGTGACTGCTGTGTTTCAGGGTATGGATCGGAAGGCACTTTACTTGTATCAAGGGTACACCAGGAGGAGAGCCAAACGAGGCCTAAGAAATCGATCATAAAATTTGGGACTATGCATTTGGAAGGATTGAATTGGCAGGTGGTGGCGGTGGAATCTTCTGATAAAAATGCTGCGTACCTCTCCAACGGGAAGATTGTTATTTCTAAAGGGTTGCTTGACATTCACAATTCAGATGCAGAAATAGCAACCGTTCTAGGACATGAGGTATATATTATTGGAATTCTAGTTGTTGAAATCCATCATTTACCATTATTGTACGTCTTTCTCATGTTCATGTTTTGTTTTTAAATCAGGTTAGGCATGGTGTGGCAAACCATGAATCAGGATTGTGCGCGACTTGTGTCCTTCTATGGCTGTTTTCTCGAGTGCCGATACTCGCAATGACAGCAAAAGGAGTATTTATGTACCTATCACGGAGGTATACCATTTGGTTCTCCCTAATTGTGATGTATTAATATGCTTAATATTAGGGCAAATTATATTTATACCCCCTCAAATTGGGTTAAATTTCACATAGATGAACTTTTTGCAATAATTTATTAAAAATGATGTGAAATGTCATATATGGCCTCACTTTTTAATGCAATGCAATAAAAAATATAATAAATGCAAAAATACAAAAATACCCCTTAAAGGTGAGCTCTCTCTCTATTAGGAGGAAGAGGCCGTTCTTTTCCGGTGACGGAAATCCCAAACTGTTTGCTGTAATCTATCACTTCGCCATTTCAGACTTCCCCACTTCGCTTGATGACGGAGTCGTCTCGTCGCCATCCTCCATATTGTTGCCGACCAACTCTCTGGTCAGCGCTCACCCCTTTTGCATTTTGGGGGGAATGAATTTTGGAGGGGCAATACTGCATTTTTTTAGTAATTTTAGGGAGGCAAATATAATATTTCATGAGTATATTACTGAAAATAAACAAATTATACGGGTAGGATACTATAAAAAATAAAAAATAAAAATCAGTAAGGGCAATTGCCCCCACTGCCTTCAATGTGGATCTGTCCCTGCCTACCCCTCATCATCTCCATACTCCTCTGATTCAAACTTCCTCTCACCAGCGACGAAGAAAGAGAGAGAGAGAGAGAAGACGACTCAGTTAGAAAGAAAAAAAAAAAAACAAAAAAGGAAAAAAGTCAACAGCCACGTGTGCCTGTGTGTATATATCTATACTATTATTCAGTGTTTCAGTATTTCAATATTTATTTATTTATATAAAAAAATATTTATTAATTGATATAAAAATAGTTTTTGTAAAAATAGTTTCTATAAAACTTTAAAAATTACCTAATAAAATCAATCACATTCTATATAAAACTCTTATTTTTAGTGATTTTTTATGGATAATTATAGTTTCTATAAGACTCTAAAAATTACCTAATAAAATCAATTACATTCTATATAAAACTCTTATTTTTAGTTATTTTTTATAGATAATTATCACAATATAACCAGCCCGGCCCAATTATGATTATGTCATTATCAGAAAAGGACACATGTCATCATCCTATTTATCCAAGAAACCTATAAATAGCAGAAATTGAGAATTTTAGAAATCCAGAATTTCAGAGTAAAATACAGAAGCTCTTCCAAAGAGCTTCAGTATTTATTTATTTATATAAAAAATATTTATTAATTGAGTTGAATTTCAGGGTAAAATACAAAAGCTCTGTCAAGAGCTTTCAGTATTTATTTATTTATATAAAAAAAAATATTTATTAAATGATATGAAAAGATTTTTTACTAAAACAAAAAAAAAAAAAAAAAAAAAAAAAAATCTATAAAACATTAAAGATTTTTTACTCAAATTTTCTATTTATATATTTATTAAGTGTTTTTTAATAAAAGGAGATCTAATTAGACAACTATTATTAATATAAATAATTATTTATTAATTGATCTAAAAAGAGTTTTTAAAAGAGTTTTTATAAAACTATATCACAAATTACCTATTTATCTATTTATTATGAGTTTTTTTAATAAAAGAAAATCTAATTAGACAATCATTATTAAGATAAAAAATATTTATTAATTAATATAAAAAGAAGTTTGAAAAGAGTTTCTATAAAACTCTAACACAAATTACTTATTTATCTATTTATTATGAGTTTTTTAATAAAATCAAATCTAATTAGACAAGAATTATTAATATAAAAAATATTTATTAATTGATATAAAAAGTGTTTTTTAAAGAATTTCTATTAAACTGTAACACAAATTACCTATTTATTTATTTATTATAAATAGATTTCCAGAAAATATAATAATTTCTATAAAACTCTACACAAATTATCTATTTTATTTTCTTTAAAAACTCTATCACATATAACTTGTTTTTATCTATTTATTGTGAGTTTTTTTATGAAAGAAATCTAATTAGACAACGATATATTTAAAGAAAATAAAATATTTTTTTTAAAGAGTTTATATAAAATTCTAATAAAAATTACCTATTTATGTATTTATTATGAATTTTTAAATAAAATATAATATAACTAGACAAGAATTATTAATATAAAAAATATTTAATAATTGGTATAAAAAATAAAATAATTTTTCTAAAACTCTACCACAAATTATCTTTTATTATGAGTTTTTTAATAAAAAAAAATATATAATTAGACAAGGATATATATATTGAAAGAAAAATAAATAATTTATATAAAATTTACCACAAATTACCTATTTTATTTGCAATGAAACTCTATCACATTAGATAAGGATATATTTAAATAGTTTTTATAAAACTGTAACACAAATTACCAAAACTTTACCAAAAATTAAGTATTTTATTTTCTTTAAAACTCTATCACATATAACCTGTATTTATCTATTTATTATAAGTTTTCTAATAAAATAAAATCTAATTAATTAAGGATATATTTAAAGAAAATAAAACAATTTCTATAACTCTATCACATTAGACAATGATATATTTAAAGAAAATATATAATAATATAATAATACATATAAATAAAATATAAATGTTAAAGAATTTGAACATTTCAGTATTTATTTTTTAATATAAAAAATATTTATTAATTAATACAAAAAGAGAACTCTATCACATATAAGTATATAACCCTTGTATTTATCTATTTTTTATGAGTTTTTTAATAAAGGAAAATCTAATTTTACAAAAATATATCTTAATAAAATAAAATAATTTCTATAAAATTGTGCCACAAATTACATATTTAAAGAAAATAAAATATAACCTAGGGTCGTCCAAAAACCACAAACTCCATATAATAAATTTTTATATCAATTTCAATCTAATGTATAATTAGTATAATTGAATTTCTATTTTAAAATTTAATTAAAAATTAATATAATTGAATTTCTATTGTAAATTAAAAATTATACTAAATTTCAAATTATCTAATAAAATTCAAATTACAAATTACCTAAAAAAATTTGTTACTTTGCAAAACTTAAATATTTCACTATTAAAATACAAAATTATTATTTAACAAAAAATAAAATATACATATTTCAGTATTAATATAAAAACATAAAAGAATTTATTAATTTACGAAACTTAAACTCTATCACCAATTTCAAAATATTTCAATATTTATTTATTAATATAAAATAAATTTTTATTAATCAATATGAAGACAAATTTTATAAGTTACAAAATATTCACCACGTTCATCGCACGTGCCTTTTCCTAGTATATATATATATATATATATATATATATATATATATTGGTTAAAGAGAGAAGGAGAGGGGGTTTTAAGTTTTGAGCATTTTAGTCCCTTAAAATGGGTCTAATTGTGTCATTTTATACATAAAGCACCAGTTTGTAAATCAACAAGAAGTCAAAAAAGGGTAGTATAGTTATTTTGCATGTAAAATGTACTCTGACACTATTAAAAAGTTAAAGTTGGCATGTGAGTGAAATGCACATCAATTATTCAAAACTTAAGTGTAATTTAAAAACAAAAAGTCCATTTATGCGGCATTTGACCTAACTTGAAGAAGGTGTTAGCGTAATTTATCCTTAACACTAATGTAATGTATAGTTTTCATATGCTATTATTTAGTACTTGTTCCAATTAACAGAACAAATTAATTTGGATCTATATTTGTATGCTTAGATTAATTACTACTGTGTCACACTCTCTTCTCATGCCTCTCTCCTCTTTTTCTATTTTGGACGATTACCTTTTTATTTGTAATTTATTTATTTTGGTAGGAGGGAAATGGAAGCAGATTACATTGGATTAATGTTAATGGCTTCAGCTGGGTATGACCCTCAAGTTGCGCCAAAATATTGAGAGGCTTGGTCATTCTGGAGAGTATTTGTTAGCAACTCACCCATCTGGACCAAAGAGAGCTAGGTTGCTAAACAAAGTGATGGGAACAGCACTGGAAATATACAAGGGAGTGATGTCCGGACACGGGGTGAAGTGCTTTGTTTGATCCAAATTTTCAATAGCCAATCAGAGAATGCCACTTCATTATATTCTTTCTCAAACTCAAACCATGTAATACTACTACTTCATTTTGTGTTACTGCCGTAGCTTTCTCTAATTCACTGGGAAAGCTCAACATTGAATTCTAGTTTTTTTTTTTTTTTTTTACATCTGACTGTTGTGTTTGGATGTAGAAAGGAAGTAACTAGATTTTACTATGTTTCCTGCAAAACTTTTACTTTGGGTCTTTTTAATATTTTTAAATTTAGGATAACTTGATAATTTTAAAAGAAGAAAATGCATTAATTGTATTTTCTCTTAAAAAAATTCTAATATTTAGAGTGTAGTACATCTAATATGAGACAGAGGAAGTATTAGAATACAGGCTTGAGGTTGAGAACAACACGTCAATAACTTCGTATTGTCAACAAAGTGAAATAATGTGTGTTCTTGATAAGTATATGTAACTAATTATCAGTGTTTGGTAGTATACTCGCTTACCATGTTAACCTAACATTTTGACGCAACTAGTGAATTTCTTATATTATAAATTTGAGGAATGACGTCTCTCTGTGTATGATATAAAACTGGAAGGCAGAGATTTTGAATGTGGTTTCTTCTCTGGCCTAGAATCCAAGGGTTAACTTTTATGTTCTTAGTGGAAGAAATTTCGTTATAACAAATAGAAGTATATTTACAATTGCGCAAATAAGTTCCAGCAATGGTTGCAGTCGAGAGCACTCAGCTTTTTGGATTTGAAATTGAAAGAAATTTAGTTTAAACCAATTTCAAATTAGTATAAATTGTATTATTAGTCACAGAAAGTACAGTGAATACTCAACTATAACAGTTATCCATGAAAAACATATCCAACATCAGTTGATGATGCAACTCGAACCAACAACTATCAAATATTATGCATTTAACAACCAGTATTCCATTAACCTTTCATTTCTGTGGAGTACAAAAAAACTAACAGTTCCTTTTTGGTTATGGTTATGGTTCTGTAAAGCCAAATCTATAATTTTTGACATACCATGAACATTTTGGGGGTAAAAATCAAGGTTGCAGCCTGCAGGTGCATATAAAAAACATAATACGAAAAATTCTTGGTTTGGTCAGAATCAAGTAAATGCCACTTTATCCTACTAAAGAGTACAAGATATGATAAGAGATAGGAGGCTACAAGATAAATTTTGTTTTGCCAAATTATTAAACATTAGACTGGGAATTGAACTGTGCCGATTCCTAAGAGAGTTATGAAAAAGTTAAAACTAGAAACTAAAATTGCTAATTAGAGCAGGTACCCGATGGATCAGCATATTTAATTATCCAGGGATGCTCCATGATCTTCTGTATAGATAGCCTTTTTGAAGAGTCCTTCACTAGAAGCTGCATAAATTTCAGATTTCATTTTTTAGAAAGGCGATTTAATCCCTTCATTTCTACCATTCCTTCAATGAGGATTTAGTCAAGAACAAACATACCCGACTAATGAGATTTTTAGCCTCTGCAGAAACATGAGGGGTGGCTGGGAAACTGAGGTCAACCTTCATAATCCTGTACATAATTCAACTGTACTTCATTACCTACTTCCATTCCAGTTGATAATATCATTCATTAAGGGAAGCAAAACATTATCCGTCCCTTACCTTCTGAATGTATCCATTTGACTCTCAGCCTCAAATGGGGGGACGCCATACAAAAACTCATAACAGAGGATTCCCAAAGTCCAATTATCAACTGCATAGTCGTGAGCTTTGTTCTCCACCATTTCTGGTGCTAGATAATCCAAAGTTCCACACATGGTGTGTCTCTTGCTACTTGATTGTACAGACCAACCAAAATCTGCAATCTTCAGTCGACCCTACAATTGCAATGTGCATTCAACTTAATATGGACATTAATTTTATGGTATCTTTGACCCTACAGATTACTTGTAAGTTCGAATGAGTGCATATATGTTAGTCTACTCTTACTAATGTCAATAAACAGCTGAATAGATGAGAGAAAAGATTGTCAAAAATACTATTTTCCCATGCAAATTGCCAATTCCTTTTCTCCCCCAATTATTCAATTCTAAACGGGTTACAGAAAAAATCTTGGTTGAATCAGTTTCATTAACTGAATGAAGATATATCAAATGTTAGAATGCATGTAAACTTGTAAAGAAGTTCTTGTGGGAATTAAGGACCAGATTTAACGTTGTTGTATAAAACATCTCTTAGAAAATAAGGGACATCGCTGTACCTAATGACCATAACACAACTGACTGAGTATGTGACAATTTTGTGTAGGCAAAGCAGTCTCCTCCTAACCTATGTAACAATTTCTGGTTTCAAATGAATTCACGTTAGGGTGTGCATAAGTTGATCCAACTTACCTGAGGCAAAAACATTTTGACCAAGCCACCAATAGAGAAAAAAGTTGGCTGAATTATTTGTGTGAGAAAAAGAATAAAAAATTGAAACTGTTTGCCAAAAACCCACCAGAAGAATATGGATTTTACCAAGTTCAATGTGTACCCCTAAAAAAAAATAATAAATAAATAAATAAATAAATAAATAAGGCACTCTATAAATGCTGGTTTTGGAAAAACAATCAGATTATAGAATTTCCAAAGCATACCTCATGATCAAGCAACAAATTTTCTGGCTTGATATCTCTGTGGATCACATGCTTCTCATGACAATAGGCCAAAGCTTGCGCAAGGCTTGCAATGTACTACATTTCACAAAATAGAAACACCAATACTTAAAAAAAATATTATAACTCAAAACTAAATAAGAAAATTAAAATTAAAGCACAAAAGATACTAAATTTCACAAAACGAAATACAAAAAAATAAAAGCAAATTGAGACCACAAAAATGGAGGAAAAATTGTTAGAGAGAGAAAATTACTGTGGCGGCCTGTTTCTCATTCAGATGACCAGTTTTTCTGAGCTCTCTATAAAGCTCACCGCCGTGTGCATACTCCAAGATCAAGAAAATTCGGTGGTCATCGTGGAACCAGCCGTAGAGTCGCAGAACGTTGGGGTGGTGAAGACTGGTCTGAATCTCCATCTCTCTCCTCAACTGGTGATGCAATCTGTACTTCTCTATCTGCTCTTTGAAAATCACTTTCAATGCTACTATGTACTTGCTCTAAAGACAAAACAAAAAAATTAAACATTTATATGTAATAAAAAAAATATCACGAAATCAGAAAGGAATCGAGAAATCTTTTTCTCTCTCTACAAATACATATATATACCTGTACTTCACGGGCGAGATAGACGCGGCCGAATTTGCCTTTGCCAAGGGGTTTTCCGATCTCGAAGTCCTGTAACGACCATTCTTTTTTAGGTTTTCGTTGTTTTTGTGGTGGAAGAAATTGGGAAGTCATTTGGCTTGGTGGTGCCAGGAATTGAAACTGGAGATGGAAATGGAAATGGAAGAAAGAGAAAATAGATGGAAGAATTTGGATTGGGGATTTTTTTGAAAATCAAAATTAGAGGGAAGTTTTGGGTCTTTCTCAACCAGTAGCGCCACCGGCTCAGCCGGTTGTTCAATATTCTGATTCGCCTTCAAACTTGTGAATGGGTCTGGCTCGCCCTCAAAATTCCAACATGTTTAGTCGTGTCACCTGACTCACCTCCATCCATCTATTTGGTGAAATTCGAATCAACCCATTTACACTTTTACATAAAAATATTTTAATTTATAAAAGCCATAACAAATTTCTTTCTTAAATCAGTTTTTTTCCCTAAAAATGAATTATTTTGACAATATGAAAACTATGAGTAGTTTATGGTCGAAACTCTAACTTTTGTTTTCAAATAAGAGGAGATTATGCTGAAAATAAATGCTACGAAAAAATAATGAGACCATTTAAATTAAACTAGATAACAATAGGCAACAAATGCTATAAAAAAGTAAATGAAAAAAAAAAAAAAAAAAACCTCTCCTATTTGACAGCTCATAAATTATTAAACTCTCCTATTGGTATATTTTTTCAATATCAATGTGTAAATTTTTTTTTTCTTTTTTTTTTTTTTAGAATAATAATATTCAGGCCTATTTATTACGGAGTACTTTTTTTTAAATCATAGCAAAGGTTTTGGGAGAAATGGATTTACGAGAATTTAACAATGGTCATGACGTGGAATCCCACAAAAATAACTGCAAGAAACCTTTGAATGAATTTTGTTTTAAATTGAAGGGTAAGAGAGAAGAAGAAAATTTAATCCCAAAGGCCACATAAGTATCAGGTTTAAGGTGTGTTAGTATCAAATTAGGGAAGAAAAAAAAACAAATAAATAAAAATTCAAGCATGGTTTGTCCGAGTTATGCACGAGAGATTGTAGTCTCGAGAAAAACATTGGCTATCATCAATATCTTCTTCTTCTGCTATAATTCTTCAAATTTCTGTCTATACAAAGGTAACAAAACCCACCAGACCAACACTGACCCATACAAACACATCCTAGAGCTTCTACTTGTTACAAACATAATATTCAATATCATAATCGTACGTGAGCAAGAAAACTTATACTTTCGGAGAAGACACCAGGGTCTGAGGTGTGCCATTTATATGTTGAATCAGAGATACATGCCGCTTTACCATTCTGCCACTGGCGTTGTGTTCTATCATTCTTGCTTTCGGCAGCCAAATCATACAAGTTTCGCTTTAAATCATGTCATATTTTGTACATTTTACAGCCTTAAGGGAATTAATTAGAGCCGAACTCCTGGTTCCACTGTTCAAGCTCCTCCCACTTGCTTTTCTGCAGGCTGGGTCTAATAACAGTCGTTGCCTCCTGAAAATCTTCATATCTTAATGGCCTTACCTGGTACAACATATGTTAAACCACCATGAGTTCCACAGGAAACCAGCCAGCTGAAACCACAGACTACTCAAGTAAACCAAGATAGATGAAAATCCTACACACACAGAGATTCTAATGAAAATCCTATTTGATGCGACATTCAGATAAAATAGCACCAACCACTGGCAGGAACAACTGCAACGATTCTAAAACCCACATCACGCCCAAATTCCAATCACCGAAAAACGTACAGCCATAACTATGCCGTCTTTGCATGAAATCTACGTGTCTACAGTGCAGGAAGCAGGTCCTGAGTTTGACTCCCCTCGTCAGGGCACCTCCTTCAGTTTTCTGGGGTGTGTTAGACAAGGTGGCGAAGGAGGTTGCCCAACCCATGTCTGGGAATTAGTTGGGTTGAAGGTTAAGATGCGCGGTCACACACCACACACACACACACACACACAAAAAAAAAGAGGTTCCATTATGCTTCTAATGACATTGACATGATATTATTTGTTTTCCCAAATACAAGTTTGTACAAAAAAGGCATTTCAAGATTCAATAAATGACCTCATTTTACCATTTATTATTATTCTTCTGAAAAGTGATGCACGGCACATGCTATGCACATGCAAAGTCAATCAAACTCTAAATGTGGTGGTAAAATTAACCACCTTATGAAATGCCTCGGTTTTTAGTAGAATGATGTTTCAGTTCACACAAACATATACTTTGTTCAACTGCAATGAAAAATAAAAAATAAAAAAGAAAGAAAGAAAAAGAGGATATTGAATAAATTTCGGAAGTGGTGCCACACCACAAAAGAATCTTTTCCCAAATAAATTATCCTTGGCTTTGCTTCAAAGATCAAAGGGAGAAATTGCAAATCTCAAATCTACTTCCTCATTGACCACTCGTGGCTCCTGAAGGAATTTTTCCTAGAAACTAATATAGGGGAAAATACTTGGGAACTGAACTGCCAATACAGCAACAGGGAATGAAATTTCCATTGCATATTGTCTCCAGGGAAAGGAAAAAAAATAAAGCATCAAGGGAAGCTGATATACGAAATAACAGATGAATTGGAAAACTTTGGCCAATCTATTGCCCAATCTACCATATAAACGGACTACTTTCCAGGAAGCTAAAACTAGAGGATTGGTAACTAATTCATTAATAGGACAATTAATTGCTAATTGGAATACCTGTTTCGCGTTGACTGTGAAAATGTTTGCACCAAGCTCCCTGATTGGCATCATTGCAGCTTCTTCACATAAGGCTTGTAGATCACTTCCAGAATATCCTATATTTCAACCATACAATAAATTTCTAGTTTTTAAAAAATAAAATATATCCGTAAAGTTATCGATATGCACCAGCTGTTAGAAAACTATTTTCTGTGGTTTATATCAGGGCTAAGTTTGCCCAAGTCCCATTAGTGGATGGAGCAAAAAAGACTAAACACCCACCCAATACAACTTGGTTTTGAACAATGATAATTAGCAACTGAATGTCTCATGTAAACATTGCCATCTGAGCAGCGTTTTATTCCAAACCAATGCTATAAGGAATTATCTTACCATTTGTCTTCTCAACGAGTCTTTCTAGATCTCCACCTGTTTCAAAAATAAGAAATAACTGTTAGAATGTCTCGATTTCCAGTAAGGACAGTATCATTGCCTGTGAGGATTTTAATACTTCCTGGAAAACTTGCACAAGAAATTCTAGGATTTTGATCACATACAGGCTTACAATTACTATAACAAATGTCTAACAAACATGTTCTCTGTTCAAGAAAAAAAAAAAAAGTCAAAGAAAGAAACAGCTTACTGTTTCCATTTTTGAAGAAGTAAAGTAAAATCGCATACATAAGGATGGACTACCAAGACTTGCCTATATAATAGGCATCAAATTAGTGATAGACTATTGCAACAGATAATTAAAAGTCTTAGTAAATTTAGTCCAGAAGATCCTAAAAATTTTCATGGTGTCAAAAACCAAATATCAGTAATGGCATTTCCAATACATGCAAAATAATAAAAAGAAGAGAAATAATAGAATCGAAAAGAAAAGAAGAAATTTATCAAACACAAGCATCTACCATTCATTCATCTATCATTCAAACTGAAATAAGAGACAAATTTAATCCCTCTAAATTTTACATAAAAAATAAAAATAACAACAAAATCAAGGTAGAATTTGGGGAGCTTTTGAGAGGCTCTGATAGTCATCAGAGCCGCATTGTGAAAATCTCTGATAGTTACCAAAGATAAATGATAATACTGTTGGTTGATATATATATTTTTCCCGAAAATTGTCAGTTGAAAGTTATTCCAATAGTCAAAGTAATTCTAGGTTTTTTTTTTTTTTTTTAATAATAATAATAATAATCCACCAATTTTTTTTCTCTTTGAAATTCCTTTAATGAAGTTATTTTTCAAAAGCCCTTCTTAATTAAGGACTTTTTATGTTTGGGAGCTCCTCCAAACACCACCCACATGTATAATAAGTAAATGGGAAATTCTGTTTTACTAAAAAAATGCATGACATAATATTATTTGGGACTATGAGAACTCTAGGAGAAAGAAAGGAAAGAATATGCTCTATGGCTATACGTGGAACTACTATAGGTTATCCGCTTCATGATGTAATTAAAATCTGATGATAAGGATCATTCAGATCAAAATGATATGCATCCATGCAAATCACAGAAAATTTGTACATATTCTCACCAGGTAAGGAAAAAGCTCTGCCCTTGAGTTTGTGTTTCAGAAAAAGTCTCCTAACATGTGTATCCGGTAGAGGAATGTATATTCTCTTTACCTGATTCAGATTTCAAATTAAACAATGTCACGAAGGATAAATGAAAAACAAATCATATAGAATCTACTTTAATTTATTTCAAACATACAACCGAAAATATACACAAGAATATTTTCAAATATACAATTCAAGTCGTTTTTCACATCTTTTTTATTTTTTAATTTTCATAAATTGGGATCATCAGTGCTTAAGAATTTTGTTAGATCAAGGTGGCTGGGCACTTAGCAAATTGCAGCAGCAATTGATGTCCAACTGATCAATCTGATACAGAGAATCTAAACATGCCAGAAGTTCTGGTGCAGTAAAGCATTTCCATCAATCATAAAAACTGAACAGCACATAAACAGTAACATTAAACCCCAACATGCCCAATAAATGCTTGGCCCTTTCTCTATTAACCTTGAAACCAATTTGTGCGACCTTACAGATGCTAGAGGCTCCATCAGCTGTGGCATGAATACATAGGTTCATACTATTTAAGATTTGTCACCTAGATATACCCACATAGCAACATTAGGCTTAGCAGTCACTGAGAGAATTGAAAAAATGATACCAGAACTCCAATTCCTGCATGAATGCCTCAGTTCACATTGCTTATGAATTATCAACAAGATGCCACCACAATATATGGAGCCAATTGGAAACCTATCTATTGGCTTATCGGTCATGGTATAGTAAAAAAAATTATACAGTAAACGGAGAAATGAACTAAATGTACAGGAATTGCCTAATATTGCATCCAAATGAAGGGTAGAGCCAGTCACAATATACACTCCTATTACCATCACATATTTTCCACAAAATATTAAGCATAATGCAACATAAGAATGGTAACAAATTCATAAGATTACATTCCAAGAACTATTTATCTACAAGCAATTCATACTTCAAGCTCCTAAAAAAAATGGAGAAGATCATTGCATGGCATACTAACCAATCTCCGAAGAACCGCATCATCCAATTCTTGTGGCTTATTAGTTGCACCTGCATTATCATGTCGACAGGTAAATTAACAAAAAGGAGGAATAACCATATGTGTGACCAAATTAATACATTAACATCCATTTATTTATTAATGGCTTTGCCCCTATGACTCCCCCTCCATATTTGTAGTTATGAACAACAGCTATATCAAAAGAAATTGGTTGGGTCAAATTACACAGGAGGCAACAAGAAGCAGGAACCTAAAATTATTTGATTCTGCAATTTTGGCTTCACTGTGTCCCCAACTCTGACTTTAATAATTGAAATCATTTTCATCTGCTGTTGCAGTCTCAAAGGTGTAAAGCACAAATATATAAGGAAAAAAACATGTTTATTTATTCAAACACAAAAACACAAATGTATAACAGAGTCTGAATGTAAGATGTCAAAGCATGACTTTCTTGTCCAAGTTAACATAACAAAGGATATAGATATGATGTTCATGGGTCTAGATGTGATAAAGATGAAAGAAAATAAATAAATAAAAGACCAACATATTAGGCTCCAAGAGACTTCATACAAGATGAAAGAAAAGCAAGTGAACAAAATAAACTTTTTTTTTTTTTTTTTTAGTAAAATGTATTAGAAAATGTTCAAAAGGGGAACGCGTCCCAAGCTGTACACAAAAAACAGAACCTATGAACTCAAAGAACCCAAAAATTCCACAATATCCTCAAGAGAAGAATAATCTCTCCCCCAACCCCAACAAAAAAGAGTACAAATAATAGAAAATTTCAGCGCCCCAATGGAGGACTCCTTCCCATCAAAAGATCTTCTATTCCGCTCTTTCCAAAGGCTCCACCAAACGCAAAAAGGGGTCACCCTCCAGAAGTCTCTAACCTGAGCCCCCACCCATTGGCCCCTCCAAATATCCAGCAATTCCCGAGAAGTCCGAGGCATGACCCAATGGATACCAAACAAACCAAAAAAAAAAGACTCCAACATTCATGGGCCATAGGACAATGTAGCAGAAGGTGATCCACGGACTCCCCATTAATCTTACAAAGACAGAATCGATTACCAATGATATGTCTTCTCTTCCTCAAATTGTCCAAAGTCAGAATCTTACTCCAAGCTACAGTCCACACAAAAAAGGTCACCCTAAAAGGCGCCTTAGACAGCCACACCATCTTCCACGGGAAGGTGGTACCATGAAAACCAGAGAGACGCACAAAAAAGGACCGGACCTGGAATATCCCCTCTGTAGAAGGCACCCAAATCAGAGAATCCGCCCCGGTGCCCTCCACCTCCTGTCTATACAAGAGAGCCAACAAACCAGTGACATCATCCAACTCCCAATCCTGAAAAGATCGCCGAAATCGCACATCCCAAGACAACCTCCCGCTATCATGGCGATAGCAATCAACAACCATAGCATGTTTGTCAATAGCAATCCTGAACAGCCTTGGAAACAGAAGAACCAATGGCCTATCCTCGCACCATGAGTCCTCCCAAAATCGGACATTCCTTCCATCCCGAACTTTGAATCTAATATGTTTGGAAAATTCATCCCACCCCTTCCCAATGACCCTCCACACCCCCACTCCACTAGCAGACCTGACTGGCCTAGCTGACCACCCCCCTCTCTCTTCCCCAAAGCGACAAGAAATGACCCTTCTCCATAATCTATGTCTTTCACTGCCGAACCTCCAAAGCCATTTGCCAAGGAGAGCACTGTTGAAAGGGGCCAATCTCCTAATCCCAAGCCCTCCCAATTGAAAAGGCCTGCAAACCTGCTCCCATCTGACAAGATGATACTTAAACTCCTCTCCACGACCCCTCCAAAGGAAGTTTCGTTGAAGCATTTCAAGTCTTCCAACAATAGAGGCTGGAATCCGAAAAAGCGAAAGAAAGTACGTTGGAAGGCTTGACAAAGTACTCTTCACTAACGTAACTTTACCTATTATATCACTAGACCCTTGGAGAGATATTGCTTTTTCCAACCAGCTAATCTTCTCTTAACCCGCTCAATCACTAGGTCCCAACCCTCTTGGCCGAGTCCCTTAGTCCCCCAGCGGCAAACCCAAGTACGAGATAGGGAAGCGTTGCGTCCCACACCCGAAAACAGCAGCCAAAGTGTCCACCTCCTGAACCTCCCCCACAGGGACAAACACACTCTTACACACGTTGACTTTCAAACCAGAAACGGCCTGAAAGCAAACCAAAACACATCTCAGATACCTCAAATGGGACACCTCTGCGTAGCAGAAAACATTAGTGTCATCTGCAAAAAGCAAGTGAGAGATCTCCATCTGCTGAACCGATTCAGGGCCAATCTTGAAGCCCCTAATGAAACCCAAGTCCACAGCCCTTCTCATCAACCTACTAAGGGCCTCCATAACAATAATAAACAAGAACGAGGAGAGATGGTCCCCCAGCCTCGGGCCGCGAGAACTGCCGAAAAACCCCGTAGGAGATCCATCCACCAACACCGAAAATCTGACAATGGAAACATATGTAACAATCCATTTCCTCCATCTCTCACCAAAACCCATCCTCTCTAACAAATAAAACATGAAATTCCAGCAAACATAATCATAGGCTTTCTCGATATCCAGCTTGCAAAGAACACCAGGAGCCCCAATGCAAAGTCTAGAATCTACACATTCACTGGCAATAAGAACGGAGTCCAGGATCTATCTACCCCCAATGAAAGCATTCTGGGACTCAAAAATAACTTCATCCAGAACCTCCCTTAACCTAACCGCAAGGACTTTCGCAATGAGCTTATAAATGCGCCCAATTAGACTGATTGGTCTAAAATCCTTAACATTAGAAGCACCGCCCTTCTTAGGAATGAGGGCAATAAAGGATGCATTCAGCGATTTCTCAAACCTCCCCATGGAATGAAACTCATGAAAGGTGCTCATAACCTCATGCCTAACCACCTCCCAGCTCTCCAACAAAAATATCAAAGTAAAACCATCTGGGCCTGGAGCCTTATCACCATTACAGCTCTTTAGAGCCTTCAACACCTCCTCCTCCGAAAATGGACTCTCCACCCCATCCCTTTCCAAAGCAGAAATAGAATCAAAGTGAAGACTATCAAGACGTGGCCTCTATCGAAGAGGCTCAGAATAAAGCCTTTGGTAGAAAGAGACAATATCGCTTCGCACCTCCTCCTCCGTAGTCAAGACCGTACCATCCACACACATCCGCCCAATGTGATTGCCCCTCCTATGAGCATTAGCAGTTCTATAGAAAAACTTAGTATTCCGGTCTCCCTCTTTGAGCCACAAGGCCAGAGATTTCTGGCGCCACGAGATTTCCTCCAAAACTCCATACATTCTGCCTTACAAGCTGCTCTCCTAATACGATGAGACTCAGAAAGAACACCCTCCCCTTCCAATCTATCAATCTCAGCAATATCAGCCAATACCCTATTCTTCCTCCACTCCAAACTCCCAAACACCTCCTTATTCCACCTTTTGAGATTATTTTTCAGAAGTCGAAACTTTCCTGCAAGAATAAAACTCGACGTATCCACCACCAGGTTCTCTTCCCACCAAGAGTGCACAGACCGCTGGAAATTATCCGCTCGAAGCCACAAATTCTCAAATCTGAAAGGAGTGCTACGAGATCTCAAACCTCCACAGTCCAAAACCAAGGGGATGTAGTTCGACGTCACCCTAGCCAACACAGCTTGAACAACATCCGGAAACTTCTCCTCCCAGTCACCGGAAATCAAAAATCTATCAAGGCGAGAAAAGGTTGGTGCTTCCCTTCCACTGGACCAAGTAAAAGAAGCTCCCTCAAGAGGAAGATCAATAAGCTGATGGCCATCAATAAAATCAGAAAAGTGCATCATAGCCTGAGTCCACAGACCACCTGTAGATCTCTCCGCTGGGGACCTAACCACATTAAAATCTCCTGCCACACACCAAGGAAGAGACCACCTCCCCTTCACCCCGCTCAACTCCTCCTACAACCCCTCTCTCACACCATCATCAACCGGCCCATACACCCCAGAAAAGGCCCAAATGAAACCATCCTCCTCCATCACAAAGGCACAAGACAGAGAAAATCTCCCCCGACACATATCCACCTTAGCCATCCATCTCCTATCCCGTATAAGGAGAACACCGCCAGATGTCCCGACAGAATCTAGCGCCTCCCACTCAACAAACCGATTACCCCACAAACTCTTCACCACACGATCAGTCGTAGAATCAATCTTTGTTTCTTGAAGACGCACCAAATGCACCCCCCATTCCTCATAGCCATATTCACCACCTTTCGCTTGCCCGGATCATTAAGACCACGGACATTCCAAGATAAAAGTCGTAACTTCATGAGGAAACAATCACTCCCATCACCCCTTTACCCTTCCCTACCCCCTTATCACTACCCCTCTACCCCCCCCCCCCCAAAAAAAATCATCCTATCATAGTTCACATCTGTACACAGGTTCCTTAGCTCCCTTTCCCCTCTCCACGGAGTAAGGTTCTTCTTCTTCCTGCTCCTTCTTCTGGAAATTGAATCATCTCCCCCTCTCTCCCTTCTGCCGTGGCCTGAAGAATTGCTAAGGCCTAATCACGATTGCCCTTGCAAGAGACACCCAACAGTTCACTAGTGGCCCCGATATTAGCCATGACCCATTCCTTTCCAGTATCCTCCCCTTCCTGCCTACGCACCATCAAGAGAACTACCCTGTTCCATCCTGCTCCCATCTTCCTCACCTCCCTTGGCCTCCACTGCCTCCTCGACATGTGACATCCAATCCTCACCATAGTCCAACACACCTTCCAGGATGAAAGGGTCTGGGTTACCATCAACAATTTGATCATCAGGCGAGAATCTGTGCTTCTGCAACTCCTTCACCAAAAGAGAGGCTGATTCATCGCTGAGGGAAATACGGATATCTTTGCCCACACAAACAGTCACCAAAACCCTTCAAACAAGTCACTGGGCCACCTTTCAAAGATGAACACAGCCCTTCCGTTCCACCCAAAAGAGGCTTGGCCGGCCAACCGATCTCCTCCCCTGATGAATAAATGAACCGAGAAGAGGAAGAAAACTACGAACAAGTCTCAGCAATCCCGACGCAAAACTAGTCGTAATCCATGTCACCAGACAAACAAACCGTCCCATCCCTTTTTGATGGCCCAAAAACCCCAATATGAGAGCCAACCGTAGAGCTCATCACATCCACCGAGTCAACCTCAAGAACAGGCGACAACCTCTGTTGCCTCCCATCAAGGACCTCCCCGCTCCCCCTCCTCCCTTTACTTCTCAACATGTCACAAGGAGGAGTAGAAGTAGAGATAGAAACAGATGGAGAGTACCGAACATGAGGGGAAGAGGACATACCTGGACGCGAATGGCGAACCTTACGGGCGACCCACTTCTCTTTGTCATTTCTGGTCCATTTCTTACTGGGTTGCTGCGAGAAGCTCGAAGAAAGGCCATCCTCTTTCATGGAATCACAGTCGCCATTCTCATCATCACCCAAAAACCCGGACTGAAGAAGATCAAACCTGTTTCCCAAGAGCAGGTTTTGACAACATGTTCCATGCCGGAAAGTCTTCGAACAAGCCCCAGCCCCCTTCCTCCTGCTCAAGCTCACCTTCGCCCAGTTCATCTTCTCCTTCCTCGACCAAGATCGCGAGGCCGATCTTCTCTGTGTCGTGTCTGGATGAGGTTCGTGAATATCTCGGCTGTGAACCACTTCTGAAGATGGTTTGGGCTGCCCACCTTGAAATGAGATTGAAAGACGATTGTTTGGGCCCCATCTAACCACCCTATCCTTGGCCAATCTTGGCTTAATCTGAATGGGCCCATAAGAAACAAGTGCCCCAGAGGGCTTAAGTCGTCCATCCCGCTTAACGGACTTCGATGGCTGCCCCGGCCCAGAAGATGGCCCAGACCCACCCCACTCATGCGTAGCCCACCCAGTCACTTTCGAGCCCACCTCACGAGCCCCTCGCTGGATAGGCCCAACATCATCTGGCCCAACAGAATCAACATTCAAAAAACCCTGAGGATCACGTGACTCAGCACGTGGTGGAGCAGCTGTCCTCCACTCACAACGGGCGTCATAAACAAAATAAACTTTCAACAGCCCAAGACTCCATATTAACTTATATCAATTGATTAGGATAGACTGGTCATTATCAGCATGACAAGGAATGATAAGTTCTAAGTTATAGGAGCTAAAGGACAAGGAAAATACCAAAAGAGTGTGGAACTAAGCTATGAGAAAATAAATTAACTCAATAGATGGTAAGGCCATAAAGCAAAATTGAAAAAAAGAAGCTCATATTACTGATCCTAAGTAATTAGGTTCGTCTTTTGTCAAATTAAAATGTTAAACTTACCAATTACAATTACTAAATCATCAGAATCTGAAGTAACCCCATCAAACTGAACTAGGAACTCCGATTTTAACCTTCTGCTTGCATCATTCTCATTAGCCAACCTTGTAGACATGATACTATCGATCTGTTAACACCAACAAATGTTGACACACAAAAGGATGCACATGAAATACTAGGATTTTCTTTCCAGAACAAGAAAAAGAAGGTTATCAATCATCAATTTCCCAATATACTGCTTAATTAGTCTAACTTTTCAGTCATAATTGTGCAATGCTATTGGTAAATTTTTTTTTTTATTTATTTTTTTTGTGTGTGCGTGTGTGTGTGAAGGGCCAAAAAAAAATAAGGGAGTCAACTATCGGAAAAGGATAACTGAAATAAAAAATATATAAAATTTACTGAACTTCAAAATGAGAACATGATCAACTAGAATATTATGTTGGAGAGTCAAGAAAGAACTAAATTCATGGGGCAGTAGACAATTAATGGGGCAGGAGATAAAACAGAAACAACAGATAATTTTGGGTTGGATGAGAATAGAAAAATACAAATGGATATAGAGAATGACGAGGTTCTAGATTCTTCTGAGTTAAATAAAAAATTAAAATTTTGAGTTAAATCATGAGCACTCCAAAAGTAACAAATGAATTATTCACCCATAATGGCTGTAAGTTCTCCAGACTGTCAACAACATATGAGCACCAGTAATTTAGTGGTTTGCTTTTATAAGCGAGCAATAGCATATGTATAGCAGATCTGACATGTAAGATAGAAGAAGAAAGCATTATGTCAGAAACGACCATTGCAATTATGTTCAAGAAAGAGTAGCTTACTTCATCAATAAATATTACAGATGGCTGCCTGGATATAGCAACCATGAAAAGAGTCCGAACAAGCTTTTCACCCTCTCCCACCTATGTTAGTAAAAGCGAAATAAGAAAATGAGAACTTCTCTAAAAGCTCAAATTTGATATGGGAGACCACGAGGACAGGGACACACCCATTTTGATGTTAGAGAAGAAGCAGAAACATTAAAAAACGTTGCATCTGACTCTGAAGCAACTGCTTTGGCAAGCATGGTCTTCCCAGTACCAGGTGGACCAAAAAGAAGCAAACCTGAAAATTAAATCCAGGACTCACTCGTGAAACAAATTCTTCTGCTGCAACAATATAGTTCTTTGAAGGCAAAAGCCTCACACAACATTACCTCTAGCTGGTCTACGAAGGCCAGTAAACAGGTCTCTTCTCTTAGTTGGTAGAATTACCATTTCAAGCAAAGCTTGTTTTGCCTTTTCAAGGCCAGCTGCAAGAAACTTTGATGAGAAATTTGTACCTTACTAGAAGTAGAAATCACAAGGGAAAGGAAATGAAATAATGTGCAAACCAAAGCATGTTTTAGTTTCTAACCAATATCATCCCATTTAACGGAAGGACGTCTATCCACTACCACAGAGTTTATCATTTCAACCAATTTTGCATCATAGCCAGTACCAGATTGTCGTATGGGTTTTGAGCTTACAACTTTATCAGTCTGATTTCTCACAACCGAACCAAAACTACAAGAACCAGGAGACTTCCGCAATGCATTTTTTCTAGCACTTGTCACCGTTGATGGAATTGCTGCAGCTTGTCCATGGGCTTTGATACTCTGCAGAGGACATATTTAAATAATATAGGAAAGCAGTAATATAATCAATCAACATTATAATGCTCAAGAATCCACAAAAACATCAAAGAAAACCAAAGGGAAAAAATAGAAAGTAAAAACACTTGTTCAAAAATCAGAACATCATTAGCATTAAGAAAACCCACAAAAGGAGAATGTAAGTTAATTTATATATATATATATATATATATATGTGTGTATATATTCTTGAAAAAACAACTGAATTAAGAAAGATAGGTTTATTGGATGCAACTTGATCACTACTCAAGTACTTGTTATATGATTTTCACTCCACAGGGAAGTATGTTGTCACGCTTCCTTGCATTTTGGGCACTAGAATAACAAATGCACAGCTTGATTCAACTTTTACCAAGATACTGTGAACTCTTCCTACAAAACTCATAACAGAATGCTACAGAGAGGTAGGAAGTTATATGCTACAGATTCCTTCAATAAGCACAATATACCAACCGTTAGCCTGAGTAGTATCTAACTTTTCAGGGCTGTTTAATACCAGTAAAACAAAGCTAACTTCTCAATGACTATTGAATATGCAAACTATATCATGCCATGCTTTTCCACTACAGAAGGAAAGGATCCACAATTTCTTGGTCTCCTATTTCTTCAAATCAATTTTCAATTTCAATATCATTTTATGAGGTCCATGCCTAATATCTATAATGTCCGATAAACAGGAACAGATTACTCCAGGTTGCCAGTGACACTTTTGTCTTTGGCTTCAACAAAGAAAATAATATACACACTTTACACTTGGTCAAACCAATGCATACCTTATTTCTGGCTGCGCCACCTGGAGGGGAAAAAAAGAAGTATAAAAAGAAACAAAAGGATACATAAACAGTCTCCTCTAGTTTCCAAATAGATAAAGATAATTATGATTGTTAAGTCGCAAAAGGATCAGAGTTGAACCTGTTCGCCAACTTAAAGCTTGAAGTCTCTCTGAAACTTGGCCCTGCCATTTTGATATCTTCTGCCAATAAGATTTCACCTTCTCTTGTTCACTGTTAACAAGAAAAAGAAAAAAAAAATTTTAAAAAGTCATTGAGTTGCCAAGGAAATAGAGCACAAAACTATGTTAATACACCACCTATTTGGATAAAAAAGATAGTACAACAGCTTGAAAGATTAAACATAGTTTAAAGAAAACCAATGTTCCACTTGGATTGATGGGTTTCAAATGAATGCATTTAATTATATAAGAAATAAAGTAATGCTCCTAAGAGGTCCCTCTCATGAGAAGGCCAAATCTATTCATTTAACCAAATGAAACCAATATGTCAAGCAACAAAGTTTTCAACCACATGTTGCAATAGCATTTCAATTTTCTTTAGGAAACAGTTCCATTTATTAAAACATCATCACAAGAATCTACTACACAACTACTAAAAAGTTAACCCTTCTTAATTTTTGGTTTATCTTTTGCCTTTAATCGAAATGCTGTCAGAACTGATGTAACTGTGAACAAAAATGATTATAGCTATATAAAATAGAAACTAAGAGGGAGGGAGAGAGAGAGAGAGAAAAAAAAAACAACAACAACAACAACAACGATATATAGAATAAGATAGTCAGGTGAAATTTTCTTACCTAGAGCTGATGTATGAAGGTACGGTGGTGGAAGTGGCCTCAATCAGTATGCGCTGAGCGTTCTGATAATGGGCAACCGCATCATCATACAGACCCCACTCTTCGGCCCTAACGGCCTTATCGATCAATTCTTTGGCCAAATCGAAGTACCCTTTGATCTTATACGCAGTCCTATCGTTCGAAACCGATGTCCCAGCGAAGCCGTCCATGGTTTGATTAATGGAAGAGTTAGGGTTTTGTTGGGAGTCATGGGGAGCTGACGAATTGGACAAGACAAGCGAGGCCAAAGAGTCGATGAGCCCTTTGAAGAAACTCATCTCTGAGAGTAAATTGAATAAAGAATTAGTCAATTTAGAGGGAGAAAGCGTGTGCAGAGAGAGTTTTGCTTACCATGTTCGACGAGTCACCAGAATTTTCATCGTTTAACCGTTCCGATAAAACCCAAAATCAACGGTCACTATACTTCGTCCTAACTATTCCAAAATTATTAGGTCGTTTGGTTAGCTAGAAAAAAAAAAAAAAATGAAGTAAAAATTAGTTTTTTATTATGTATTTGGTTAATAAGAATTTTTTTAAAAAAACTTGTGAGAAAATGTTGTTTAATTAGTTTGGACAGCAAAAGAATGAAAGAAAAATAATTTTATATGTCAAAATTACCGTTATGAATTTAATAATAAAATAATAATAATATATACAATTAAATAATAATAATATTAGTAAAATAATATATACAATTAAATTACCCTTATGAATATAATAATAATAATAGTAGTGATAAAATAATATATAAATTGGATTTATATAGAAATATTTATGTCTAAATATGTATATGTCTTTTTATATAAATTTTTTTTTTTTTTCGGAAGTTTTCATTTTATATTAAGACTTGCTATTAAATTAGTTTACTTTGTTTTGCAGGTGTAACGAAGAATTTTAATTTCAAAAGTAAAAGAGTTGTAATCAATTTAAGAATATTAATTTATGTAAGAAAACTCTCCTTTTGTAAGTATGAAGAAATAAAAAGAAACATTTTACACAAGAGTATAAGAGGAAATTAATATATAATGATATAACTTTCACGCAAAGAGGAAACATTATGAGGAAAATCAAACAGTTACGGGAATATTACTTTCCTAAAAATTTTCCTTTTCACACTAACTAAAAATCTTAAAAAATTTATTTTTCTTTTCTTTTCTCGCTAATTTACGCTAATAGGGAAAAATACATTTTATTTAGGCAAATATGCCAAAAAAAAAAAAAAAAAAAACCACATGAACTACTCGGCCTATTTGATAACGTTGTTTAGTGCTTAACACAGTGTTTTTGTTTACGATTTAGGCTATCTCTAAAATTATTCTGCACGCCTTAAAACAAGTCAAAATTTTAGCGTCATGGAGTTGGCTTATCGCTTGTCGCAGAACACGGTGAGTGATTTTAAGTTTTAAATATTTTATTAATATCAATTTTACCCTTAAATAATTTTAAATATTAAAAGCACAAGTCGTGTTTAGTTTACTCTAATATAAACCCTATATGGTGAAAAATTATTATAAATAAATTGGATGCATGAATTCTAACCTCTTTTCATAAATATTTCATTTTCATAATTTATTCACTTCATATTATTTTATTTCATTTTATTGTCAATTTTATCTACAAAATTTTATATTTGTGCTTGATTTACCTCTCAACAGCGTAGATTTACATGAAAATATTTTGCATGTTCAAGTTAGACGAGAACAAATAAGTTTTGATTGACTATTATACAAACAAACGTAATAATATATTAATTATAGATTAAGCGCTTAAATTAAAATAGTCAAGTGAAAATTGAATTGATACGGATTCCATCAAGGTAACATAAGTATTTCCTGAATAGAATTATTTTATAGGTACATCTTTACATGTTTTATGTTTTGATTTTGGTATTTTGTGATCGGGCATTAATGTCCATTGTCAAATTGATATATTACTTTTTGGTGAAATACGTAATTATATATGTGTTTATATTATATTATATTATATATATATATATAGTATCTTGTACGTGTAGAAGATAATTGAGGGCAAAAATATAATACATACAACATTCAGATTTCAGTTTTTACATTTATAAATAAACTTAATATAAAAATAAGACAATATCAAATAGGTTTCAGATTAATACATTCAACACTTCATATTTCAGTACTTACAGTTTTCAGTGCTTAATTTTCAGTTTTATCAAACAACACCTTACTCTCGGTAAACATACCTCATATATGACTATTTGTTATTGCACGTTGGCTCCTCAACTATTAAAAAAAATCATTTTGACCCTCTTTAGTCACTAAACTTCACTTTCTAACTGTTCAAATTATTGGTTATTAGACAAAAGTTCAAAAAAATTCCAGAACTATTTGTTTTTTTTTTTTTTTTTCCAGAAAATGTAGCAACTTATATGTATAAAGTTAAATATGTACACGATTGGGGCCATAGCCCATGACAAGACCATAAGTAAAATAGGCCCAAGTAGGCAATCTAGGGGACAAGCCCAGCCAAAGGAACAAAAGATGAGCAATCAAATAATTGTCATTTCAACCGTTAATTGAGATCGTCTTATCCACATTCCGGTGCCCGATTCAAGGTCTGGTTGTTGTCATAGTTGAATTAATCTGGAGGACGGGGAGGAGGTTTACAAGAAGGAGGAGGAAGATTCCATTAAGCGAGGATTCTCCTCGAAGCAGCGCAATCAGAGGCAGATCCAGGGGTAGGCGAAGCTGGGCTTCAGCCCACCCCAAAAATTTTTTTTTTTTTTTTTACCATACTACTTTAAGCCTAGCCCAAAAAATAAAAAATAAAAAAATAAAAAATAAGAAATATATATATATTTATAGTAGCCCAGTTCAAAATTAGCCAATCCAAAATTAGTCCATCCCATTAAGAAAGGCTAGATCCGCCTTTGAGCGCAATCCTTTAGGAACCCAAGTCTGAGAATTGATGTGATAGAGGAAGTGATCTTGGCCAGCACCACTCTTTGTGAAGATTTCTCTTTCCTGAATATTTTGCTATTGCGTTCTTCCCAAGTGTGGTAAACCACTGAAGAGAGACAAATCTTTCGGACCAAATTTTGGGGAGAATTGATCTTCCACAGGTAGCTGGTGAGCATAACTAGATTGCTTCAATTAGTAATTGCAGTTGAGAAGTGGCATTTGTCCTTGATATACCTTCAAATTGGTAAAATGAAGAAGCAGCTGAAGAAGAGGTGGCCATACGATTTGATGAGATGGAATAGAGTGCACATATATTTTGATGTTTAGCCATGTATTTGCTGTCAAGTGTTGGCAGTCTAGATTGAACTGCCAACCACCAGTTGAATTTCATATGGGGTATAATTGGGGATTTCCACACCATGTTATACCATGGCACCTTGGTAAATTGCCCTGCTAAGCGGGCAGCAGTGTGTTTGAAGCTGTAATGTCCAGTAGTAGAGGCAATCCAGACCTTCTTGTCAGTGATAGCTGGACGTGGTGGCTGAATGTGCAGTAATTCTGGGATTAAAGCAGTGAGAGTCCGTGGGAATGACCAAGAAGAACTGTCAATGAATGAGTCAAGTTTGGTACTGTCATTGAGACCAACAACAGTGAAAATAGTTGTGGAAAATCTGGTGCACATGGGACCTCTTAGAGCTCAATTGCCCCGAACTATTTGTTATTAGAACAAGAGTTGTTGTTATATTATTATTAGATAAAAGTGCAACCCTCTCTGAAAGTATTAGTTAATTGCAAGATGTCAACTTGTTGGAGTGTATTCTCAACATTTTACACTAATAATATTTTACAAATTTTATATTAAATTAACAAGTGGTAATAAATAAATAATTTTGACCCTCTGACAGTCGGAAAGTGAAGTTTGGTGACTAAAGGGGGTCAAGATGCAAGGTTTGGATAGTTGAGGGGCTGAACAGTAATACAAATAATCCAAAGAGTATCTTGCAATTACATAAAATATGTTACCAAATCTGAAGAAAACCAACGCATTGACGTGGGAAAGCCTTATCATATCATACCCATCAGCAATGCACGTGACCTTTACGCAACCTTTACAAGCAAACTACAGATACTTCCATTTTTAAATTCGGTACTAGTCATTTTTAAACTAGGGATAGCTTATCTGTTTTGCACACACCACAGTAATCTCTGTTGCATATATAGCGATTGACTATTATTGACTGCCTTCTCTCTAGTCTCTTCACTGCCAAACATGGCCTCCATGGATTTTCTCTCCAACCCCATCTCCATAGCAACCACTGCTCTATCTATTATCCTTGCGTTTCTCATCCTCATCCACAAATTACACCAAAAACAGGGCAAGAAAAAGTATCATCCAATTGGCGGCACCATATTCAACCAGCTAATTAACTTCAACAGGGTACACCACTACATGACTGACCTTGCCGGAAAGTACAGGACTTACAGGCTGATCAGCCCTTTCAGGAATGAGATCTATACGGCGGACCCCGCAAACGTCGAGTATATGCTCAAAACAAACTTTGAAAATTATGGCAAGGTATGCCCTGATTTCAATTTTCTCTGATTGATTGCTCTCTGCATGTCTTGGAAGATGCTAATATTGGGAATTCAATAATATGTGTGCATGTGTGTGTTTATACTTTATATATATATATGCTGTATTTTCATGAAAGATCAGGCAAATAGACTAACTGGGACAAAACATTCACTTTGATGTAGGCAAAAATTAATGGCTTTTATCAAGTTACTGAAATATGATGTTGCTTTTAAATGAAAATTCAATTGACAGTTAAATGGTCAAATATAACAAGCAAGCAATTGTTAGCCGGAAAAAAAACGAGGAATATTAGCACTCCTATTATAACTAATCATAGATGTGGATTATAGTGAATTTTTATTGAACCTGGATCTGAGTCATAATTAGGAGAATTAGAGAAAAATGTTTTTGGTCTTGATGCACTATACTTATTTACTTTTCTACAGGGAGTTTCATAGAAAATTTTCAGTTTTATTAAATCGACATAACTAGACCTTGGAAGCTTATATATGACCGTGAAATTGCTACATCTCTGTTTAAGCCCTAGTTTCCATTAGACAGACCATGGGAAAGGGGGTGTATTATGGAGAATTTTTTTACATGATCCGGCCAATCACAACTCGACACGCAAGCGAATAATCACAATTCGCAAGCGAACAAGTCAGTTTTATTCATATTTTTGCTCGCGTGTCATATTGTGATTGGTCGGGACTATGTAATAATTTCTTGTCTATTATGCCTTTATTTTAAATCATGGCTTTCAATAAAAACATTGGAACTTCAAATATTTCATTTTTTTTTTTTTGAAACTATGTGCAGGGAGAGTATAATTACACCATTTTAAGGGATCTATTAGGGGATGGGATTTTCACAGTTGACGGTGACAAGTGGCGTCAGCAGAGAAAGGTTTCGAGCTATGAATTCTCCACAAGGGTACTAAGGGACTTTAGCAGCACAGTCTTCAGAAAAAATGTGGCAAAACTAGCTAATATAGTGTCTGAAGCTGCAAGTTCCAACCAAACAATGGATATTCAAGTGAGTTTGTTTTACTCACTTTTGATATTTTCTCAGGGAAAAAAACTAATACAAATGACCAATGTAGGATCTGTTTATGAAATCAACCTTGGATTCGATATTCAAAGTTGCATTTGGAGTTGAACTAGACAGCATGTGTGGTTCAAGTGAAGAAGGCGCCAAATTTAGCAATGCTTTTGATGATTCAAGTGCAACGACTCTTCTGCGATATGTTGATATCTCATGGAAGATCAAGAAAGCTCTGAATATTGGATCGGAAGCAAAGCTAAAGAAGAATATGAAATTGGTTGACGATTTTGTGTATAAGCTGATTCGTGGCAAGATTGAGAAATTGAACAAGTCACAAGATGATTCTTCTGTAAGTGAACACTACATAGCTTCTCTACCTCATCAAATTCAAAGACCTGATTTTATTTCATCATATTATATATGCCATTTTCAGCTCGAGAAAGAAGACATTTTGTCAAGGTTTCTGCAGTTGAGTGAAACAGATCCGGAGTACTTACGAGATATAATACTGAACTTCATAATTGCTGGAAAAGACACAACAGCTGCCGCTCTTTCGTGGTTCATTTACATGCTTTGCAAGCATCCTGCAATACAGGAAAGGTTGGCACAAGAAATAAAAGAAGCAACCAACATGAAAGAGATCACAGACGTTGCCAATTTTGCAGCCAGTTTAAGTGAGGAAGCTCTCGAAAAGATGCAATATCTTCATGCAGCATTGACTGAGACTCTCAGACTCTATCCTTCAGTACCAGTGGTAATGAAATTCTTACCTATAATTTGTGGCTATGCATTTCCTACTTATAGCCAATATATTTGAATCATATCCTTAGGAACAAGAAGTAAGTTCTCCAAGTTCATAAGTTCCAAGTTATGTCGAGATTATTTCAATGTGATCTATGAGTTCCCATATTCCCTGATTACAGGATGCAAAGATATGCTTTTCGGATGATACTCTACCGGATGGGTTTAGTGTGAGAAAAGGGGATATGGTGGCTTACCAACCATACGCAATGGGGAGAATGAGATTCATATGGGGTGATAATGCAGAAGAATTTAAACCAGAAAGATGGCTTGATGAGAGTGGCATCTTCCGGCAAGAAAGCCCGTTTAAATTTACAGCCTTCCAGGTTAGGAGAGATCTTTTCCTCATTTGACTAATATATCATCTACAACATATTACCTTTAAGCTATTTCACCATCAAATGTGGCTCAGCCTTGTTAGTTTTCAAGTTATTAGTCTTTGTTGGAAAAACTGAGTAAATTCTTATGCTGATTAACAGGCAGGACCGCGAATTTGTCTGGGCAAGGAATTTGCTTATAGGCAGATGAAGATATTCGCAGCAGTCTTGTTAGGCTGTTTTGTGTTCAAACTGAGTGATGACAAGAAAGCTGTCAATTACAGGACAATGATCACTCTTCACATTGATGGGGGACTCCATGTTCGTGCCTTCCATAGATTAAGAAGCCACACACCCATATAAATGTACGATTTGTCTGCTGTATATTAAATGTGGAAGTTTGAAGTAGCAATCTGTCTGCCGTATATTAAATGTGGTAGTTAGAAGCAGCAATCAGTACCTAATTTAGCCAACTAATTTATTGTCTCTCTCTCTCTCCACTAGCCCCCACGGGCTTGGTAAAGGTGGTAAGGTATGGGGTTCGGCTCTAGTATGTCTCGGTTTAGAATTCCAAGACTCCCATTATAACTTTTGATTTAACTGGTGCTATCGTGGTACGGAGTTCCAAGTTTCAAAAAAAAAAAATACTCCACTAGGCTTGAACCCTCAATCTCTTCTTTTGGGAGATGGAAGGACGTCCACTCAAGCCCAGGCTTTGATGGCCTTGTTCTTCATACTTGGTGAGAAGAAACTGTAGATCAACATCCTTAATGCATGCATGGACTGGTCTCGTTTAAAATTGTTTAGAAAAGAGAAGTAAATAATACTAACAGGCCAGTGGTCTAGCAGTATCAGTTTCTTACTTTCCAAAGAGATGTCAGGGGTTCATCTCAAAAGAGACGTGTGTGTGAGTACCAATTAAGAAAATAAAAAAAAAATTTAAAAACATATCCGTTCATAATTAACAAAACTTTGGAGGAATATAACAATGAGACAAGCACAAGGTGCAGGAGTTATTTTTAGTCTTTTTTTTAAGTACTTTACCACGCAAAAAAAAAATCCCAATGGTGTTTTTACATGTATCTTTATAATTAACAAAACTTTGGAGGAATATAACAATGGGACAAGCACAAGGCGCAGGAGTTCTTTTTAGTCTTTTTTAAGTACTTTACCATGCATATATAAATAACGTAAGATGAGGTGTGGAAGGTTATTGAAGAAGAGAGAATCTGGTAATCATCATGAAACTTCAAAATGAATAATACAGAGGGTTTATTGCTTCTGCTTATACAATGATCCCAACCGTATGTATTCCAGGCGACCGGAGTTGAGAGAATCCATGGTACTCGGAAATGAAACAGATAAATAAAAGTTCCATTGATTACGGGTTGCAGAGGCACTCAAAAGCCCTCGAATATAATCACGCCCTACTGACAAAGCCATCTCCACATGCACGAAGAAAGGACGTTGACAATTTGATGAAGCACGCTTTACACTGACTATAATGATGGCAATGTAATCACGGGCCGTGGGAGTTGTATCCCCGGCCTTGATGCCCATCCTTTCCTGTTCCTGTAGGCCTCAACAGCCTGTAAACGGAGCCTCTCATGTGAAGCATCTTGGGTTGTCTTCAATGCCTTCATGACAAGAAAAAAGCTCGTAAACGGAACTCAAGAGCTTTAATCTGTGAGGTAACATTCTAAATTAAGTATCTTACCTTGGGAATTGTGACCAACTTTGGTGGAGCATTGACTACATCTCCAAATTTGATCTCTTCACAACCAGGGAAGTCCAGATTCTCTTCTGCCTCGCTGCCTTTGTGTTTCCTTTTCCTTGCTTCCAAACGCCTACACAAATTTAAATTCTAAATTAAAATTTTCAGACCTGAAGCAGAACTGAGCTTTTTTTGTTTCTTTCATTTCTGTGCCACAAGATCAAATCACCAGTTCACCACAAAGACCACAACTAAAGAGGATAAGTCCTGGAATGTTGCATTTTGCTCCTTACCATCCTCTGTGAGAGAGAGAGAGAGTGAGAGAGAGAGAGAGAGAGAGAGAGAGAGAGCCCAGTTCGTATCCATAAAAATTGGTTAAGCATGAGAAGACAAAGGAAAGCAATGCAACCTTACTAAACTCAATGCAGAGGAAGATTGGCTATGGCACTCAGATGGGCACTCAGATGTTCAATTAAATTAGGGGATTCATTCCATTTTGATTAGTAGTCAGAAATTGTTTCCTCAGTCGACTCCAAAATAATGGAAAGACTATATATATATATATATATTTAAGAGAAAATTGTTAATGTAATTTAAATCAAACAGAATTTACTTACATGAGTAGATTATTCGAAGTGGTGCATAATTTTGATGGCTATTATGCATTATTAGGGGTTACATTTTTAATCTCTCCATCTGCAGTATTGTGATATAAATTTTGGAAATTGATTAATGAGTCTCATCTTTTATCCTCTAACACCTGTTCTTTTGTTCTTCCTGATAATCAACTTGATACTAAAGTAATACAATTGGAAAAATCACGACTCAATGAAGAATGGGGCTTATTACACAAGCTAATGTCAGAATTGAAGATAAAAGCGAAACCAGGCCAAGCCATCTGGTTTGTCTCCCTCAGCTCTACTTCTGTCAACACTCGAGATGAGAAAGGAATTGAGGGTTATCAGATGGATAGGAATCTCAAATGTTACTACCAAAGGACATAGTCCAATGAAGTGGAACAAATAGGTACCATCTAATGGTTGTCAAGATATCAGAGGAATCAAGCCAAGAAACAGAAAGACAAAAAGAAAATTGTAACAAACACTTACTTTTTCTTATGCTCCTGCCTTTTCGAACCACCACCACCTAATTCCTCTGCTGTTTCAAACCGCAGGTCATTTACTGGCTTTCTTTTTCTCTTTTTCTTTCTCTTTTCATGTGTGCTATTATTTTCCACAATCTCATCACCATGACCCACACGCTGTCGTGTTGAACATCCACCATTACATTCCCCTTTTAATTTAGTAGTTTTAGAGTCAAATTCATCCTCCGAATGATGTTTCTGTGAATTAATCACACAAATGAATGAAACTCAAATTCCAAAATAATCGACAGTAAATGGAAAACTATAAATATACGAAACTAAGGTTTACAGAGAAATATACAAGAGAAAAAAATAAAAAATAAAAAAAAATAAAACCTGTTAAGTAATTAGCAAATCATTAATGGATCATATAGATTGTTCTCCTTCTCAGTCTATCTTAAAACTTCAGGTTCACTTCTTTTGTAGGTCTCAACTTCTTCACTATAATCTTCCCACTAGTTCATAGAGGGAGTATAGCCATTTCATACCAATGCGAGATAATGATGTTCCATATTCAAATAGTGGAGACTCACAAAGAAGTACTGCCCCATTAACCAGAGACTTAGTATTATTAGACTGATCTTTTGGTGGGAAATGTTCACTTTAGGCATTGTTCCTACCATTAAATAAAACTGAAATGCGTAGTACCAAAATTTTGTGAGCTTTATATTTAGTATGATCATTAAATCTCGCCTCTCTCCAAAGTTGTATGTCTTCATTTGAATCTAATCAAGTCTTACTGGTCTCTTCATAGTATTGGCTTGTTGAATGGTTAGCCACAATCTAAAGTATGATAGAATTGAGGTGAGTTTATAGAGATTAAAAAATTGGAACATGTTGAGGATTAGATCGCTCCTAGAATGATTTTCTTTTAACAAGAGTGCTCTGAGTCACTGACGTATCAGAGCCTTGGTCTTTTACTTCACCATCTAAAGGCTCAAATGCATTAACATTTTTCTCAATCAAAATTTCTGGCTTCGTTATGTAACTGCCGGAAGTGAAAAACAAAGGCCTTCCAGCAATCAGCTTGTGCATCAAGTTGCCTTTACTTGGAGAGTTGGAGATATTTCAGTTCCTATAAAAAAATCTATGACCTGGAAAAGCAAATAGCAGAACTCTCAGGTCATCCGCTACTTCAGTGAAATTTTTGAAAGGCTTTCCTTCCTTTTTTTCCCTTTTCTTTTGGCAAAAAAGAGAAACTAACACATTTTTAGAAATCCAAGTCATCCCAAAATCGACTGACATAATATCCCCAAAACCACAGAAGAGAAAGATCAACCAAGAAGGAAACTTGCAGAAGAAAAAATATAAATCACAAATTCTCAAAAAGAAGGATACGGACACAACACCACAAATTTTCAAAAAGAAGGATAGGTACACGACAAGGACACATTAATATATATATGTATATATATATATATATATAAAATATTAATATAGATAAGTATAAATTTTAAAAAATGGAGTGTTAAAGAAAACAAAAATGGAGGCTATGAGAGAGAAAACTCCCTGTAACAGAGACGCGGCCTAAGCCTACTGCTCCGACAAGTCACCGGAATCATCTATTCCGGTGAAATCCTCTGCTACTTTCCTTGGCTTTTCTTTTTTCTCTCTTGTTATGCGGTCTTTCTTGGAGGTGGCTCGTCTTCCACGACTATTTCAGGGTGGGTTCGCAAGATCTGCTTCTACATACAGAGGGTTTTCAATTTTCTTGGATGATGACTCGGTCGGTAAGAGAAGAGATGATCTGAAATCATGTTTGGTGGGAAATTTAGATAAAGATGTAGGTGATTGTGCTCAGATTGCAGCGTGGGCTTCACGTGTTTGGAAGATCTCGCCGGCGGTTGTTGTGGCGCCCCTGTCGGATTCTTTGCTTCTTTTTCGCTTTCCTTCTAAAGCGGACGCAGAGAGAGTGCTTAAGAAGGGATGTCGTGACTGGGGAAAGGCTTCTCTTCACTTGGATTCGTGGAATTTTAGGGTGGGATGCTCTGAGGTTTTGAAAGAGAAAGGGCTGAAGAAGGTAACACTGCCTTCCTCTTCACTTGTGGAACCACGCTCTATTCATGATGGTTGGATTTCTGTGGAGGTTTCATTTGTGTTGATGCTGATGATTCTATTGATGCTGAGAAGGTTCGCATCACTGTGTCGGACGGCCATGCTTGCCCGCCGTTCATTTTTGTTCATGATAATCGTTTTTGTTACAAGGTAGCTGTTTGGGAGGAGACACATCCTCAGCTTGTTCTGACGAGTGACAGTTTGAAAGGGGGAGATGGGTCTCACCTGCTTAAGGAGAAGGAGTGGTTGAGATGGGAATCCATGGGTAAGAAAGGGATGGAGGAATTTTAGAGGTGGAAGGAGTGGAGGGATAAGCTTTGGGAACGGAACACAGCTTGCTTCAGAAAGATCTTCACTCAGCAAAGGAGGGTGAGTACTGTGTCTTCGACGGTTGGTGATCGGAACTTTGGTCGGCAGGATTTACAGAGGGGTGGAGGTTTGGGGTTTGGCCGTCAGGCCTTTTTGCAGGGATGGGAACGACGATCCTATCAGGGTGTGGTTCACGTGCATCCAGCGCGTGGGTGGGGGAGCAGAGGTGATAATCCATGTGGTTGGCGTAGGGGAGAGAGTCGTTCAAAGTGGATTCCAGCTGTCTCTAATTGGAATAATTTCCAATGGACAAGGAAGGCTACGATGGATTTGGTAGGAGATGGGCTTGGTTTTGGGCCAGCGAATGGGGCCATGGTGGAGAGGAGTCATGGCACTTTTCCGATTTTTGGGCCTATTTTCAATGAAGTGCATGACCATGTTTTGAGTGGGCTGGATAAAGGTAAGGTGGCCCAATCTAAGGTGTCTGTGTGCACGGAAGCTTCTTCTGCTGAGCTGGGCTGCGGATTTTCGACTCGGCCAGGCTCCGAGCTAGTTATTTCTGGGCCGTCTTGTTCTGCTCTTGTGGTAAACAACTGGTTTGCCCCGCTCTCTTTGGTTGATCCATCTCAGTTGCCTGGTGCGCCACCTCTCAAAGAGGGACGAATAGTTTTGTTGCCTGCACAGGGACACCGTCTGCGATCAAAGAAGCGGATTCTTCTCCCTGCCATTCGTAGAAGGTGGACTCATAAGGAGAAACAAAAACCCAACACCACCATCACTAACCCATGCGGCAACTACACTCAAGCATTCTGCAGCCCTCTTGTTGGATCACACTCTGCTCCTCAATTCCCTAAATTCGTTGGGTTTTGTATCTTGAAAATTCGTTGGGATCCTTGCTACTATACTAATTGACGCTCTAGCGGATGGAACACCCGCTGTCTTCTTTTTCTTTTTCTTTGCCCCCTTTTGCCTGCTTTTCACCGCTTCAAAATTGCATCAATTTTAGAAAGTCATTCACTCAGATAACCATTTATCATGGTGGTGGGTGGAGAGAAGAGAGAGAGTGAAGAAGATAGTTGAGATAAAAGAGAAACGAAGGAAGAAGAGAGAGGATAGAGATGATTGTGGTGGTGGTAGTGGTGGCGGCTATGGCTATGGGTGGCGAGAAGAGAGGAAGAAGACAAAAGAAAGGGAATATTTTTTTTTTTCGGCAGAAAGGGAATTCAGGTTTCGGAATCTAACATGGGTCAAAATAGTCTTTTCCCATACAAGATATTTTAACAATTCTTAATAATTTAATATTAGGGATAAATGAGTGGGCATTTTGCTCAATTCAACCATTTTTTCTGACAAAAAGGTACGGAGGGGAGGTCTTTGCAAAATTGGGGCAAACCTCATGGGACACGTTCCAAAAAAATGCAAACCTCAGGTTTATTTGTAATTAGGCCAAATCTCAGGGGAGTTCATTGTAGTTTACCCTTGTTATTAACATTTCCTTATAAAAACATTATGACAAACAAGTTGATAATTATATTTCATAGTTCAACTTTACTAAATTGGTCATGATATTTATCTCAATACTGTTTTTGAAGAAATTCTTAACTTTTCTTAACAATTATACTAAGATACTTGAAAAGTTATATTTAATCTTCAAGACTTGTTAAATTCGTGTCGCGAAGTACCTAAGAAGTATCGGATCTGTCCAAGAAGTATCCATTTTACAAGTATTTGATGTATCTAACATAGACACGATACAAGCAAGTTACCCTTATAGAAGTATCTGTGGTTCACAAAAGCAAATAAAACTAAAATTTTCGTCAACAGACCTGAGCTATCACAAGCTTCGATCAAATGGAACTAGTGTTTCTTTCTATTTCTTTTCCGTTTCTCGGTAATTACCAATACAACACTTTAGCTAGGTGGAGGGGCAATCATTTCATTTTTTTCTTTTTCATGTTGGAAACAAATATATATATATATTTTTCACAGTAGGATTTTCTTGTTGAAAACTTAAGCAAACATTAAACATGAAATTAAAAGAAAAAAAAAAATAGAGGATCACTATAATCCAATCAGAAATTACCACTTCAGGCCTAACAAACAGTATAACCTGAGTTACAATGCCAGAAAAAAAAAATCCAAATACATAAACTTCCTAACACTCAAAAATGTATAACGCTTACCTTGTTAACAGAACTGCCACCACCGTCATCTCGTCTATTCCTCCGCTCGGTATCCACCACTGCCTTTGCAGATCCTAAAACAATATAAAATCATTCATTCAGATACTAAAACTAGAGAAAGAAACCCTAGAAATTACTAAGAAAACCCATTTTAGTTTGCCCAACATATTCTAAAAAGGAAAGAAAGTTATCAGCATAAAAAAATTGCATACAAATTGATAAAGTAAGAGCTACTAATGCAAGGAACGAGATAGAGAGAGAACCAGTTTGGGGGAAATTCTTAAAAGCCATAATCTGGCGGAGTTTGGAGGGCAGAGCGTCAACGGAGGAGGGATTAGGCGGCGGAGGTAGACGACTATGCCCCCCGTGTGCTGCTCTGTAGTTCTTCTCTCTTCGCCTCTGACCTTTCCCTCCCATCTCTCTCTCAAAAGTATTTTTCTCTCGACTAAAGAGAGCAACGGCGATCCTGTCACTCTGATTTTCGCGCTATTTGGAGTCTGTTTGGCAGCCCAGAAATCGTTTCCCAGTTATTTTCCTTGCATAAATAAGATAAAAAAAAAAAAACATGTCCCAACCCTAAAATAATATTACTATTTTTTAAAAAATTAAAAAAGGATGTAATTGCCAGTTAAAAATGCGTGTGGCTTCTTTCTACTCCAAATTTTTTTGTTTTTTTTAGAATGATAAGCAAATTGTATAAAATAAAGAGAAATTACATGTGGGCCTTGGCCAATACAACCCAGCAAGCTGAAAATTTGGCCCAAAAGATGTGCTGAACAAAGAAGAACCCGGCCCAATGACCACTAAATAGCGTAGATAACGGGCTGATTGTTAGCCGTTAATCCAGGATATTTATTTACAATCCGGTGCTAGCCCTAGCCGTTGTGAAGGAACAGAGTCCCATATCGATGATTCAGTCCGGCGGTCTTGGAGGTGGTTTTCAGCGTGAGGGTGAGGGGTTCCATTCAGAGAGTAAATTCTCCGATGCTGAACAGTTTTTTTAGGAAACCCAGTTTGAGAATTGCGGTGATGGTGTTGCAGAGTTTGCCAAGAACAGTTCTCTGAGGAGGGGTTTTTTTGTCGAAAAATTCTGTTGTTTCGCTCTTCCCATGTGTGGTAGAACCTGCATGGATCCTGAATAAACTTCCAAATTGGGGAAATGAAAGTGCAATTGAAGAACAGATGAGAGTGGGTTTCTGGTTGGTTGCTACACACAGCACAAATGTACTTCAGTATTGCTGCCTAGGAGGTTTTGTAATGATGTCAACAAACAAGGATGAGGTGCGAATTCAAACTAATTCCTTTATATGTTGTTTTTCTTCTTCATATGATCAATATGATTTTGTGCACTATCTCTGAATGGTTTGGACTCATTTACTTGTTTGTATATCGTCAGCAGACATGGCAGGAATGGAGTTCTGCAGATTACGAACGCAAAATCAAGGAATTATAGCTTTTTCCTTTTAACATTTGATCGACTATCATTCAATGCCAATTCAGAGGATAGTAACTCTAGTTTTGGTAGTCGTCTGTCTCAGCTATTGGTTTGGATTTGTGTATCGATAGAAGGAATTGTTCCAACTATTGATTTTGATGTTCCTCTTGAAGATGGATCGTCTCCTCTGCATCATGCTGCTCAATCATTTTCCTACGATTTAACTATCTTCTTACTCGGAAATGGAGTCCAAACTCATGCACAGGTTCCATGGCTTGCTTCCACTCAATGTAGCTCTCGAATCACTAAGGTAGAAATCAGAATTTATCTTCCGCTCAATGTTGTTATATATATATATATATATATATATATATTTGACTTTATGCACACACAAGCTGTATTTTTGGTACAGCCTGGACCCCTAAAGAATCTATCTCCAATTTGATTATGATGTTTTGTTTTAAGAAAATGGTATGCTTTCCCTAGCATATTACTTGGATTCATGTTAGAAAATCTATCATTTGGAACAATTAAGTATGTCAAGATAAAGCAGAAGAATACTGATCCAAAGGTCACCTATCTTGTTTCACTGACGTTTTGCTGGAAAAGCCATTGGAGACGACTATTAAGTGGATTGTAAGGCATATGAAACCAAAGTAGGTCCAGGATGTCATTTTCCACTATGCAGAGAAAGGGAATCTCATCGAGTTGGCTGCTTTGTTTGTGCAAATACCAGTAAGATGGTTTCCTGGTCTCTCTCTACAGATTTTTCTACCTTCCTCTCTTTATTTCAGTTTATTTTTTAAAAAAATTATTTGTTATTTTTTTAAAACTATTTTTTGCTCTTCTTTAGTGTTTCGAGGATGCAACAGACATTGAAAGAATGGGAACAAATTCGTAACCTGATTTTATGGTTTATATAAAAGCAACTTTCGTGTCTATGGTAAATTTGATTACCCTCGATTTTTTCAAATTCTTTAGAAGAAGTGAATCACTGATAAATTATTGATTATCTTTTTTTAATTAATCAGTGTCGTTCATTAGGGGAAGTAATAATGTTTGTGTCTATGAAATTATACGCGACGGTTTAAATGCTAACGAAGGGAGATTTTTCTTTTAGATTTTCCCCACATTACAAAGGAAAATGATTCACATCCCCTTGATTTTATTGCACTAGTGCCAAATATATATCCACTCTACATTACGACAATGTGACTATATTTGACATACTAATCTATATTATTATTTCTCAGGTAAAATATTTGAAGCTAATTAAGGTTACGAGATATATTTTGTTTACATGTGACCTAGTGGTATATTCTATTCCACAATAAACCGTATCACACTTTACATACTAATTTTTAGTCAAATTTTCCCAAATCATTCGAGACCAACCCAGGATCCCTTTATCTTCCTCTCCTCTTCTAGGGGTGGGCTTATTACAGGATTTAGAGCTTGTGCAGTAGAAAGAATGTTCCCTCTGTTAGAGGTGGTAGAAAAAAGACCGAGAGAGAGAGAGTACCAAGTTACGAAGGTCTTTTTATTTTCAGCAAATATTCTGCAGTGTAACGTCATGAAAAAATCGGCACTCGGATTTTCATATACTTTGATACCAAGAAAATTGGACAAAAACAAACAGCACAAAGACCATTATGTATCCAGTCTCAAGAGCGAAAAACTTACAATCGTGTTATATACAGTGTTCTTACACTTTAGGATACATATTTACACCCAAGAAGAGGGCTGCAGATTGCAAGTCAAGCAATCAGATTTGACTTCTGAAACGGCTATCAATCTGTGTTATTTTTGTATCCATTTGAATTGTATTTACAGCGTATAAACTTCCGTGATCTTCAACAAACAAAAATCTCAATGGTTCAGAAACATTCATTTTATGAGGGGGCTGAACTCGTCTCCTTCTCATCCTAGCTGCTTCGCATTTGATCTGCCACCTTCATACTTAACTGCAAGCAAAAAGAACAAGAATCACAATTAGGTACAATTTATACCAAACGTTTTTAGTCACAAGGGGCCTGGGACATAATTTCAAGGTAGAATGGCTATTCCAGTCATAATGCAATCAGCTACAAAGGTTGGAAACCTTTTTAGTACATTGTTTTACAAATTAGATCATTTCTGTATTTGATTTTGGAGATGAACTAAAATCAATTTTTCATTACAACATGGTTAAACGAACAAAAGCTATGGAAGAACGGTTGAGACTAAATGGTATGCAAGAAAATGAGGGGTTCTACTCGCCACTTTTGCATTTAGACACGGTAAAATGGATAAAAATATGGAAGACCTGTCAATTAGATGGTATTCCTGACTATCGGGATGGATATACCCCTATTGCATCACTTTATGCATAACTCCACATCAGTGAGATGCTTTAAGTGGAGTGCTACATGAGACATAAAACTGCTCCTGGCCAGATTGGATGAAACCGCCTGCAAGCCTTTATCATGGCCAGACAGATATACACTTCTAAAAACATGTCTTTCCTGTTGCTAATGCTAAATGCAATAAAAAAAGGAAGTGTGAACACCATTGAATCAACCTCCGTACACAACTGCTAGAGACAACCATCCGATGAGACAAAAGCTGCTAGTAACACTCTATTCTCCAGTTCACCACCAATACAAATTCCACCCAACACCTTCCATCTATATCGCCTTTTTAAGAACAAGTTTTCACTGGCTATCAAACTCTCACGAATGGAAAAAACAACAGCTGGCTGTTTTTGAATAATGAATCAGGGTGCAGGAACAAATATTCTGAAAACATGAAACACTACCAAGACAAGCTCCTGGTGATAATGAAGAGCTTCAATTGAACATTTAGGTTCTTTGGATTTTACGGATTTGGGGCAAGTGGAATTTGATTTTCTCGCCCAAAATCCCTGGCAATTGTTTGGATGACCATGAGATTGGAGGATTTGAAATCCCAATAAATCTGCTGTGCGGATTAAACAACCCAAAATCTATGGATTTCAAATAACACCTGACAGAGCATTATTTCCCAAATATACTTATCACCTGCTCTCCCACGACCATGAGTCGACTATCCCTCTCCTCTCCATGTCATGATTCCTCTCAGACCCTGGCCGGCATCACCATTTATTCCAGTGATGACTGCGAAAATACGGCCAAGTCTCAACAGCATGATCAGAGGGTACGCCTATTGAGTCATTGACTGAAGCTCCACTGGAATCTGACATTACAGAGGGAAAAATTCACAAACCGACACCAGAAGCAATTGGAAGGATCCTTTCAGCACCTCAATCATCACCAGGTCGTTTCAATGGCTATAGCGTGTTGGTCTTTGGCTTTGGCCTTAGAGGTAAATGACAATTGTAGAGTTCATTTGGTTGGCCATGGCAGGAGTGGATTTGGTTTCTGGAATTCTAACAGGCACAGACAAACAAACCATAAACTTTTAAAATGAAAATCTCAAACATGAAAAGGAAAATATGTTCAACTTACAGCAGGATCAGTGAAAATTATCAATTGTTTGTCAGCAGTTGAAACTAAAAGATTTGTGTTATCCTTGTTTAGAGTCATAGCTGTGATATCTTGCCCTTCAGCCAGTTTATATGTATGGAATACCTGCAAGCAAATTAAAATCAACAAGTTGATACAGGTTGCAGAGTAGGGTAAAAGATTGAGTGGTTTCCATTATCAGACTAGAGAATATAGGAGCCACTGCACTTCTAACATGTAGCAAGCATATCTTGTGGGGTGACCACCATAATCCATTCCTAACTAATATGAAGATAAACCTATTTACATTGATGTCTGGTTTAAATAAATTTCTTTTCTTTTTTTTTTTTTTTTTTCTTTTCCATACCTTTAGAGTATGCATATCAAGGAAGCAAACTGAAGGTGACGGAATAATCAATCTGTTGTCTTCACTTGTTTCACCTGATTCTGTATCAAGATGTTCAATCCCTGACTTTTGTGAGCTCAATCCAATCAAAGCGCTCTGTCCATCAACAGAAACTTCCATGCAGCTAATACTACTGGAGAAAGGAAGTTGTGCCCTAGCAATCAGAGTCCCGTTAAGAGTATATGTGCTGAGAATATGGAGTGATTTGTCCCAAGCCATTATTAATCCATCAGATGAAAGGCAGACCATATGGGCCTTCACATCAATCAGCCTTCTTATCAAGCGACCCCCTGCTACTGAATGCAGCAAAACATCTGAGGAGTTGGAGCATGAGACCACAATTCCAAGATCTGAACTGACAAAGCAGCATATTATTTCCCCAAGATGGCCCCGGAGGACATGTATGGGACCTTCAATACGGCGTCTCCTGCTTTTGTCTGTAGATATTTTTGCAAAAGTATTACTGCTGGTTGAAGTTGGTGTGCCTGATCCAGTGGAAGGCTCTGGTATGCTGCTGGAGTGAGATGTTAATGCCCGATTTATCCTCCAGAGTAGGACTGTAGTGTCTCGGGATCCCGTCACAAGGTAGTTGCCATCAGTTGATAGAGCCACACAAGTAACTGGAGCACAATGTCCTAGGGCTGTTTCCAAGGTTTTTGCTCCTTCCAATGATATCAATCTCACACTATTATCCACATGCCCACCTAATCACACACCCATAAGTTTGAAGTAAGATACAAGTTTATCAACACAATTCAAAAGCAACTATTATGCGGTAACAACATATAGGATTTTGTTTATTAAAAGATCTAGAACATGGAACGGATGGTTAACTCTATATGAGACTATTCCCTTCACACACACTGGGAGTTCAAATCAACTCACACCCATTTGTCCCATTGGGGACTCGAATCCTCAAACTTCCATTTATAAGAAGGAGATACCACTTGGACTACTTTCCCTTGGTGGTTGAGTGATCCAATTTCAATCGCCACAATATTACAATACTGCACCATTTAGCTACAACCATAAATACAATACAAATAATTTTTAATTAAGAAAAAATAAACAATGCAATGGAACTGATACCACTATTAAAATGGTGTAATCAGACGAAGAAAAAAAAGTGCATTTTCCAATGATTATTTTGCTGCCTACAAGGGGTTGCTGGAGGACGAAAACTTGAAGAAAAACCTAATATTAATGTTTTTATTTCTGATACAAATTAGTTACCTTTACATTATTTTTTCTTTTTCCAAGTTTCCCCACTTGCATTTCTGCAACAATTCTTACAAGATTATTCCGCTTCACCATACTTAATTTTACTAGACTTACAAAGATAAATAAAAATTTGTTCCTTTTTATTTCAGTAAATTTTCTTTACAGAATTAAGATAAATAAAAAATGGATGTGAAAAATGATTACCAGTAATAATCTCTTTCTCATGCGTGATTGAAACAACAGCTGAGCTTTTGATTCCAGATGTTGCAAATGCAACAGCTTGGGAAAAATGCCAATCCCCTGAACCAGAGGCACTTTGTCCTTTGAACATTCGCAAGATTGTTCCACCGGCGGAGCTTGCACTGGGTTTTCCATGTTGGAAAACAAATGGTGTTCCCTGGCCATCAGGTGTGTTTGGCTGCCACTTGTGCTCCACAACATGTGCTGCTGGGGCATTTATATCAACAACTACGACAGAATCTGAAGATGCATGAATGGCAGCAGCAGGCAGATTGCAGTGTTCAGGAGAGGGAATAACATATGGCTTGACTTCTTTGGGGTTTCGGAAGATGGTCTGACATACAGAAATCCAATTATTTTGTTAGCTATTGTCAATATTACAGGAAAACCAAATGGAAAGTAATTGAGAGACAAAGGGTCCCAACAACACTGTCGAAGAATTTTACTATTCCAATGGCCAACTCAATTACTCTAGACAATGAGAATTGGTCTTGGTTGTGTTTGCTACTGCTGCTGCTACCACTACTACTATGATGCAAGCAATGTAAAGAATAATTAAGAATTACATGGGCATCTAACAAAATTAATTCTTGTACCACCCTTGTAGTTATGGTTATAACCTTACATGATACATTCTACATTAGATATGAATGCATAACTATAAAAAATGTACATATGTTAAGACCAACATGTATACAGGGATAGGGGACTTCTACTGGTCATCAAACAACAGGATTCTACTAATATGACTGCTTTCATCTACAAGGGCACTGGAATCATATCAATTACCAAAATTCCCTAGCAATTTTAAATGCTAAAACTAACACTTATGAAATTATGGGTTCAAAGTCCAGAGCAGTCAATTCATACAAAATAATACCAAAAATTAAGGCTGTGTTAGGGCCATCTGTCCTATCCCCCTGACCCTTTAAACATGGGACAGAAAATAGGTAATGGCCTTTTATAAAATGGAAATCCCTGATTAACCAAAATTGATAGACCAGTTCCCATATTAGCAATGCAACTTCAGGTTATCGTTTGCATGCTAGCAATTTCATAAAGCCAGTTCATAATGAATGCTCTAATGATGGTCCTAATTCATTAAAAGTGATTGCTTTATTGTTATTACCCACAACACAAATTCTTGGCATGAATTTTGACTTTTATATGATTGATGCAACAAGTATGACACCAGCCTTAAATCAAGCAGATTTCCAAAAATAAATTGTCACAAGATAAATTTTCTAAAGTTTCTCCAACATAACAAACTAAAATTGTCTGATACAGTAATTGTATGGGCATGTCTGTTTCATGAGTGCGTATTATGTTCAATACCCATTAAGCATATTACCCAGTTCAGGTCCCGCTACAGCAGGATCTATGGAGGGAGAACTCTATGCAGCACTAATCTTTGGCATTTTACAAAAAGGCTACTTTGAGATCAGATTCACACCAATGACACTAATGTTCAAGTGTTTAACCACGGAACTAGGCAATGCCCCTAATTAAGTTCGATAGACATACTATGTTTGGTTTGTGGCTCAAATTCATGTGTGAAAAGTACTTTCCTTTTCAATTTGGGATGTTTCTATTTTAGAGTTGTGATTGATATGGTAACTCCTTGTAGGCAAGTTGTGAATTCTTGTCCAACAAGTAATTGGGTTTTGAAGACTCAATAAATAGAGATGGGTTGGGTAGAGAGGTAGAGAGAGAAAAGGAGCCAGTGAGTGTTGTGAGGAGAGGAGAAAGTATATGTGATTCCTGTGGATGTAGCCTGAGAAGAAAGGGGTTTTGGTGTTCTTAGCCAAGAAAAGAACATAAAGAGAAGAGTGAAAGAAGAAAAGACTGAGTGGGGTTTTGAGATCCGTGCTTGTATATTCTCTTCTTTGATACATAATAGTGAAATCTCTCTCTCCATGGATGTAGCCTTAGAGTTGGGTGAACCATGTAAAATATTGTGTTGTGCGTGGATATATATGATTGTTATTTTCATAAATGCTTGTGTTGATATGATATGATGATGTTTCTGATATGTGTGATGAATGAGGGATTTAAGTCTCAACAATAGCCGACCATTGAGTGGGTTGGAGGGAGTTAATCTCCCGAACAACTGGTATCAGAGCCGATGGTCGGTCAGAGCCTGTGTTTGGTCCTGAAGACCAGAGTAGAAGATTGGAGCGAAGTTTGTTAGAGCAGAAGGTTAATCGTGGGTGCTATGGAGATTCAATAAGAGTTGATGACTTGATGATGACACGAAGATATGAAGATGTGTGAAGACACAAACCCATGAGCAACAAGTTTTGGGGACAAGCCAGAGAGTGGGTGTTAGTTCTCAAGATGTGGCAAGTACGGTGTGAGGAATGAAGCTGATAAAGAGCAATGAAGAGTAAAGAAGAGAGGTTTGTTGCTTTGAGCTAGAAAAGCAATTGATGAAGATCAGTTGATTGATTGGTGGGTTGACATGCATGAGCAATTGAATACTAATAGGGATGATGGATGGAGTTTTGTTTGAGGTGGAGCAATCTTCATTCGAGGTGGAGCAATGGAGGAGCGCGTGAAGACCGAATTCGAGCCAAGGTGGAGATTGTTTGGTTTGTGGCTCAAATTCATGTGTGAAAAATAGTTTCCTTTTCTATTTGGGATGCTTCTATTTTAGAGTTGTGATTGATATGGTAACTCCTTGTAGGCAAGTTGTGAATTCTTGTCCAACAAGGAATTGAGTTTTGAAGACTCTATAAATAGAGATGGGTTTGGGTAGAAAGGTATAGAGAGAAAAGATGTAAGGAGTTGGTGAGTGTTGTGAGGAGAAGGGAAAGTATATGTAATTCATATGGATGTAGCCTGAGAAGAAAGGGATCCTGGTGTTCTTAGCCCAGAAAAGAATTGAAAGAGAAGAGTGAAAGAGTGAGTGGGGTTTTGACATCCGTGGTTATATATTCTCTTCCTTGATACATAATAGTGCAATCTCTCTCTCCATGGATGTAGCCCTAGAGTTGGGTGAACCATATAAAATATTGTATTGTGCGTGGATGTGTATAATTGTTATCTTCATACATGCTTGTGTTGATATGATATGATGTGATGATGTTTCTGCTATGTGTGAAGAAGAAGGGATTTAACTCTCGCCAACAGCCGACCGTTGAGTGGGTTGGAGGGAGTTAATCTCCCCAACATACTATACATAGTTGTACATGCGTTCTTGAGTTAAGGATGCAAGTATCAATAACAAGCAATAGCCTGATTCAATAGAAAATATATTCTTTTGTGCTTCCATTGATGTTTTACACTATTGCTGCTCTGGGGCCTCACTAATGGCAATTTCCACTAGAATTAAAGTATATTCTCTCATATTAATCTGTTGCCAAAGTCCCAATATCAAGTATTTTATAAGAGGGATTAGTGTATATGAACACCACTAGAGAGAGAGATAGTACAACCAGCTTATCAAATTCCCACCCTAGAATCCCTGTTACCTCAAGCAATCTTCTTCTCCATGGCTTGTTCAATCCTTTTGCTCTTTATATGATTTGTTGTATTGCTCTTTTGGAATTGATTCTGTTGATCTCCTTCTTGTACTACACTCAATCACATATATTTGTCAATCTATTGAAAACCCTAGATTAAGGAAAAAGGATCTCTCTCTCTAATGCTTAGACACTAAGTTCTCTCACATTGGATCGACTATAACCCAAAATTTATAGCCTAAGCCAATATAGGAGCCTCATGCTATATGATTCATTGACCAATTAAAAGCCTGATTTTTGAGAGTTTTCATAAATAAGTTTCCATTGATTCGATTGATCGACACATTTGCAGAACTCCTTGATCGGATTTTAAACAGATTTTCTGGAAAAACTTTGCCAATCAATCGAGACTTTCTGGAGAGCCCTTGATCAATCAACCTATTGATTGACACATTCCATTTTTCCATAAAACTTCATTTTGAATTCTTTTCAGAAATTCTGAATTTAAAAATTCTTAACTTTGAAAAACGAGTTTAGAAAATTATATTCAAATTAAGAAAAAAACAAGAATCACAACAAAAAAGTAAACACGCCACACACAAAGAACATAAAGATTTACGTGGTTCAGCTTAAGTAAGCCTACATCCACGATGAAGATCCGACGAAAGATTTCACTATGCAAAAAACAGGAGGTTACAAGTTTTAGCCCCAAACCCTAGCTCTCTCTCTCACTCTCACACTCTCTCTCTCTCTCTCACTTTCACTCTCTCTCTCTCTCTCTTTCTGCAATTTTAAGTGTTCTCTCGTTATCCCACTCCAATCCCCAAACGCCCTTATATATTGGGCTATAAGGGAGATTTCTAAACAGGGTCCAAGACCGCAAGCAACATAACAACGAGACAAAATTTTTTCCTCACAAAATCCATTTTTCTGGTCGAAACTAGGTCACAACGCGACCTGAGCCGGAACAAAATTCACGCCACAACATAACATGTGTAGATCAACTTAGGTCTTCTATATATCATTTAAATGTGCCTAGATATGTGATTGAGTACTGCAAATTCTGCATCAATTTCTTGAATGCTTGTAATGGACTGACGAACACTTGACACTACAACTCAAGTTTTGGGTAGGAATTTTCCAGGACTCTTATTCCCAACAAAATTCCTTAAAAATTATTAAGAACATGGTTTTATTGGATTCCAAAGTTAAAAGGTCTCGTATCAGTTCATTTTGGTAAAGTTTTTTAATGTGGAAAAAGTTTCACCACCACAAAGGCTGAATATGGTTAAACAACCCCCGTTACACCCAATGACCGTGATCACGTTAGTGGTTGCAACCAAGCCCATAACTTAAAAGTTTGGATATAACTAGTGCTTGAGAGAGAAGGGACTTGATATCTACATATCCATGCCTATTTAACTGAACTCATATTGTATAGAACATATTTTTTCATGTTTTGCCAGAAAGCACGAGATCTATTGCACTTTACAGTAGTAGATCAGAATACTCTTTTTCTTTTTCATTGTTATAATACTCCTTCGAAGGGGAGACATGAACAAATCAATTTCTTACAACCAGTGAGCTAAAAAGTGTCCATTATACACATGACCCTACTTTTTTTACACTTGGTTCCTTGAATCAAAGCTCACAAGTTGACATGATGCGAACCTGTAAGTACCCAATCTCAATATATCTCTAAAGTCAGCCAATAGATTTAATAAATTGCAAAATATTGATATACTCTAGGCAGATTCTGTATAAATTGTAGGGAATACAGTGACATATTTAAAAAGGAAAACAGACAAAAAAGAAAAATGAAAACATATACAAGCAAAAAGAATTTGAACACAGACAGATGCATATGCACTGTCATATTAAACCTTAATAAAAACATTGAATCACAATGAATCAAGAACTACCTGCAAGTGAAGAACATCTGCTAGTGGCATCTTTCTCAAGTGAGGAACGGTAAGCAGTTGGGATGGGGTTTGTCCAAAGTATGCAATCTGATCTTGTGTATCACGCTGTTGTACCTATAGATGAAATTTCAGAAAATAAGTGAGAGCTAGTAAAACTAAAGAAAGTACAACAAAGGAAAGTCAACTTACTGGGTCCGAAACTTTATCAATATCCACTGTCCCCTCATAGGTAATGTTAAGGAAAACATTGTTTGCCGATATAGCATCTTTTCCTCGTTGTTTATACCTGGATTTCCCAAATCATCCATATGAATACCAGATTTAAAAGAAAATATGAAAACTTGTATTGAAAAGATAATTACTCTTACATCAACCCTTAATCCCATCAGAGAAATTGGTGAATACCCAAAAAAAAAAAAATGAAAAGGAAAAGAGAGGAAAGATTCCTTTTATATTTTATACAGCTTACCCAAATATGAGATCAATCCATTCATGCAAATGCGCAGAAACATGCTCACTCTCAAGTGCCATTCGGTTCTTACGAATGAAATCAACTGGATTTTCTGCCCATGGAGGAAGTCTGACAGAATCTGAAATGGTGATTGAATTTAAAAAGACGCATTTCAAATAGAGTTTAAAAGAGCATATAGCTCTACTTGTACTACTGGAAAAATGTACTTAAAAGGACACACCAAGATTTTCTCCAAGTTGTGTTGTACCAAGGTCAATTGAGTTCTCATTGGTTAAGATCTCTGGGAGGTAGAAGAGCTCAGGAACCTAAGATACATATGGAAAAGAAAAAGAAAAAGAAAAAAAATACTTTAATGACTAGAAGAATACAAGAATAGAAATATGGATAGGTATATAGGACATGTTTGTATATATCTCATACACCAATTTCAACAATAGATGAGCGGACGTAGATAGGGATGGACAAAGTCACTGACAAGCAATTGAAGTGATCAAAGAGACATGCTATCATGGTAATTGAACTGATACAAGAAGCTTTAGTTGCAATGGTCAAATGTTACATACCAATTCCTTTACATCATTTGCGTCCTCAAGAACTCCATTCCAAGTAGCAGCAATATCAGAAAACATTCTGTCTGCACGGTTAAACTTACCACCTTGTAGTTGAATTGAAAGAGTAGTAAATGGCTCAACTCTAATAAGATAATACAACACCTGCAGGAAAAGCACAACAAATTATATAGGATTGTTGTTATAGAATTTGGATATCATAGATGAACATTGCTACTGGGGCTATGCTATCATATATATATATATATATATATTCTATTGCTCAACTCCTAAAATTTAACTATACACATATGTTAGTCACCAAATATCATAGATTTCGCATTTTTGAACATAATTTAGCATCGATAGTGAACTTTACATTGAATATGAGTCACTATCAGAATAAAAGCTTATTAGTTTTTACTTTCACTACTTCAATAATCACAATACACTTAAAGATGGAAATATATAAAATTTATTCAATAAATCAAGTTCAAACAATTAACAAAATGTTCTAAATTGATCATAAAAATTATACATTCTAACATACATTTTAATGCTAGTATGAGATTATTGAGGTTGTTGAGTTGCAATGAAACTAGAACCAAATTATTATCAATTTATCCTCATTATCCCAATGCTTGAAGACATGACCCAATAACCTTTAATACATAATTTTTCCATAATAATACTCTGTTCATATTAGAAATGTAATGTCTCCACTCCTGGGGCATATGAGACATATGTCTAAGAAAATCTGAGAAGTATTTGGAAAGTGTTTTAATTAAAAAATAATTTATACATTAAAATAATACCATACAAACATCCAGTAGTATTGGCAAGTATGTGAATATGGTACAGAGATGGAGCCATGTGGCTTATTCATTATTGCAAGTTTGCAACTTATAGTAGTTACATATACAAAGTCATAAAAAAAAACATCAAGAAGTAAAACACATTAGAAATATTAATAACCGTCATGAAAAAAATATATGGCAGTTGCAGAGCCACTACTTATAACAATGGCAGCTTTGCATAACTATGGCCATAATCACTAAAACAGTAAAACTTGTTGGGAAAAAAAAAAAAAATAGGCAAACTTACTATTCTGGAACTTGAATAATGTGAACCATAATGGAACTTGGGGATGACTAGATCATCAAAGCTGGAGTATCTCTCTTGGAATTTCTTTAACCGATCAGCATTTAATGCTCCAATGGGCTACAAGTATATATGTGCCATATGTTAGCTAAAAGACTGCATTTATGTAGTAATTTGATGAAATATATTTGAAATTTGTGAATTGTGACACCTTTGAAAGATCTCGGTAAGAAGAAGGGTTGGCAAGATCCAAACTTTTTGAACTATAATCAGAGAGAACCCATGGGAAAACAGGATACTGCATACAAGAAAAGACCTTAGTTACAGAAGCATCTGGAAACCTCCCAAGAAGTTAAAAATGAGCGATTAATAAGAATAGTGCACCTGAGTGATGTCGTTATAACCGCGTCCAGCAAGTGTATTAAGCTGCATTAGATATTCAAAATTGCTGATCTGCAAGGGATGTACTGGTTAATTTTTTTAACAACACAAATTTGACACAATTGAAGCTACAGAAACTAAGATCAGATGGAAGATATGTCCAAAGTTCAGTCTCGTTTCTTACCTCCCACCTAGCCCAACGCTCCATAAGTTGAGATCTCTTTAGAAGTTGCTCAGGTCTCTACAACAAAAAAGGATTACACAGTTTTTAAGGTGTAACAGTAAAGCAGAAGGGGCACTGTAATTTGTTAGCTAGCTTTTAAGATCCAGGTGCACATGAGGAGGTGTGCCTGATGCGTGTGCATTCACTAGAATTATTAACAGACCCAAGTCTGTCTAGAAAATATAGAAAGCCACAGGAGGGTTAAGAACCTGAGTGGCCAGGTAAATATTGTTCAAATGTGGAGGACGTGCTTGAACAATAGCTCGATATGCATTTCTTTTCCCCTCAGTACTCTGGAGCCACAAAAACCCAAATAAAAAATGATTAGCTAGTAAGTATCAACATAGTTTCTAAATGGGAAATGCAAAATGCATATTTCAAAGACTAATACCCCAAAATCAAAGAAGAAGTTTGACCGGTCAACCATAAACAATTCCAGAGCACTTCTTCTCAGGAGGTATCTGTTAAGAGTTAGGACATTAAATCCATGTGAGCTTGCAAAAAGAAAAGCAGGAAAATAAACAAACCAACAAACATCACACCAAAAAAAAAAAAAAAATGTATAACAGAAAATCCTAAAAAAATTATTAAAATAGAAGAGATAGCATGAAGAGAAGGTACATTAACTAAAGGCAATACATGCATTTTAAGTTACAAATTGCTATGAAGAAAATCAAACAGTGAACAGCAGATTTTCCCTCATAAATTGGCAAATAGAGTAAAAGGACACCATCATTCCTAGGATGCGTACTGCAGACTGTACTTCTAATATATCATACACAATTGAGTTTAAGTGATAATCCAGAATGTTTGCGAAGTTGACTTAAAGAAGGCAGACAACTACGGCAAAAAAAAAAAAAAGAATACCCTATGCATTCATTGTAGCATAGGTGAGAGAGAGATGCTGAGACCACAGTGCAACCTAGGTAGAAAATAGAACCCCTAAAGCTTCCTCAGCATTGTAGTAGTGCTGGGAATAGAGATTTTTCTTGCCCTTATTTTCTGCTGTTCACAAATCCTCCATAGATTTTCTAATCATATCTATTTGGCAGGACTTCAGGTCCGGCTTACGACTGCCTCTTACCCATCTCAAAATTTCCAAAGATGCGTCTATCTTTGCAATGAAATTCATGAAAAGCAAAGAGTTGTCAGTATCACATACACTTGTAAGACATTTATAACTAGCATCAAGATTGGAGATTGACGATGAAGTGAATAATAAATATATTTTTACCTTTTCGTCAACTTATATAAAGAACAAAGATATGGTGTCTAGGGAAATTTTCATCGAAGTATTTTTACCTCTAAGGTCAACATAGAAAAGCAATCTTAGAGTAACTTACGAAGGTGTTTCAGGTGCAGGTCTAGGAAGCACAAACACTTCTCTGGGGTGCCGTGGCAGTTCTGGTCACGTGTTGACACCGACACACATGGGACACGTGTCCAACATGGCTAGAAGAATCTTGGATTTTAAATAAAAAAAATTTCTTGTTGAACACGGCACAGACATGACAGGAACACATTCAGGACATGTTTGGGACACTTTCAAGATACGATGATACGTCTCTGTTGGGGTTGGTGTTAAGGATGCTTGGAGGGCTACGCCGCTTTGTATCTGGTGGTGTATTTGGCTTGAGAGAAATAGGAGATATTTTGATTGGAAAAAGAAGCCTATTTCTATGCTTAAGTTCTCTGTTATTTCTACTCTTTTTTGTTGGGTTTCAGGGAGAGATTATAGATCTATGGAGGAAATCATTGTTTTCTTGGCCTCTCTGAAGGTCTAAGGCGCCTTTTGGCCCTTTTTGTTTTCTTTGGGTTTTGCTCCCCTTTTGAGCGCTTTTAATAAATTCTTACTTATCAAAAAAAAAAAAATATAGACATGGAAAGAGAACAAAAGTGTCCAACAAATGGGTATGGCCCGTATGGTACATATTTAGGAACATAACTAACTTAATGTACATATAAGCATAACTTAGCAAGAAAGGGGGGGAAAAAAACAACTTCAAAGCATATAATTGAAAGAATCTAATTTTTATGGGTTACTAAAACATTAAGAACACCTTGGACCTCGTGCCCCAGTGGTATCTGAAATTTGAACCCAAACAAGCAGTGATATGGGTATAGGGGGTTAAATCCTTCAAGGTTCATTTAAAAGTTAAAAAATGAATGTTCGTAACGTTTCCAATTTTAAAAATATATATTTAAAATAATAATTTTAGGTCCTCATTAATACAAAGATGTATATGGGTTATTTTGAAAAATGTCATAAAAAATATATATATATATATATAAAATAAATAAATAAATAAATAAATAAAAAGAGGGTTCAGACAGTCAAAACCAACAGATTCTATTTTGAAACAGTGCATGTGAAAAAAGATAAAATATAATACTCATTGTGATGCAGTGCAAATGGAATAGGATTTTCTTCAACAGTTGAAGATCCTAAGCAGACTAGACTGAGATCACATTAATAGGGGCAGCATTGTTTATTGGGTTTAAGTCATTTAGTTAAGTCCTAAATCTGTCTTAATTTTCTGTTTGATGTTTTCCTTAAGCTTTAGTTGGGATAATTTTGTCATTTCGCTTCTATGTAATGAGTCATGTGCCTATTAAGTGAGTCATGTGACCACTTTAGGACTGTTTTGTCAATTTTAACATCTTTTATTCTGCTGGACAGAATAGTAGCCGTTAGATTATATTTATAAGAAGGGTTAGGATTAAATCTTTGCTAGGGAATCCCTTGGGACTTATAAAAGGGTTGTTCCAAGTTGTATTCAGCAGCCTTTTACGTATTATCAATATATCTAGTCTGCTGTAGCAGCTTTTTTTCTCTCCCTTTCTTTGGGATTGAGTTGCGGGTGTTTAAGCTATTCGTTAGCTTAATCTTGCTCTCTGTTTTCCCTTCTTCAGATTTATTTCTTTTCTTTCAGAGCTGATTGCATTACATTGGGAGAATACCATGAGTCTTTGGAAGAGAGTAATTGTAATTAAGTGTAGGTAACAGAATATTACTTCATTTTGATTGTAGAACAGGGAAGTCACAGCATATGGGGGCTTACCAAAAGGATATATATATATATTTTTCTGGGTAAATAGAACCCACACAAACAAGTTCAAATCAAGACTCAGACTTTGTACCTTCCTCTTTCGGCGTGGCATGGATACTACTCAATCTAACAGCCAGTAGGTCTTTTATTTATTTATTGAAATTCAGAGGAAGCACCAGATTTCAAATCTTTAACAGGCCTATGGAAGATTTCCACAGACTCAGATAGTTTATTTGAAATTGTTGAGCCCTTTAAGAAAGGAATTGTTTCTTGGCAAGGGAGACCATAAGTTTTTTTTTTACCTGGCAAGGAGAGGTGAGGGTGAGGATGGGGTGAGTCAAACCTGGGCTCCCACTCGACTCGGGGGAGTGCCTCTAACAAATGGGCTACCCAGCTCACCCTGGCCATAAGTGAAGGTTTGTAAAATGAAAAGAGGTTTGAGAAAAACATAACATTCTGTGTTATATAGAGCTGATAGTTCTCAAATGATGAATAAAAAAGAACTTGTTTCTCCCAAGGCAAAGGAAACCAGAAATAAAAAACAACTAAAACACATAGGGAAAAAAGGGGTACAGAAACTCCATTTTTGTCATATACTTTTTGTTATTTATAATCAAAGAAAATAATAAATGGAATAAATCCACTTGTTCAGGTTTATGGCACATATACATGCTTCCTAGCCTTGTATGGGATGAAGGCAAGAATGATGATGATGATGATGATGATGATGATGACAACGACGACGACGATGATGACAACGACGACGACGACGATGATGACAACGACGACGACGACGACGATGATGATACATGAAATATTGACCAGAAAATCTCAGTAGAGATGTTCAAACTATAGGAATGCTGTCATGGCACTAGTAGTAGAATAAATTTAAAAAGAAACAAACTTCTCATCTCACCTTCTGCTGAAAATTTGATGAAGGGAAGACATCAACAAGCTCTGATCTTTTTCCTGAACTCTACTTTCTGAATTGCAGTCCAATCCATACCCCGTTCTCTCAGAATTATCAACAATAAAATTGATTCTCCTGGTTGTTATCTGAAAAAGGTAATTAGTGACTACATTTAGAGAAACTTGTTATAACTGGAAGTCTGGAACCATAAGTTTAGTCAAACTTCTGAACACAAAATCACTATAAGAAATATCTTTTAAGATTAAAAGTTAGTGTTGGCAAATTTTGTAACAGAAGCCGGAGTCTATATTTTTATTTTAACTTTTGACTAGTTGTCAAAAGTTAGTTTAGTTAGTTCCTGGTGGTACTTGAAGCTACATCAAAGAACAAAAAGGTAAAATCACCTCTTGAATAACTAACTCACCATTTAGGAATTCATAATCATGCATTCTTATCATGATCCATCTTAGGACACAATGAATACATGTTCTGATTCATGAAAAAGATGTTTTCAATGCATAAAAATATTTTTGGTGAAGATTTTAAGTTCTGAAAACTGACATCTGTGTCTTCAAAAATTCACCAGAAACAAAATACTTTGAATATCATTATGGGATTTATATATTTAGTGACATATTATAAGCCTAATTTCAAGTCCGTTTCACCCGCTAAAGCAACATCCAGAATCAGGCTATATGCAGTCAGGTTCTGCTGTGTAGCTCAACCGATTGAGCTTAATCTCGATCGACCAAGAGTTGCCCAGTAAAGGTCGATCGAAAGCTTGATCGATCAAGCTGTGCGACACCCAGACTTCTAAGCCATTCCTAAACAATTTCTAATTGTTCCTTTGGACTCTAAAACATAATATAAACACCTTTAGGCTCTCATTAACACATACACACATACAAGAGATCTCTAGACACATGATTGAGATATTATTAGAGAGATTATGTATTTTAGAGAGCATGTTTTTGTAGCATTGTCTACATATTGCAGTAGATGGTGATTTATTATTCTGAGTGTTGATTATTATCATGTGGAACGCACTAACACCAAAATGTTTCTACACCAACACATAATCTGGACGACTAGTGGCAGAGAATAATCACTAAAGAAGCAGACTAGCAGAACAAATGTTATACACGGATCAGTAGACGAGCCGGAGATCTTCGACTGTACTGAAGGTTTGGTGTTTACTATGTTTAGAGATCAACTAGGAGTTCAACCGTACTGAACTGTGAACTAGGTTGTAGATCTCTTTCAATAGTGGATTAATTTGCCAGATTAGGTCCTGTGGTTTTTTTAGCTTTCAATTAAGGGTTTCTCCACGTAAAATATTGTGTTCTTGTGTGGTTGCATGATTTATTTATTTTTGCTCTCTATATTTAACTGTTCATATTATTGCTCAAACTATAGTTGATACAATTTGTAAATCGGTTATTATTAGTTAAAATTTGATAAGATCTATTTACTCCCTAGATCTATCTGGGCCTAACAGTATCAACAGTTCTTTAAGTACTGGCAAGTAAACTTTGATATCATTTGTTTGCCAAGCTCAAAGATTTAGAACATATCCCTCCTAAATGCATCTATTCCACAGACATCAGTACTGTAACAATAAGAAAATACATTTACAAAGACGACAGTAGAGATCAGTGGATGAATGGTAGTGGAAGCCATAGTCTAGGTTTGCAGAAAACTTACTTGAAATGTTCAGAATTTTGATGATGCATATAAGAACATGCATTTACACAGATGAAAGTATAGATCAATGGATGAATAATGGTGGAAGCCATAGTCTAGGTTTGCAGAAAACTTACTTGAAATGTTCCTTGTAAAACCTTTAATGGCCTGACCAATGAAGATGGAAGCTCAAGAACAATTCTTTCATCAAGTTCAGCGGGAACATAGCCAGTGGCAACGACTGATGGAATCTGCACCAAGTTTTCATCACTAATAAGTTCAGAATCTGTTGATTCCACTGATGCCTGCAGGGGTTGCTCATCCATTCCAGACAACCTTGTCTGAATCTCCTCATGCTTTCCTATGTCATCTGCCCTGCACTCTACATTATCAATCTCTTCTTGCTCATCATCCTCATTTACAGCCTCAATTGAGATAGCTTCTGCTGCCAAAATAGAGGCTTTAGTTGGACTCGTGACATTCTCCTGATCATGTTTCATCTCCATATGATCCTCATAATTTGAAGAAGCACCTAAATGGTCAGACCCTCTGTAGTTCCTTCTCAAACATGGCCTCATTCTTGAAGAACTTTCCAAAATGTCCAACTTCCAAAAAACCTACAGTCGAGGTTTTATCTTTTAGAAAATATGATCCTTAAATCTAAAGTAAGAGCTCTGAATAACAAAAACATGCCAGGGGATGAGATCAGTAACATACACGCTCAGGATTGCACAAATGGTCTTGGAATGGCCCAAAAAGACATTTCAACTCTATCAAACAATGGATGAGTTTGCGCCATGCACGTATGCCAGTACATAGACGATGCCGAGCTATTATATCAACTTGTGTTCGCCTCTCAACCTGAAAACTTATAAAGAAAATTCTAAGATCCTGTAAGCAAAAATTTATAAAGAAAATTCTGAACTCCTGTAGGCTACTTTAATAACTAAGGACAATCACCAGGACGAGAAGCAGAAATCATACCTCTGATCGTTGCATGTTTCTACCTAAAGCTAAACTTCCAACAAGCACAGCAATAAACTTATAGGATAGAGCATTAAAATCTTTCCTATAGACTGATTTCGTATCAACTGACTGAAAGCATTCCATCCAGGCCGTCCCCATTGCTTCAGAAACATTCCATCTTTTTACACGATCCATATCACTTTTATTCCTCCGCTGGGCAGATGTGGCCATTGCCACAGCACTAAGCCCTCTTCCAGAACCAATCTTTGCATTGCGTTCAAGATCGCGTGCTGCAGCAAGGGCAGCAGCTTTTGCAGCAGCCTTGTCCTTTGGAGCAGCTGGTGATTTGCTACCTGCATCCAGAGGTTTTTGGAAGCTTGAAAAAGTTTGAAGCCTAGTTGTTTTTCTTTCAAGCAACGATGAGTCACGCCTAAGCTGTGCAGGTGTTGCACGTGTCGTAGTTTCCCCACCAGCAGCACCAGCAGCGATCATTGCCAATGCCATTGCAGCAGGAGGTGATGCAAAAGCGGCTGCCCAGTTGGGTGTGATCATGGCAAGAGCGGCCTGAATATTATGAACTAGACGTCTCAGACATTACAGCGAAATAAATTTAAAAAAAACCTTTATATATATATATATATAACAAGAAATGACCAGTAATAGAAGACATGTATAGCAATGGAATTATATTGAGTATTCCAGTTATAATGATATTGCAAGAAGGTCGATTTAAAATAAAACTTTTGAAAAAAAAAACTCAAAATTAGAAAGAAAACAAGAACAAATGCACTAACAATTGGAGGAAAACATTCCAGAAAGTAAAAACCTAAATTTTATTGTTTCTTATTAGAAAAAGAAAAAGAAAATCCAGTTACTGACAAAACAGAGCTTGCATATGTAAAAAGTTATTGACCAGGCATAAAAAGTTTTATAATCAATGCAGAGTAGCGAAGCTAATGCAAATTCAACAGTTCCAGAAACTCTTGCCCCAAGCTTTCTCAAGCGCAACATTTCAGCATGTGTCAGATGGAGATTTGAAACCTCACATCTAACAAGTCCAGCCTGGGTGAAACAGCTCAATACTAAGCTATTAACATACATATGTGTGGAATGCAACAGCAGATGCACGCCCTTAGACAACTTCTTTCACACAATATTACAAAGACTTTAGAAAGAAAGACCCAAACAAAGTTAGGTTTCATTCCGCTTGAAAAATATACTGCCAAAAAACAAATTAAAATAGCCATAATAGAAGCCTGATTGACTAAACTTTTAAAAGAAGGGAAGGTAACACTAAAATTTTATATGCCAGGAATAAAAGAAATATGAGAGTTGATGTTCAATAACCTCTACAGGTAGCACATCTGCAGCCAGAGCACGGTCATCGACAACAAGAGGATTCAAACCATCTGCAGTAGCAAGTTCATGAATTCCTGCCAAAAGCGGCCGCCATCTCCTCAAAACAGTAACAAATGGAGGCAAAATTGCCTCTAGATACTGTTTACGTAGCGGGATTCTATCCTTACAGATAGCATGCCACACCTGCATCGAGCATGTATAAGATAACATAGACAATAGCCCCAACAGTGCTTTAAGTACGCAAAATGAAAGCAACATTTTGACCTTAAAAATATTATTTTGGAGTGCAAAAATGATGAAATTGTAAACAGTTAAGTAAAATAAAGTAAACATTGATATATTAGAGCTAACTCCGTAGGAAACTAACCTCAGAATAGAGAACGCAAGATGCAACCAACACTCTCTGTCTCTTGGACTCGGAAATCGGTATATTCAGAACAGGTGAGAGCACACTGAACAGCAATAATTTTGAGTTAGCTATACCCCAGCATTTAAAGAAAGCATGATACTGGCACAATAGCCAAAAAAATGACACACCAGCACTAGAAGTACAAATCCATGCACAGCAATTTAAGAAGAGCCATTGTGCAACATATTAGCACTGGATGAGAACCAATATCCTGTAGCTAAAGAATAGAAGTGCCTAGATAGATTGGGGCCATTAACAAAATATGAGCATAACAAATAACAAGATAATATTATTAAACAAACATAAATATTATGCAATTGAAAAAAAAAAAAAAAAAAAGAAAGAAACTCATTACAGAAAGTAGTTTCCAATGTAAATGTCATTTATTTGAGATGATTTCAGAACTCTTTTTGTTTTTTTTTTTAAAATTGAAAATCTATATAAAGCAAAAAATAAAAGAGAATACAAATTAGGCAGCCCCTATTGTAGGCACGAGTAGAGTGCCAGCACAGGAGTATTTCAGGACTCAGAAAACAATTTAAACGATGTTTACACACAAAGGGTGTGTTGCGATGAAGATATGATAAGTGGCAAGACGGCAAATAAAGTAAGTTAACCTTTTGGAACTTATTGCTTTTTTGAGTAAATAAATGCTAAAAAGCAAGAGAGATGAATTAATGACGTGCAAGGAAGTCCAATGAGGATAATTAAGATCACAACGCTATAACTAAAAATTTCGAAAAGAGGACAAAAAGAATGTCATTCAATGTAGGCTCTATTAACAAAAATGTTTTCCCAAAATGATATTTGGCATATACAAGTGTTTAGTGAGGCGTGAAAAGAGCAAAAATAATTTTGCGGATATAAGGTAAAAATTAATTAGCTTGTCCAGCAAGAAATTAACTCTTATGTCAGAGGCTCACTTTATGCAAGTTGTTCTGAGACATACAAGCTTGACTACAGACTTAAAAAGTACTTAACAGAAATTAGGAAAAAAAATAAATAAATAAATAAAGACTTGTCATCTGCATCAAACTAGTTACAAGAGGAGAACTGCAATGAATAGAAGTTAGAAAATTGGAACTAACATTGCCTTCTTAGTGAATAGTGGCTACATTCATCTCTGACGTTGGAGCTAGTGTCCACACCAGTACTAGAGAGTCACTCTTCTCCGGAAAATGTGAAAGCATTTATGTTTTTTGTTATGTAAGATTTCAAAGGACACTTCCTGGATTTTGCTTTTGCTTTGAGCGAAAACTTTGGTGGAGTTGAAACCAGAGCTGACACTTAATAGACTCGAAGATTACAGACATCCAAATATCTTCCAAACCTTTTATTTTAGTTATACAAAATTCCCACATTAATATCTAAAATAGAATGCAATTAAATTTAAAAACAATGTAGTTTCAAAAATGAAGGTTTACTTCCGTGATTCAAGAAAATAGTTGCTTTTATTTTCTATGAAAAATTGATTTACCAACAGACACCATCAATTTCTACAATAGTCTGATGATTAGGAGGTCCATGAAACTTTTCAAATGTTTATTCTCTGCAACACAAAGAATAATGTGTTTCTATTTAATTATGAAGTTTCGACCAAAAATCAGAAATTGGAGGAAATGAAGTGTTTTACATGTAAATTTGATAGTTTTTTTTTTCGGAATTTATGTAAATTTGATAGTTGGGAAAAGGTTTAAGTTATGATTGCAAAGATGATCACTAGTTTAAGTCCATGGTATATGCTTCAGGTTTTCTTCTCACTTATACTAGACTAGGCTCTGTACACCATTTGCAGATCTTTCAAGGTGCTAAAAGTATAGTTTTTCAAGCAACTAGTTTTTAGGATTATTCTACACAAACACAATATCAATTTCAATTGGTCTTCAGTAGTTTTTAAAATCAGAGACAGTTGTGTAAGTTTCAAAATGAATATTTAGAAGGGGAATTGCATTTAACTGAATGTGTGGTTAGTCTACCTTTTTAATATCAGAGACAGCCGTGTCTATAAGTTCCAAAATGAACATTAAAAAGGGGAATCACCTTTAGAAGGAGAGTTTTTCAAGCAACAAGTTTTTAGGATTATTCTACACAAACACATTATAAATTTCAGTTGGTCTTCAGTAGTTTTTAATATCAGAGACAGTCATGTTTATAAGTTTCAAAATGAACATTAACTGAATGTCTGGTCAGTATAGCTAGTACCTCCACAGCAACTCTGCTCGTGGTTTTCTTGTTAATGTCTGAGTACTGTTATCTATGCCAGCAATGTTGCCAATTTGCTGATGTAATCCCTCTGTCAATCCGTCCTGACTGTTTAAATTCCTCATAAGCATACTATCTTCACCATCATCATTTTCCCTCATTGAAACAAGAACCATTCGGAGCATACACAAAAATGGTTGGTCACTGTCCAGCAACTGATAAAGTGCTGTCATGCCTCCCATTCCGGTACCAGATCCTCCTCCGATACCAAGACCACCACCAAGTCCAGACTCATCTAATAATAGAGCTTGGAGCATGACAACTGATTTTTTTATTAAAGGAAGTTCAATCCAGTTTCCATTTGCATCTTTCTCCAAAGCAGCTTTCCAAGATTCCCATCCACTGCCACCACCAGCAAAGGCTGTTGTTTCTGACGCAAGCCCAACTCCATACCACAACCGGCTCCTGGATTTCCAACCCTCTGCTAAATCTATTGCACAGCTCCCGTAAGACACGAAAGCACAAGAAACAGATTCGTAAGGTTCAGCTGCAGCAGCAGCAGTAAGCTGTTCCATCACTGCTGTAGAAATTTGGCCGTCTGCATCAGCCATTGAAGTAAGTACCTGAAGAAAATCACAATAGGTTTAGATCCGAAAAGAGAACTACCAAATTGAATGGGAACAGAAGATAACAATGAGATATTAAGCTATAAAATTGAATTTAAGACCTTTCCTTAACAAACCCAACCTTAACAAATCAATATATATCAGAACCTGAGAAAGAACGTTGAGCTAATTACAGGTGATTACGTAGCCAATGGTATAGCGGCATAACAAGATAGATGGAGAGCCAAGAATCCCCTAGTTACCTCTAACCCAGACTCATGCTAGATGTTCTCCTCAAAATCTGCTGCCGTTAGTCAACAAATCTGTTCGTGTGGAAGTTGCTTTTGGTATTAAAATCTTTTAGAGCTCTTCAAAATCAATTAATCAACACTAAAAGTTCACCAAGCATCAAGTGTATGATAATGAATAAAAAACAAAGAAATACAAGCAATTGGTTTGCTAGAATTCACTCAAAACTTTTTGATACTCAATATCTGCTCGTGCTTCTCTTATGCTTGCATAGGTGTTCTGAAAACTTAGGGTGTTTATCTAGAATATTAAAGCATGGAAGGATTAGATTTAAGAGAGTTTAAGTCATATTTGGTAATTGCCTCCTGCAGGTTCCGATTGATCAAGACTTGGGTTCGAACAATGGAACCTAGTCCAGTGGGTTTCCATTGCTTTCAATCAATCAAGCTCTCTTGTCCCAATTCAATTAGAACTTGAGCTTCTGAAACAGTTTCATGCATTCCAAAATGTATTTTTTTGGATCAAAACATGTAATTCGAAAACCCTAATATGTTTAATGAATAAATGATTGCCTATGAATTCTAATTTATGTGACTGCAAAATTTGAGAATGAATTTACCTTTGTGTCCTTGTTGAATCTTTAATTTACCAATTCACCCTTGAACAAAGGTAATTCAACTGACTTACCTAACTTTTGAAACATAAATAAATTCTAGAATAAAACATACTTATTCTAGTTTTGTATGAAACTAGAAAGCACAAACACTTCTCTGAAGGAGCTGTATTCATCACAAACATTCCTGACACGTATGTGACAATTCTTGGACGTGCCCATAATTTTTTAAATTAAATGTAATTATTTTGAACACTTATTTGACAATTCCAAACACTTCCCGGATACTTGGTTGACACATCCCAAACAATACACAACACAAACCTTATATAATACAATCTTAACGAAAAAAATAATAATAATAAACATCTTAAATAATACAAACACAACTAGAGTAGCCATTTCGATAATTTTGGAAATACTACGAACACGTCTCAAAAACATAATTTTTTCATATGGTCACAAGTCAATCATACAATTATACTTTTTCATATAGGAAAAAAACACAATTATATTAACATGTAGTGGAATATCAACTTTATATCATATAATCATTGCCATATTCACATAACTTTATCTTCTAAATTATGCAGGAGTAGCTCTTAGCGTAGAAACTAAAAAATAATTAAAGTTCTATAATAGTCTTAGTCAATAGATGTATATAAGTAAAAACTTATATTTTAATATAGCTGTGTCCACAACATCCTTGTCCTACTTTTTTAGGATTCAGCATGTCAATGTATCCGTGTCGTATAATGTCCATATCTATGCTACTTAGGTACAAACATAAATCCCATTAACCTAACAGTACAGATACTGTAACCAATCCTATCTATCCAAATGACCAAAAAGAAAAGGTTTGAGCAGAAATATAAAAAGAAGAAAAATGAGAGAATTGTGAAAAGGCTTGAATGAGATTATCACTCATTCACAGCTAGTATTTATACATAAAAAGAGCACATGCTCGTATTACAAGAAAAGAAATTAAATCAAATCTAAATCAAATCACAAAATATTCTATGGCATATTCTATAACATATTCTATAGAAAATCAAATTTCTACTAATACGGTAAATAAATCCATAAATCGTAGCTATCATATCTCCTAACTTCACCCTTGGTCGACTAAGATCAGGGGCCCAGCTAACACGTGAAACACTCCGCCTGGGGAGTACGGTCGCAAGACCTAAACTCAAAGGCCATGACGGGGGCCTGCACAAGCGGTGGCCCCTCAAGTTGGTGTGTGGATATCTAAAACGTCCAACTTGGACAATGCATTCTCAAACACAATCTTGCTTGTTGACGCCCTTTGTAAAAATGTCTAAGAGCTTGTGACAAATGGAGTGCAAATCTGACTAGCGATGATTTTCTCTCAGATGAAATGCCGATCAACAAATAAAAAATGTCTCCTCAGTCCATAAACAATTAACAATGTCTCCTTAGACCATAAATAACCAACCATGTCTCCTCAGGCCGTAAACAACCAACAATGTCTCCTCAGACCATTTCCCTTCATACACATGTTTAAAATATGTAGATGGAAGAATCAACAATGTCTCCTCAGACCATTCCTCTTCATACATATGTTTAAACAATGTACATGAAAGAATCAACAATGTATCCTCAGATCATTAAAAGAAACAACTATGTCTCCTCGTACCATTTATGAATAGGTGGTGCCAAACTTGCAACGTCCTCATTGATGTCGAAACACCCTACCCACCTGATAACTCCCGGATGGGCGATGTCACCTTAAAGGCTTAGACCATTCCCGAATGGGTGGTGCCGAACTCGCAATGCCCTCATTGCAATCGGACCACCCTGGCTCTGATACCAAGTAGAAATATAAAAAGAAGAAAAACGAGAAAAATGTGTAAAAACTTAAATGAGATTATCACTCATTCACAGCTAGTATTTATAGATAAAAAGAGCACATGCTCGTATTACAAAAAAGGAAATTAAATCAAATCACAACATATTCTATGGCATATTCTATAGTATATTCTACAGAAAATCAAATCTCTGCTAATACGGTAAGTAATTCCATAAATCGTGGCTATCATATCTCCAAACAGTTTGTAACTAACTTTTATCACTTTTTGCATTGCTATCCTCCTCACTTACATTCCATTCATTATTATCATTAGTTATTGGTAATATGGGAATAATCAGACAACTAGCAACAATTTATTTCAAAGAAACAAAAATATTGAAGAAACCACATAAAGGATTTGCTTTACAATATATAGATATTGAAGAAACAAAAATATTGAAGAAACCACATATACATATTTGGAGTCAATAACTTAAAAGAATTTACTTATCTGTAATAATGAGAAAGAAAATCTACAACACAACCTTTAGTAAGAAGATGTACTTGGTTAGCTTTTGGACAACATAGAAATAATTGACGAGCTTCAATCTTGCAATTAGCCAATCATAATTTACTCTTCTTTGGTTATTGCAAACTAATAATTAGTATTCATACAATTTTTTCTAAAACTATCTAACTACATTGACTAAGAACAAGCTATCTCCTCTAGTAAGGTCCATGTGGTGGCTTATGCATGAAAAAGTTCAAATATTGTCCAACAGAAGGTGCTCCTTATGACAATTGCCAACCACAGTTACCACATAATCAGACAAGACTAACAGAAGTATGCACGTTAGAAGAGTTCTCAAGTTATATACAAGCATGTTGCTAGAAATTTGCCAGGCTTAAAATGTGCGGAAATAAGCAACTCCATTGAATGGCTATCAAAGTATCCTTCTTTGATAAAAAGAATTTGAAGGAGAAAAATCAAATATTCCCCAAAAGTTGGAATTATTTACTTTCTTAATCGAAGTGTATATAATGTGTCCATGAGTTGTTAGTACCAAAAATTGTATACCCAAAGAAGTTTTCAAAATCTCATGGCAGCAATTATGATTTTTTAAGGAGTAGTCCTGATTTTTCCTTCATTAAACGGTAACATTCCTCAAGAATTTTTCCAAATAAATTTGGTGTTGCCTCTAAAAAATATCACAAGAAACTAAAAAGAAAATGAAGGATGTGGTTGCTCAGAGATACTAATTCTATGCTGACAAGTTGACAGAAGATACTTATGGACTTAAAGAAGCATTCAGACATAAACAGATATGACAGATTCAAAACTACAATAGTGAGAACTGGTTAATTAATCTTTAAATTCATCTATGAGTGGATAAATAAAATTTGTCAAGTATGCACTGATACAATTGTATACATACATCAAGAGAGAGTCCCCTGGAATCACTAGACGGTGACTTGTAACCAGCTGAAGCTTCCAAAGATTGCCCACCAATCATAGTTGCATTCGAGTGCTTATCCATGGGCAAACGTGAAGCACTATAAAGTTTGCTTTGTAACCTTAAATGATCTTCAACAAGCATTAGAATAACAATTGAATTCTCCACCAAAGCCACAGAGAGCTGAGCAGCGTTCTCAGCTTCTGCCTTAGCATCTTTTGGTGACAACCCCTCAGCTGCAACACCAGCAGCTGCTGCAGCGATTACTTGAGTCTGCTGCACAAAAAAAAGCTGGATGTAGACGTTATTGTTGTATTTATTGAGCAAAAAGCTTTCCAACTTTATTCAAAAGAAAAACAATAAGCAAAGGATAGTCGATAGTGGCCATCATTACTGAGAAAAATGATTTCCAAAACAAAGAATAAATTATGAATTAATATATCTGGAAGAACATACAGTAGAACCAACATGTGAAATAATGCATTTAAAAATATGTAAAAAGGAAAAAGAACAAAATAGAAGGAAGTTGAAATTAAGGTCATAAAAAGTTAGACAGGAAAACAAATTCATGGATATATAAGACAGAAAATATCATAGAAAGAAAAGCAGGCACTTATAAAAGGATCAAAAAATTTCTGAAAATATGAAGATAACTGTTATAAAGTCCTCATCATTGCCTGCAGGGTCTCTTGTACCCTCCAAGTTTTGGGGGAAGATGGGGTTTAGTTTAATCATTTGATGGATCTAGTATGTTCAGCGCATTTCTTGTTTTCCTGTTTTCTGGTGATCCTCTTCCCAACCCCCCCACTTTTTTCTTGAATATGAAGGACTGTTAACTTCATTTCTATTGTACTCAGTTCCTTATTTAATGATATGTTGATCAGCTTTAATATCCAGGGAAAGTAATTGTTTAAGGGACAAGTTACTTTCATTAAGAGTGTCCTCTCAAGTCCAGCACATGTTATGTCCATTTTCCCCATTCCAGGTTTAGTTGAAGAATTGTTGGAGAAGCTTCACTTCTTATGATATGCATGTGTGTATTCTTGTTTGCGTGTATCTTTGTTTTTATATGGCTGTGTGCTTCATATTTGAAGAGGAGTGGGTGCCAAATGGGAATGAGATCAAATAGTAATTGGTGGAATGGATTACAGTCTGTGGCTTGATAATAGAAGGGGGACTAGTCATCAAGAAACTGAGATTGTTCAAACAAGCTCTTTGGAAAAACCATTTTGGATGTATGCGAAGGAAAGTACTAGCTTATGGAGGCAAGTGGTAGAGAAAATGAATGGTTTCATTTATACATCTTTCTAATGCGACCACTGTCTTATAAGTTGAAATAATCGAATTCAAAATTTTCTTGCACTACAGTGGTCATTGCTTGGTGGAATGGTAACCGATGTTTGAGTCTGACAGCAATCACTTTGTGTAAAAATAATGCCAAATATAAGGTCCATCTCAAGTATTTCCCTCCCGGCATCCCACATAGGCAAGGCCAGCACTGAGTAACTGCCGTTTTATTTTCTCTCTATCTCAAAGTATATATACTTCCATCTCCACAAAAAGCGAGCTGACAGTGGGTGGAGGAGATTGGCATTTAAATGAAGCCTGTAAATCCTAAGGGGCAGTAGAGTCTGAAAAGCCACTAGAAAGGGTTATCAGGTGTTCTAAGTGTATGTCATGTACATTTTGGGGAACAATGAAAGAGTTTAGTTTTGGCATGATCCTTGTGCAGGAATGGTCTAGTTAAAAGGAGATATTTCCAAATCTATACAATTGCAGCAAATAAGGAGGCCTTAATAGCTGATTGAAACAAGATAATGTTGCTTGGGACCTCTTGTTTGGCAGTGGGAATGAAAGGCAATACACGCCTTCTCCAACAAGCTGTCCACCCGTTTAGTCTTGAAGGATTCCCTGTGATAGGTTACCTTTTACTGGGAGTTAAAAAAATAAAAAATTGCAGTTTCCCTTTGAATCCTTTAAGGAAGCCAAGTTCCTTTCATCTGGTGGATAGTGGTCTGGAGAAGATTTTTGACAATTGATAAATCAGTAAGGAGAGGCAGAAATTCTTCCTACTTGGTACTGCACTTGTAGGAGCGCTGAAGGGACAGTGAATCTGTGGAGCTTGATATACATTATAGGAGCCATTCTGTAATAGTTAAGCTCTTAAAGCAAGTTAGTGCTCTAGATTGGTACCAAAGTTTCAATTCTGGGAGGCGGGTTTACTTCTCCATCTCTGCATTTGTTCTCCTATTTGATATGCAAGTTTGTGCCTTGTTCCGGTCATAGTATGATTAGTTTGTGTCACCACAAGCAAGACAGGTTGCACATGAGGGATGCTGTTGGAGCTTGATATCCATTGTTGGGCCCATTTTGCTTAAGCTTTTAGAGTGATTGGTGTTCTAACAGAATAACCTACTGATACACTACTCAGTGACAGAGAAGTTGTGAGCTTTCCCCTATCCTCTTCAGTATTCACTAAGTCACACCAAGCCAAGCTTTTGATGTTCTGACGAGCTAGAAAGGCAGTAAAGTGAGTATGAGAGTCACATCAGTGTGACAGATGTTCTTGTTACGCCTTGTAAAGGTGTCTGGAGTAAGCCATGGGCATTCTTTTGAAAGGGTGGAAATGCTTATCTTGAAGTGAAAGTATTTCTTGTCAACTTCCCTTCATTTTTGCTTTACATGGAGATCCTCATTGATTTCTTTAAAGAGATGAGACTCGAGAGTTTGTATAACTTAGCTTTTGTACATATGATGTCTAAATGGGTTGTGTCCCTACTCCAGAGTATTGCATTAATTTGCTTCATCTTTCCCAAAAAGAAATATTTAGACAAAGAAATTGTAGGTTTGAAGAAACAAGGTTACCTGAACCTGCAGTTCTCTGGCAGAAAAGTCCAGCAAGGCACCCAACAGCTTTCTTTTAAAAATAGGCAATGATTTCTCGCGTCTTCAGAACATGAAGAATATTAGATAATTAAAATAATCAATGATCAATAACCAGGTATCATTTAATACAAGAACAGCAGCAATTCCTGCAGAAAACTTATCAAATAAAGACACAACCTAAATTTATCATGGAAGCTCTAGCAGAATTCATTTACAGATACAATAATCCAAACAAAATATTTGTACACCTATTGATTGTCAAATAGCATAAAATCGTCATATCGCAGCATCAAATAAACAAAAACCCCCTGACTTCAGCTTCTTGAACAGGAGGGATATATTTAATAGGATTTAAAACAAGCACTTCCTTTCATGCACTCCAAAACATGCATGGATCATTATGTATGAATTACAAACTAGTCAATCACGATTTAATCATGTTTTACTAAAGTAACTGATGTTATAAGAGAAGGAATATGGAATTGACCAATATAATTATATGAGAATTCCAGGATTTTATAAGAATCTCATCTCAGATTCAATTAGCTGCAGAGGATGATTTAGTTTGGCAGCTTTCAAATGGCCCTCTAAAAATTAGCTAATTTTGGGATAAATTCAGAACTCACCATTGCAGAGTGCTTTGATATGATATTGTTTGGTTTCCTCACCATGAATCTAAACATGCTTTCTTCTTTGGTTGGCCATTCAAGATAGACTGCTTACTCAATGTAGAAATATGAAAATGGGCCTGTTGGTTAGAAATATGAAAATGTAGATAGGGGTCATTTGTATTTTGACTGTCGTTTTACTTTCAGAATATGAAGATCTATTGTTGCTAAAGGGGTTATATAATGGCCCTACTATCAGTGGTCAGAAATCATAAACTAAATGGTTTTGATACTCAAAGGCAAATCTCTCCTCTCTACCCTCAATCAAATAGCTTTTGCAACTACTATCTATGTTCTATGGAAGGAAAGAAATAGCAGGTTATACTCAAATGAATTCAAGGATGTTAACTCCCTCCAAAGAGATATTGTGGAAGTGGTTAGATTCAAAATTTCTTCCATGCAGAATGTGGATAATTCTCCTACAATAAATGGTTATGAATGGGGGATTTCTGAGGGTATCCTTAAATCTTAATATCTTTATGGCTGCTTCAATTGTGATTTTGATCTTATCATCCATGCCACTGTGTAACTCATGTTTACAGTAGCTGATCAGATCTTATGCTTGAGAATGTTATCCTTTCGAACACTTGTGTAACTCATGTTTACAGTGCTTGGGAACATATAAGGTGGTTATTCTGGTGTTTTAATTGTTCTGGAGATATAAGTTAGCCTATATCTGGTTCTCAGTTCAGCAGAAGGTCATTGATATGCTTCACTTGCCAGTTTGTAGTTATTTGGACATTTGCAGAGGACCCAAAGCTTTCAATTGAACTCTGGTAATAACAGTAAATGTGGGTGGATGCTGCAATTGGCTCTTCTTTGCTTGCCTTGTCAGGATTTTTCTGACTGGGTGTGGATCCTCACCAATAGATAGTATAGGAATGGTGCAATTACTTGGCTTCAGTTCTGTAAGTTTGTTTTTCTGGTTTTTCTTTTCATCTCTGTTGTATGTTTGGGTGTCCTACTGGCTGTGGTGCTCTTTTTGGTTTCTGTTTTCTTGGTGGACATGGGGTTTCCATAATCTTTTGTATCTGCCTTTGGCAATAGAATGTCCATGAACAAGTCCTCTGGTCTCTAATGATGATGATGAGAAGATCTGCAGAATTTCTTAGTAACAGAAACCTCCACCCTAACAAACCAAATATAGCAACAAAAACATAATGCCAATAACAATCCCAAAAGGAGAAATAACCTATGGATTTGTAGTTCATGTGTCTTACCCACATTTCTTATTGATGCATGCGCCACAAGTAATAATCTATTATGATATGGTTCACACATGGTATCAATGTTTGTCAACCACATACATGTTATCAAAATAAAGCATGCCACTGACACCTATAGCCAATTAAACATAACAACAGTTTACCCTGTAATCAAGGCAACCGATACGGATGTCCTATTGCTAAGCTGAAACTTTTACAGAAATGTATTAAGAAGAATTTACACAAGTTTAAGAAATAAATTTCCTTGTGAAACCAATTCCAAGATACAGGGAAGAAGAATTGAGGATGTGGAATTCAAACCAAGATTAGGGAATTAAATGGTTTATAATGAGGAAAGTGGACAATATGAAACTTGATTTGAACTATTAGTATGATACCCAAAACCACTTAAAGTTGGATCAAATTTTTTAGAGTGTTACAGAAGACAGTGTAGAACTTCATTTCAACTTACATCGATGAAAATCATGAACTTATGACTATTAAACTGAATACGTGAATTGTCTCAGCAATATACAAAAGTACCTGATCCGTTGGTCTCCTGTGCTAGATCCACCCACCATACAAAGCCATTCTGCACAATGAATTGTAGCTTCAATATCCTGTCAAAGGGAAGTAATAACAAGACGATATAAATGAAAACAGTAAAACTAGAATTTGAATAAAACATCAAAATGAGATGAACATAATTTAACAAAAATGATGTATGTTCTAGTCCAAACAGTAATAAACATGACAAATTAACAAACTCGTGTTCTCTTAAAAGATCTCACATTACATCTTTTGTTGGTTAGTCAACTTAACATGACCCTACAAAAGAGAGTAGAAATGAAGAAAGCAAGAAAATTCTATGCCATGATCTACAAGAGCTAAACCAAAAACAGGGCTACAGTTATATCATTATAATTTTAACGCATCATTTAGCTTTTATATACATCATCTGGACTTGGTTCCCCCTCCCCCAGTGCCTTTGAAGTAACAATTTTATCTAGCAAGTAGAAAAATAGTATATAGCCTGTAGAAAAATAAGTCGATAAAAACTGCCAGAGACATGGCAAAGGCGAAGAACATTACTGCTGAACAATCCGGCAGCCAAAACAAGTCACAAATAGCACCGAGAAACCCTTAGCAACATTTCAGATGCTAAGGGAATACCCCAAAATAGGGGTCCGAACCTAGGAAGAGAAATTAGGCTATGATACCATGTTAAATTTGAATGTGCAAATATAAAATGTAAATCAAGAATAAGCGGAAGATTGAAAACACAGAGATTTACATGGTTCGGCACTAAGGCCTACATCCATGGACAAAGAGCCACTAAGGCCTACATTTCTATTATTCAGATGTATTTTTGGCTTGAGTACAAAGAGCCTATATATAGACATGGTAAAGATAAGAAAATATGGAAGGTGTACAATAGTCAAAGGAGGCATCGTGATTGGTGGAGGATTTTGCTCCACCGTTATATGGAAATATTTATAGTTGGAAGGAAATTGACCAGATCATCGTGATTGGGGGACGATTTTGCTCCACAATTATAAAGAAATATTTATATATTTCAACATAGCCAAATTCTACTTCTCTTTTTGTTCTCATCAGTTCGATCCATTATTGCATGAGTTTTACAATAGAAGTTGTCTAACACATAGAAAGTAAATATTATCCCAAAAAAATTAATAAATAAATAAATAGCAGCATGAATATTAAATATCAAGTTCAAACAAATGGGAGTACAATATTAGCCTGCAATCATTCACATTGATTCAGAGTTGGATTTTCTGTGATCGTAAAGGGTTAGGAGAATGGAAAGGAAAGGAAAGGACTAACGTTAGCAAAGGGTTTTTTTAGCATTCAAGCATACTGTAAATGCTAGATGAGGAAGACATGGGAACCTCTCCATACACAAAATTCACACACACACAGGCCCTTTACAATTGTTCACATTTATTTTGGATGACCAAAATGAAGGCGGCTATACAACAAGTGCAATAACAATAAAGTGACCACAAAGCCAAATACAGAGAGGCTACGGAGATCTACCACAAAAATAGAAATGTTCTTGCATTTAATCATTCCCAACATGTACAAGAGGAATCCTAATGAGTTCGAAAAAGCCCTGTCAAAATAGAGATGCACAGATGCCTTCCAGAATCCAAGTCACCATTATGAGATCCTACACTAGGTTTTGAGATATGTCTCGCAGAAGTTAGGATCCTCCAATCTAACCACCCCCGCACCCCCCCCCCCCCCCCCCCCCCCAACACACACACACAAACAAAACAAATGTGGCAGTTCTTGGTAAACTTGTAAACATCAGCCAAATCAGTCAAATAACAGGAATTTTAAATGGGATCAACCAGGGCCCGTTTGCCTCAGTCTTGACTTGGTTGTCTTGCCCTTGATGAGGACAATATAACAATTTCACTCAGAAAACTCAAGCTTTTTTAAGAAACAAATTGAATGTTTTCCTAAAATGTCAATCTTTCTGATTTTTCATTACTATTATACTTCTTGGATTTTATGTTTTTATTATTACAACATTTTTCAAAGTTAAGTTGCAAGATTACTGAGCCAAGCCAACAATGTAGTCAAAATGCCAGCTTTTCAAGTGACCAAATTATCCAAGTGTTCAAAAACTCATAGCATCTAGTACCAACAATTATAAACGATAATGGAAATTCATTACTGGAAATATATGTAGCCCCAAGACTTGGCCTATGTCTGGAAACAGAATTAATACGCAAAAATATACAACCAAATAGGGGCATGGAGTGGCGATGCAACTACTTCAGGCTTGCGATTCGACAGTAGCTTAATACATTGTATTCATTATAGAAAAACCAAAAAGACAATAGGACGCAAATTGAACCAAGTATTGGGAGTCTCAGATTTGCCAGGTTGCCAGTGTGCACAAGCTCGGGTAGAGTTAAATCAAACCCCTAAATGCATTTTCAAGCTCAAGTTGAGCTGTTCTAGACAAGTTAGATCTGCTCCACGGCTTGGGTCAGCTTATAGTAAAATGAAGGCCAAAAAAGAAGAAAAATAAAAAAAAGCATAGACTAAACTGAAGCAGGTTAGATGAAATAATCAGATCTAAATGTCCCATAATAAAGATGAAGAGAGGAAATACCTCAGGGCAAAGATGAGTTATTCTAACTACATAAATTTGAAGAGAGGGAGAAATAGAGGAACTATTTGATATACATCATGTATACGTATATTAGAAATACCCTAGAAAAAAGAAAAACAATAAAACATTAAGTGAAATGAATTAATTTAGATAAAATAAACTACTGAAAAAAAAAAAGGATTAGTTAAAATAATCAGATTACATTAAAACACACAAAACCCTAAATTTTGCATTAGTTAATCCTGAAAAGAATTGTGCAGATTCTTTTGCCTGCCTTAAAAATCACTTGGTATACCCCATTTTTAACAAAGCTCAAGGTTCTTCAATGAGTTTTTGGCTAGGTTTTTACCCTCTCTTTTGCAAACCAACAGAAACTAGGGGAGGATAATCCAAAGTAAATATATAATTTCTAAAGAAAAAGCTTAAGAAGAATTCAGAAAGTTGGACAGCTTGGAAAGAGATATATTGGAATGAAGCGGCCTACTGGTTGAAATTCTTTTGTGGGTTTTGAATTTGTCAGATTGCAAACTGTAACAATTCTTTTACATAAGTATTCTAAATACAGAATCATAAAGAATTTTCAAGAATTCATCTCAAGTTCGAGCAAGACTAAAAGTGATGGCAAACTTGAAAACCTAAATCTGCTCCAACTATTAACTAAATCAAATGAAAAGGGATTTAAGAATTACATAAATAGCAATGACATGCAGCTGTTCAAAAATTATCAAGATCAACAAGAATATGTAGACTAACAGTCAAAGTTGATAAGTAGGATTTCCTTAAAACAGAAAATGCATAAATATTTGTTCAATAAAATGATTGAAAAGAAAAATAATAATAATAATAATAAATAAATAAATTTATAAACAACAAAAAATGATAAAGGAATCAACCTTCCAACCATCCTTTTGGCGCATTGAATGCTCTAACATGATTATTAGGAAATTGTGTATGAGGTCTTCTATGTCTTCCAAGCTTGTAGAATTTGAATCTTTTATTGCACCCATCTGTAGGACCACGTGATACAATTAGAATATGTAAGAGAAGCATCCATCGCACCAAGTAAAAAGTTCTACAAATGAAAACCACTGTCACTGCCAAAAAGGAAAGCAACTTTCTTACCCTAACCAATGAAGTGTCATTTTTCTAACTGAAATTGTAAAAGGAGAACAAGAACAATTAAAATATTTCAGATTGAATGTAAATAACATTATAATAATTACCTCATAATTAGAAATAAGAACCTCCAAAATCCACTCAGGCCATTCCTCCATTTCAGTAAGACTACATCTATTTTCCGGATGACTGCAAGCCAAAAACAGAATATCCTGAAATCAAATAGAAGGAAAATATAAGATACCAAAATCAATTTCAGAAAGGACCAGAGTAAGGAACTCAGTAATCTGAAATAATAAACAAAGTAATGCTATTTACTACATCTGAAGTGCAAATGCAAGCCGTATGAAAACATAAAAAGTAGCATATCCCTATATAGATGACAACATAAATAACTTCTCTGCCCAAAGAGTGATCGAAGAACGTCAATTTTAAATCCTTATTCCACCTCCCCAACATTATGCCATGTCACTTTGCATCACATTAATGTAAAATGAATAACAGCATAACCCAGTATGGGACAATGTCATGTGACATTAATAAAGCATATCCGTTAAACAAAAAATATCTTTAATTCTTCATGAGAGGAATGCATTCCACAATCTCATATATAATTTCCTGCAAGGTTTATTTATATCTATCTATATATATGTCTAGAGAGAGAAAGAGAGGGATATATAAAATCTAACACAGCAGATGATATTGGGGACATTTAGCAATCTGAAATTCGCCGCAACATTCAGAATGCACACATGCAAATGTAACAAAGAATAAATAGAATATACCTATAATAAGGAAAGAATAGTCAGAAGATATTACCTGTAATGCTCGCCTTTGGAACGCCCTTGATGCATATGGAAGTGAACGCAGAAGAACCAACAAAACCTGTGAATGTTCAAAGCGATGACCAGAATCATAAATGTTGAGCCCATCATCTGTTGAAGAAGCATTTGTCTGAAACAGATAGGAGAAAGAAACATCTCAGGTTCTTGTAATCAACATATACATCTATATAGCTCTTAGTAACTACACAAAAAAAAAAAAAAAATAATAATAAAAGAGGGGGGGGGGGGGGGGGGGTGGTGGTGTAACGAATGCCAGGATTGCTTTACAAGAAATGACTATCTTCTGCTTAATGGTGAGTTCATACAAAAAAATTCTCCATTTAGTAGGTGAAGGAATCATTTGAGTGACATACAAAGTTTATCAATGGGGCCTTCAGCAAAACTCACAAAGATATCTGAATTGCATTATGTGATGGTTCTTAATATAGAAAAGAACAATTTTATTTCTATTATTACCAAATTGCAATTTCTAGCAAGATTCAATTTGAATCAAGTGAACCAGTATCGCAAAGGAGGAAGAACAGAAGTCACGTACCTCAGCTTCATAGTTTATTCATAACCCGAACTTTCAGTAAACAATATGTATTGAAGTATCATATAAAATTTTAATAAGAAAGCTGATGAATTGGTGTAACGTGAATGCAATGTCCATGCTTGCCATATTTTCTTTATCATAAAACAAATAACAATATAGCATTGTGTATACCAGGGTGCACTATCTCATTATTACCTCAAAAGGAACCAACCATCGCCCTCAACCCCATGGAACGAAAACCCGGGGAAAAGAAAATTCCACAAATAGAATCAACTAGTAGAAAAACATTCTGCAAATTTTATTATTGCATGGACTGGTAGAGATAGGTTGGATAAAGTATATATCATACCGAGGCATCCAATAAAGCCATGTAGACATTTCTAGTCATAAGCCTGTTTGGTGCTGCTTGGAAAGCCTTCTGTAAAGCAAAGAGTAGAAGAGAAACTTTATCATCAAACATGGTACCACCTCCCTCTAGCAAACCCAGAAGGTTGTTCGTTGGGTCTGGAGGAGCCTGTGAACCAATTTTCAAATGCCCAGATGTAACTAAAGCACCTAATAGACCAATAATCCGAAGAACAATACCATCGCCTTTGTCAACATTATAGACATTATTCCTTGCATTGTCAGCACTTATAGAAAACCTTATACCACCTAAATTTTTTATGAAAAGATGCTCAGAGGCAGACACCATCCTTCCAATATCTGCACCTGCTGAAATACCAACAGAGCTGCTACCGCTATTAAAAGACTCTGGTTCAAAATCCATTTCATGCGAAGTCAATTTCTTTTCCTCGAGGGATCGTACATCATCAAAATGATTACTTTCCAGAACACCACTACTATTGTCTGGTTCAGATCCCTGAATAGATAAAGTTTCATCATTCTCGATTGAACAGTTTGGGTTGTCATGATCTCCAGCTTTTGCTTCCCGCTGCAGCAGGACAAGAAGTGTTTCTATCCCACCACATGATACAAATGCCTCCGCAAATGTGTGAGCCCTAGATGTATTTGGCTGTACCACCAACCTGTAAATCAGGTGCAACAGTCTGGCAACCTGGAAGAAGACAAATTTAGGTATGGTTCAAAATAGAGTAGTCAGGCATTAGCTCACATCAGTCTTCAAATTAACATAATATTAACTATTAGTATTATTATTGAGATCATCAAATCCATATTGACAACTTGTGCATAACTGTGCCTGATCACTCTTAATTGCAGGGTGGGCAAGTGCATAGTGAGAAAAGCCAAAGAAATCTAAAACTCCTGCCAAAATAAAACTATTAAAAAGATGAGCAAATTACCGGTATTATTTCTGCGCGCACGCGCGTGTTTGTGTGTGTACTTAGATGAATTGGCCAGGTATTAAGAACCAAATAACCGTGTTATATATTTACATGTTCTGTATATTCTCCTTGATGGCATTCCATCTAAACATGTTAAACATTAAGGCCATTTTTAGTGTGTGCAATAATGGAATAAAACAGTTATGGAATGAGAATGGTGCAAGAATGGAATGATCATCCCAGTTCTACTGTTTGGTTGTAGACATGAAATAGTGCAAAAATGAAATAACTGTTCTCATTCCAGTGTTGTTTAAACCTGTTTACACGTTATGAAATAACTTTTAAATTAATTTATCTAAATACTTGTATATAGTAATAAATAAATCAAAGTAAAAATTTAAAAATATTTTTATAATTTTTAGATTAAAAATTCAGTATTAGGATAATGTTATAAGGAAAAATATATGGTATACACATTACAAGGTTTCATATGTTTCTTCTTCTTGTTGCGATTAATCATGCATACAAACCAGTTCCTCTTGTTGCTTCCATGAAGTCCAAGTTCTCACACGGTTTATATCACCCAAATCATACACACACACACACACACCACACACACACACACACATATATATATATCATATACCATGTGCAATTATGACAATCAAATCCCTCTTTCATGTGTACACTTGATAGAATATTATAATATCATCCAATACCAGATTCTTTTTAAGGGCATCTACCTCATAATTATACATGCACTAGTGAACTCTTTCAATCACCTATATTTATTATTTGGATCATTTATGTTGTTGATTAATGTGAGGAAGCTTTTAGCTGGATGATTAGGTACAATCCTTGATCACGTTGTCAAGACAATCAACGTCACCTCTAAGAAATAACGTATCTTGAAATCCTTTTGAAGAAATATGTTCTCTCCATGCAAGTCTGGGTGTAGACACACCTTGGCCTTTGGTTCTCCACGAAATATCTCCAAAGGGGCTCCTCTCCAGTTACATTTAATAGGAGGGATACTTCTCATACTTGAACCATGTAGCCAACTTCTGCATCATGAGAGCTTTCCTTTATTGTCAGTAGTTGCAGCTTGTGGAACTTTTCTAAGATTGCATAAATGCATCATCTTAACTTTGTAAACGGCTCAAGTTTGGAGCAGGACTTGAGGAGGCACACACTGCTCAAGAGCAGCTGATCCATCACAGTCCACCTTAAAATATGTGGATATGCCCCAGCTCAAAGGTATGTGACAGATTTGTCATAGCTCAGTTTGAGGTGTGCGGATATGGCATATACCCATTGGATAATAAAGGGTAGTAGCTTGGCTGCTAAGATTAAGGGATGTCAAAGTGATCTTTCCAAGAAGAACATTACACTTTGACCAAATCATGAGAGAGAGACAGATAGGACAGACAAACAGACAGACAGACAGAGAAATCATACGACTCACAGATGACAACTACGTCGCTTGCGCAAAGTCACCGACATGAGAATAGTCCTGCTGTCACATGGAGGCATCTCATTGAACTGTGGTGAGGTTTATAGAAGAAGTTTGGTATTATAGCCACCGGTAAAAGGCTATAACCAAAATCACCTACCCTATAGTCGAAATGTCATTTTAACAGAACAATCCAGTGCACATGGAGGCATCCTATGCATTAATGACCAGTCCAGATCACCATGGCGGTATGAGCACCTCTTCGTTCGTCATCAACTATAGATAGAGACAATAGACCTATCTCACACATGAAAGCAAGAGGAGAAATTGAATGATCATAAGATGGCAATATTATTACAACTTTCATTTGCAATGTTGAGTTTGTTTGCTGTTTCTTCATGAGACTCTGACTCTGTTAAGACTATTGATTTACACCACCATACTCTCTCTTTGTGTGTCTGTGTGTCTGTTGAGCTAGCTAAACTCCACTCTAATCGTTACTCTTTATTTTGCTGCTTACATAGATACCTTCATCTTTCCTTATTATTTGTGTTTTTTGCCCAAAATCTTCAGATGTTTTGTGACAATATCAGGCTAAAATTTTTTTTGTCTAGATGTGCTTTATAAAGTTCAGAAAGTTTTATAGAGTGAAGTGCAATAGGTAATGTAAGTATCACTTGCTAGTTAATAGGAATGCAGTCTACCGAGGACTGGAGAGTATAAATTTAACAACTAAACCTACAGCTGTTATGAGCAAGGCTCATAAGAAAACGGGTAAGTGATCCAGTGAAAAAAAGAATATGGTAATTTGTGTTAAATATGTTTTGCGGAAAGGAAGTATTCAGCTATAAGAAAATTATTACCTGTGCATGTAACATGTGGGAGAATATCTCCAAATATTATGCCCAATTCAGAAATGAATTTTCACTAGAATTTGGGGGAAAATATTAAGAGAAGCGACCCAAGTGTAACAACTAAAGCGGGATCTCTACAGACTTGGCTTCAGATGTAGTAAGTTGAGATGTAAATCGACATTTCATGGTTATAACAGATACATGTCTGTGATTATAACAAATCAGTATCTGTCATGACCCCATTATTTAAAATAAAAAATAAAAAAACTTTTAGAAGGAGAAAAGCTAAGCAACATTCATAATCATTCTTCAAATTCCACTTCTATGATAAGAAAAGAAGGGGATAGTGTTTGAACTTCTACAGCTAATTTCTGCTCAATTTTAGGGATAACAAAAACAAGTAGGTCAAGTAGCTTGTATTGCAGTTGGACAAGATTCTTGCAATTACAAAAACAAAACAAAACATTAATCTTGCAGTTGCAGTTGGACAATATTCTTGCAATTGCAATACATTTAGAGCTTTCGGTCATCTATTTGTTCATGGTCTTATTGTTAATCCCTAACGGATGGTTAGAGCTGTAAAGAATAAAAAATAGGTTTTCCTAGTATAAATTTGGACTCAATGAACTCATGGCACTGAAGACATGGACGGAAATGGGAGTTAAACTCTGAAAATTAATAACTTTATGCATATTACAGGCTTCATCAAAATTTTCCATTCCATAGAAGTGGTTTTGTTAAGAGGAGATAATCCTCCAATTTATTAGATTCAACTATCAGCATAGTTGCCACAACTCTGTGTTCAAAGTTTCGTTTTTTTTTTTTTTTTTTTTTTTTTTTTTTTTGGCAGAAATTTGGCCAAAGTGTGGTTAGGGATATTCCTGCTGCTAGAAATTCTACTTTGGACAGTTTGATTCTGAATGGATGATGGAATTTTGGGATTTTACAGGCTGAGGAACTCGAACCATTTAGGAGCTTTGTTCAGAATCTGCCACTTAAGACAGGTATGGACAGGTTACAATGGGATGGAGGCAAGTTCTCTTTCAAAAGGGCTTGGAATTGCTGCAGAGCTGCTAATGAGGAAGTTAGTCGGCATCAATTATGTTGGGGGAAGGCTAGACCAAGATGGTCTGTCAATGCTGTGTGTATGCTTCATGACAAACTACCTTCAATGACTAATTTACAGAAACGAAGGATTACTTTGGCCCCTAGGTGTTCTCTCTGCTGTAAAGCTGTAGACACTAGAGACCATATTTTTATTACCTGCCCCTTTGCTCAATTGTTTTGGACTTGGATTGGGGAGGTTTTACAATGGGATCTGGTACAATTTGATGCTGTGGTTGACACTGCTGGTTTGCTGTCTTGGTTCAACAGAGTGACTCAACATCCTAGAATTCTGAAGAGCTTATTACCTGCTGCACTTGGCAAGAAAGGAATGTTAGACTTCATGGTGGGCTGCAACAAGCACCAGAAGCTCTGGCTAGACAGATGCCTTTGGAGATTATGGATATTCACAAATTATGCCTTAATGATCTCAATCTTTAGGACTTCTTTTCAGTTTTTGATTCGTATTGGAAATGGGCCTTCTCCATTTGGATAGGCTGTGTTTGTCTCTGAGGGTATGCCCTCTGTGCTCCTGTATTTCACTCTCATCTTTTTATACAACTCCAACACCAACTATGAAAAAAAAAAAAGAGTTTGGTTTTTTCTTTTCTCCCTTTTTTCTTTTTTGTTTTTTTCTTTTGACCAGATGGGTGTTCCCACAAGTTTTGGTGGGACTATTTCCCTTCAGACACCTGGTAGGTCCAATGCCCTGCACCAGTTTTAATGGAGGGAGAACATGTGAAGCTGGTCTCAAGGGAGGGGAACAGAAACCAAGACCTCTGCCTTGCCAGGCATGCTTCAAAACCAATTATTCTCCCCTTGGGCTCTGTTTTCAAAGTATTTAATGATTAGAAACAACCTCTTTTGCAATATTAAATTTATTTTCCATTTTCCTCTTCCTTATTAATGCACACACGTGACACGTGACAATGCAATACTTAATCCTTCTTCTGTTCTCTGTTTCAAATAACATACATTTTATACATCATTTTTTTATTATTTTTCATAAATTACATTTATGTGTCAAAGTCAATCCAATATATTTTAACTGTCATTCACAAATTAGATCGTAAGTTTTGATGAGTCTTATCATAATTGTAAGGGAGAAAAAAAAAAATGAAGGTTAACAAGCCAAAGGTAACACTCTTTTTAAACAAGCAATAGTAACTCTGCAATTATTGTCAAAACCTATTAAAAAAAATAATAATTTAAGGCAATAATAGAAAACATACTGTCATCACTATGAAACAATACATATTCATACAAGTTCTGCATACTATATAAAAGTCATTCTCATTACTAAGCAGTAACTTGTTTTGCACCATAAATGAGATAAATAAACATACAACTATATGACATGCATACTAGACCAATGAAAGAACATTTAAGAAGCAATTAAATATAAATTTTAAATTACAGAAGATGAAATAAAATGGGTGCAACCAATTTATTTTATTCTGTTAAAAAATATGTATATGTTCTACAATGTAATATTACCTGATTTGGTTGTGGACAGTCCACCATGAACCCAAGTAAACAACGGATATCGTTCTCAGCCAATGAAGGAGAAGCTGCTACAACAAGGAGCTCAATAACCACTAAGAGTTCATCAACCAAAGCATTCGTTTCACCAACAGGACGTGTTGCCTCATTCAGAGAAAATGTTTTCACTGAATCATCTTCATGAATAGTCCAGTAGCATCTCCTGCAGCCATCAAGAAGCATCTGAATAGCATTAGCATCTCGCATTACAGATGACTCTGTGAAAACCATATCTGCAAGTGATGATAAAAGCTTCTTTTGCAGTCCATAGTTGCACAAGCTCCAAATTTTCAGATCCAGCAGCAGTGTACTGAAAAGCTGCACTTTGAGAGCATGGTTATTTTTCTGAGATTGGCATAAAGAGACAATTGCTGCAACAAGTTCCTCATCTCCTACTCCGTCACGGCTTCCAACATCAAGCAAAGACAAAGTTTGCAGAAGATAAGTTAAGATTCTTGACAACACCTCAGGTCCTCTTGTACGGCACAATTCTTCAATGTTTCTATGGTGTTGAATGGCCATGGAAATAATTCTAAATACCGGACCAGCAAGAGAAGTTGTGGCCAAAGACAAAGAAAGATTCCCTGGTTGTGGTTCCAGGCTATTTTCATGCACATTACTCACTACCAGTGGAAGTAAAGACATGGGGCCTCCATAGGCCAAGGCCCACAGAGCCTCCAAGGGTCGCATTCTTGTAGCAACATGAACTTGCCCAAGAACCTCAGCAGGTCTTCGAAGCATGCCTGAAACATACAAAGATACTATTAAGGATATGCAACCCTTCATCAAGTTCTTCATGTCATGATCACATAGTAGAGAAATAGTAACAAATCTACCAGGTGCGTGCAAGAGTTGAAACTGGAGTTCAAGACTTCAATTCAAATTTATATCATTATCATCATAGAAAAACAACTCAAACCCATTTGACAAATCTTCAAGAACATAATTTTATTCACTTGAAGCAGGCAACCTGAGTATTTTCATTAAAAATATAAAAACAAAAAATAGAAAAAATAACATAAAATTGGTTTGAAATAGCTTGGAGTTTTGATCATTAAAAAGGGATTTTAGCAGGAAGAGAAGAATAAGAAGATAGATAATAAAAAAATTAATAATAAAGAAAGAAAGAACAAACACAAGAAAAAGAAAGAGAAATGGTACTTTTTTCATTTAGCTTCTCAATCTACTTTTGGGAGTTGTAGCCAAAAAGAAAAATAACTAAAACCAAGAATTTCAGTCAAAATGATATCTCAACTATATTCATCAGAATCTACCTCCAGATAATCACAATTAAGTAGCAATGTTCTCAGAAATAATATACCATACTCGAAGTGCATAAAATTAAATTTAGAATATTAAGTTTTGCTAGAAAATGTGAAAAATAATAATAATAATAATAAATAAATGATTCTAAAACCTGCAGCACCACTAGGGGAAGCATCAGGACAATAACGCCCGGTAAGCAACATGGGATGATAGAGAAGGTGAATGCTTTCTCCAATTTCGGCATCCAAAAGTGCACTTTCTTCTGCCATACTTCGCACACGGTCATTTTTTGCGAGCCATGGTAACCCCGCCCCATTACCAAAAGAAGGCAGCACATCCCCTCCTCTAGAAGCCAAACAAGCCATCCTCTCCGGGCCAATCGGCTCCCTAAAGATATATACGGGTCCCATCTCAGCAAACAAAGGGCAGTTACGATGACGGCGTTGTAAACCAGCCACTGTAGGTGGAGGACTAGTCCCGATGCAACAAAATGCAAGCGGCTTGGAAATTTTTGGGAAATCAAAAGGACAACTTTCATACAAGGACCCATCAACGTATAACCTTAGCTCGCTCTCTGCTTTCCCAAGTATCCCTTGCTTGGAAGTATGCTCCACACCAACAAAATACCAACATTGGGGCTTGAATGCATGAGTAAAATGCAAGGAAGCCTTTTTCCCTTTGCCGCTTCCACTTTCAACCACTAAAAATTGAGCATGAAAATATGCCTCCATCCCCTGATTATCAGCAGATAAGAAGCTGAACAGCCGTGGCATGTGTGCTGTGCCTTCACCAGAAAGTACGCTGGTGGCAGAAGCAGCCGACATGGTTGATGATTTCCCTGATTGGGCTGCAGTGGCAGCAGCTATTGCAGCAGCAGTGGATGAACTGTTTAAAGTGTCTGCAAAAGATTCAATGTAGATCCAAGTTGCAAAAGAGTATCCATTAGTGAACGGCCAACGGCTCTCTCCTGGACCAAGCAAACCAGAGCTTTCCCCATCAAATTCAAATGTACACGCTGGACCCCTTGATTCCTTTCCACCCATGGCCTTTTCCAAAGCAAGCATCAAACGAGCTGCCCATACACTGGTAAGTGTTTTTGTGATGACTTGAAACCAGCTACGGAGATCAATTACATTAAGCGAATGGCCTGCTAAGTACTGGATGCAATAGCATAAAGGTGTTCCGTCCCATCTCAATTGCTCTGTTGAATTAACATCCTTAACAAAAATCTTCTCAGCTGACCGCAAAAGAACACCCACCAAACCAGCTGTAGAGCACATGGCTCTATTTCTTGTGCAAGCACGCAATATAGCAAGCAATCCTCTGACCATCCGAGTTCTGGGAGACATGAGACCCTCAACATCCCCCAAACAAGGAAGCCAAGGAATAAGCTCACCAGCTACAATAGCGGCCCTGGAGTTCAGCATCACACTAGGAGGATTGTTATCCTCATCCTCTTCAAAAGATTCAACACCTCCCATTGTGGCAAGAAGTGAATCAACTACTAAGAAAGAAATACTCTCGGCCTCCTCTCCATTTCCAAAAATCTCAGCACCACTTACAATATTCTTCAGTTTGTCCAAGCTTTCAGGCTTCCCCATAATAGCAGAATCCACTAAATGCAAGAGTTCTGGGGACACATTTGGCATAATAGGTTTTGGCCTAGGCTTTTCTGGCGAACCAACAGGAGAGAATGATTCTCTCTCACACCCAGGGCTTAAATTATGGTGATCATGGTGCACCTCAGCAACTGAGGAAGAATCAAACTTTGAAGTTAAATTATCTGAACTAAAACATTTATTTACATCTATATTACCACCCTGAAAATCTACAACATTCTTCTCTTGATCCTTCAAAGATACCTGCTCAAACTGATTGTCATCCACAGCTATAGTTACATTATCAACCCCTTGCAAAACTATATTATCACTTACTATAATATCTGTGCCACCACCGCTAATATCGACATACTGTGTATTAGATGCTCCTACACTTCCATCTAAACCACTGCATTCTTTGTGAATATCAAAATCCTTCCCAGAAATTTTTCCACGTTCTTGCTTTTCTTCTTCTTCCATTATATTATTGCTATTAACTTGATCTAGTCAATCCTTATCCAAACTATTACAAGCTAATCTACCTGCAAAGATTAAAACCATGAAAACTGAAGATTGGGGAAAGCAATTCAAACACAATCATATAGAACAATATATGAAAAATGAAAATCCGTAACCAAATTGAAATTAAACAATCCAGAAATCAAATGTAGTTTTTAGCTCAAACATGATCAGACAAGCAATTTGGGTATGCAGAACACAGACCCGTGACTAAAGAACTGAATTAATGAGCTAACACAATAGTTTAGCATTTACTCTCCATGTTGCTGCTAAGAAAGCCCACAGAAAATTAAAAACAAAAAGATATTTCGTTTCCCAGATCTCCCATTATACCTTTCAAATCAAACTCAGAGCAATGTACATATTCTTTTAATTCATTACCACTTTATAGATCAATGTTCTAAAATTGGACAATTAACCATTGCATCAGATCAATCAAGAATGCAATTTATGAATGGAATATATATATACATACATATATGTAGAGAGAGTAAGAGAGAGAGATAAATGCAGATGTGAAAAAAGGAGCGGATCAGAGAAAGATCACAGAAAGAAACAATGAAAAAAAGAAAGAAAAGAAAAATGAAGAGATTGTAACTGTTACCTTTGGATTGGATTGGATCGGAAAAAATGCATGTTTTGGTTTGTTAGGTGGTGATGAGATTTTCAGTGATTGAAATGAAGTGAGTTAGGAGAGAGAATCAAATGATCAGATGGAGAGAGAGAGAAGTGGAGGTAGGGGGATGAATCGAAAGAGAAGCCGAGTTGAGCGCGCGAAGGAAGGCCAAGCACAAATAGGCCTACATGGGCTTTTTTTTCCAACTTCTTCGGATGTCCCCAAATGGACAGGCCCCTTCTGGGTGGTCCAGTCAAAAACCCAATGGGTTAACATGCTGTCTCCTTCTACTATACAATGATCTCCTATCAAATATGTCACAGCTACAAAACATCCACTAAATTCAACTTAGGTCTCGTTTGACTTTCAAGATTTTACAAGAGCTCAAGAGATTTTTTTTTAAGCTTCAGTTACATTCCCATTTTGTGCATACCCTGATATAATTGCATTCCATGAAACAATGGTTTTATCTTGCTAAGCTCTCAAATATTCCAGCAGCAACATCAACTCTCTTACACAAAATCACCCATATCAGGTCAGGCATGTAGAGCTGCCATAACAGTGGCATTAGTAGGTTTTAGTCATTCTTCCAACATTCCTCTTAATCAATCATGGAATTCCAAGAAAACATTATTATATATTACCCGAGCAGTCCCCGACTCCCCACTGACCCACACTTCGAACGCATGTTGAGCAAAGCCGTTGATGCATTTACAAGTGATTCGAACCCAACTCTTACAACATAACCGTGAATCAATTGTTCCAATCTTCACGGACCCAGTATCATCAGAGAGGCTAAATGGTGACTATTGTAACCGAATCAGGACAATGGCCTTCCTCTTGCATCCGTAAAACCAATTCCAACGCTCTCTCCGCAAACCCGTTTGCGTATACCCAGCAATGATAGTGTTCCAACATACCAAATTCTTTTCGGGCATTCTATCGAACATCTTATTTGCTTCATCAACCATTCTACACTGAGCATACAAGTTTAACACACCATTCATCGCGAACACATTCGATGCATACCCATTAACGATCAATTGAGAATGAATCTCCTTACCCCTTCTATCGTCCAAATTATCACCACAAACTTTCAACAAATAAGTAAAATTGTATACAACAGTTTGAACACTATCATACATCATTCGACAGAAGAACGACAAAGAAGACACGATCAGCTTCGTGTAAACTACCAAATTTGCAGAACAAATTGACGAGCTTGGTCTGGAACAAACTGACTCTTCTTCCCTCTCTCTAACTCCACATAAAGCAGAGTATGGTCTCAAACTCTCAGGTTGCTTTAAGAACAGATTTGCTGTTAGGCGAGAGAATCCCTGAATCTCAGCCCTTCTCGCCGGCGGTGGAGCGATGGAGCTTGAACGAGGTCTCTGCAAGGCAAAGGTACAAGGGTAGAGGTCTTTTGCTTCGACCGGGAACTAATGAGTAATGAAACGGTATTATAGAGAAATTATGAAAAGTTTTATTAAACTCAACAGTTTCTGTGTTCCTCAAAACGCTCTTCAAGAGCTTGAAGCCCTCTTGATATTGTAATCCAAACATGAAAAAAAAAAATTAAATAAATAAAAAAATATGGGCATGTTTTGTTTGGAATTTTAAAAATAATTTTTAAAAATTTAGATGACACAAAATAGTTTTCACAGAACAAAAATAGATAGTTCTCTAAAAATAAATTTTTTTATAATTGAATTTTTAAAAAATAGAACTAAACAGAATAGTTTTTATACAATTTTCACTTTTTGAAAAACACAAAAAGTTTCAAACCAAACAGGCCCTAACTTCCAAACTCTAACAAGCCAAAAGTGGCTTTCTAAAAGCCATTCCAAACAGAATCTTAATCCTTTTTATCAAATTACTGGTGTTAATGAAACTTATCAATTAAAATTTTTTTTTTTCTTTGTTTTTTTTGGCCTTAAGCTATTTTAATAATCTTTAATCCAGACTAAAATAAGAATCGGTAATACATCGCAAACTTGAAATTTCAAAATTCTAAATTGCTAACGTTCAACAGAAATCTCGGCGGACTGGTATTGAATTAATGGAGAAGTAATTTGTTGCATATTATGTAGTACCTATCTTTGTGTAATTTGCAAACAAGAATTATACTCCCACAAATTTGAGCTCACCACTGTACATGGCATTTTTCCAAAGAAAGATTGTCAAGCAACAGCCGTACCATTGAGACAACAACATCCATGCCTCGCCAACGTGTGGATATTGTCGAATCCCAAGAAACTTTGACAGAAAAGCATATTCTTCCATGTTGGATTTACTCAGATAACCCACTGTCATTACATTAAACAATAACAAAGGAAACGACGATATTCCTCCATTTAGGAAGACTATGCCACAAGCCCTGGCCACAATGACCCACAGTCTTTTATGTTTAGGTGATCAGGGAATATGCAAAAATTTATATTAACAGCCACAAGTGGCTATCGTCGAATGCCCTTCTATGGTAAACCAAAACTTAACTTTTACATTAGAGTAATGAGCAATGATCCAATTGACGACATCTAACTAGTCAGGTGTCTCACAAGAGACTACAGCTATTGTGATAGGGTCCATGGGTCTAAGACACCAAACTAGTTGAGTGTTGTCACTATTTGAATTTCCCTTTACATAATTACTACCGAACTGTTTCTTGAAACATATCCACTGAAGTGTATGGCATGCCACTATTTGAACTTATTTGGTCCAACTCTGTACATTCCATCCTAACCCCAGAGAGTTTAAGCACAAAAAGGTTATCTCAGAACAGGGAGTTAAGCATTACTAACATCAACATCGTCGATATCCACACCAACCACAGAATCAAGAGTTGACACCCATGTCTGCAACCCAGCCTTAGTGTCCTTCTTTCTTGTTGCTTCTAGCTTGCCAACAGCTTGCTTTGGAACTCCACATTTCACTAAAACAACTCCAAGTGATTTAAATGTAGAATCATCAGGTTGAATGGTGGAACTCATCATCTCTTTAAAAGTTCCCACGGCTTCCCTGAATCTCCCATATAAAGCATACAACCCAAGCACATGATTATAACTCAACAAATCAGTCAGAAGCCCCAGTTCTTTCATCTTTTGTGCAATATGAACAGCTTCCTTAAACATCCCTATTCTCTTGTACATGCACAACATCATCGCATATGAAAACTCATTTGCATCCCCTTTTCTCTTCAGGTTCTCAAAAATATTTTCTGCTTCTTTAACCATAGATCTCTCAGTGTAGAGATCTATCATACAGTTTGAAGAATATAGGTCAGGACCCATCTCAAATGCCTGAAGCATTTTGTATGTTTCCTGTGCTTCGTTCAAGTATCCAACTTTAGTGTAAAGCTTGATCAAGGAGTTATATATAACAGCATTCATGGATATACCTGCATCTCTCATTGCATCAACATATCTTAAAGCTTCTTTAACGCATCCAATATCAGCAAATGCATTTATCAGTACACCGAAAACAACAACATCAGGCTGTACATTAAATCTTACCATCTCTGTAAACACTCCCTCTGCCATGTCCAACTGACCTAACTTCACAAAGCTTGAGATCACGGCACAATATGGGATGCAATCACTAACCAATCCTGCCTCCTGCATTTTCCTCACATAGGGCAATGCTAAATGTGGCAGCTCAGCAGTAGCTAGCAATTGGATGAGAGAATTATAACTACACTTGTCTGGAACTACATCATGTTTCTCCATATTATCAAATAACTGACATGCCTTTTCATATCTCTTGCTGATCCCATAAGCTTTGACCATCACATTGAACTCAACGACAGTCAGCTTTTTACCTTCTTGGCAACTGATGAAAACTTTCTCAGCTTCCAACACATGCCCACGCTCCCCAAATGCATCAATATTGGCAGAGTAGCACTCGGAACTCATATTCCCTTCAAGATGAAACCTCTTGAACCATAACCATGACTTCTCAAGCATTCCAGCTTCTATATACATTCTGGTCAGAGCTGATTGGGTGAATTCATCAATCTCAAGACCCCTTCTATCCATCTCTGAAACGAGCTCTTCTGCTTCACAAACCATATGCCTTATCGAGAACGCATACAAGAGGGTGCGGTAACTCACAAGGTCTGGCTCAAGAGAAGCCTCCTTCATCTCAGTCAAATATTTTGCTGCCATTTTAATATCATCATGTTTAGCATGAAGGGAAATAAGAATATTATATGTTCTTGTATCAGGTGCACAGCGAAGCTCTTCCATTTTATGCATTAGTGAAACCACTTCCTCTAGCTGGCCATAATTACCACAAATGTGAATCATTGTATTGAAAGTCACAGTGTTTGGCACAATCCCATCCCTTAGCATCCTTGAAAAAGTTTCAGATGCTTCTTTAAGTTGACCAGCCTTTCCAAATGTATCAATCAGGGTATTATATGTGTATGAGCTTAAATGAACATGTGGTTGAGAATCACCATTGACAATGACAGATGTTGTTGGTGTAATAGTTCTGCCATCACCAGTTGAAGATATACCAGAGGACCACTTCTTGAAAAACTGCTCGGCCTTCTCAAATTCCCCTGCTTTCTTGTACGTTTGAACAACAATCCCCATAGTCACCTCGTCAGGTTCCATCCCCTGTTTGTTCATCAATTCCAACCAATGAAGTGCAGCCTCCTTAAGCCCACCTTTACTATATACATCAATTAGTGTACCATAAGTCGAATTTATTGGCACAATACTTCTTTTCCCCATCTCATCCCACAAACTCTCAACTAAGCCCCATCTTCGTGCTTTCCCTAGAATCCTTAGCATTATATTGTAATGAATCACATTCAATTCATAGCAACCTTTTCTCTTAAACCACTCAAAAATCTGCAAAGCACGTTCCCAACTCGATTGCTCCTTCAAGATTATACTCCTCTCCTTGTTAGTAAGACTCTCTTCCCAGGGCCTCAAAGCCTCATCCAAATCACTAACTGTTTCCAATGCCTCCAATATAGCCGGAACGCACCCTCCGTATCTTACCCATTTCATCGAACACTTGGTATGCACCTTCCCCATCACACCATTCCGATTCCCTGGTCCAATTTTTTCCACAAAATCCCTCTTCTTTTCGATTCCACCATTACCCCAAATATTTCTTCCGTGTTCTCTAGATGGGATCTTGACCAAACCATGTTGGTCAGAATCAGATTTGTGAATTCTGTCATGGGGTTGTCTGTAAACTTTACCGAATCTCTTGACACCTCCATTGGGAGTCTCGAGAACTTGCTGGGCTTTGTTTTTCTTGATGGGTTCAACTTTGTCCGGTGGGGACAGAGTCACTCCTATGTTGGTGGTGGTTTTCATGGAACTCAATGCATGGAAGCAGTTGGTATCTATTTGTTGAAGTTTCACAAACATTTTTCTTCTTCTTTTCACAAATAGATAAATGTAACCTCTTTATTAGGGAATCGAAAGTCGATTTGGAATGTTGATTATGCCGATGAAGAAGAACCGAAGAAGATAAGCAGAATAGAGAGAAACCTTCAAATGCAAAATCCTCGCTCTACAAGAGCAAGACCTTATAACTGTTACAAGCTATGGGTTTCAATGTCTTCTACGAAATTATCCCTTAAAAAGCTTGTGAATTGATTGAAATGTTTAGAAGAAGATAACCTTCGGGGATGTTACTGGTGCGAAGGCTTATTTGATTGAAATGTTTAGAAGAAGATAACCGTTTGGGGGTTGTAAATCGAACCCTCGTCTTACTAACATTACAAAAGGGACCTTACGGTCACGGGATCACATTTTTCGGCGCCTAGAAGATAAAATTACCAAAATACTCCCACTTATATTTTATATAAAAATTATAAAATATAAAAAATGTGCAATATTCATAATACTAACTAATGGTTCAGAAGATTTTTTTGCAATTTCGCCTAATAATATTAAATAATATCAATAATAATAATAATATTATTATTATTAATATTAGTAGTAGTAATACTAATAATAATACTAATAATAACAATAATAGTAGTAGTAGTATTAATCATAATAATAGTATTAATAATAGTAAAATAACAAAAATAAATTACTTAATTGCAAGATATGTAAATCACCTTTTAGCCCATGCGAATTAACAATAAGAATAATAATAATAACAATAACAATAATAATAACTAATAATAATAGTACTAGTCGTGGCAGTAGTAATAGAAATAAAAATTTAAAATAATAACAAAAATAAATTGCTTAATAGATTCATATACCTATAAATAATTTTTGCAAGTTCATAAATTATCAAAAAAGAAACAAATAAATAAATTGAAAAAATGATAATAGTAAACATATATGTACATACACACGTATATATGAAAATAATTTTTAAAGTGAAATATTAGGCAAATTTTCATTTGTTTTGAAATATCTTCCTTGAAAAATACTTTTTATATAAAACTTTTTGAGATAAAATATATCTTTTTAATTTTATTTTTTAGTGTTTGGCAAAGGTCCTAAAAAATTTTTTAGAACAAAAGCACAATTTATTTTGTAGTTAAATTTTGGTAAATTATTTTACTCAAAAAATATTTTACTTAAATTTTAGACAACCAAATACCAGAAAATAAAAAAAATATTTTCCATCCAAACAAATGAAGCCCAAAACAATGGTAAATAAATAGAATATTAATGAGCTAATGTAACGCGTGGATTCCATGTGAATTCGTAATCTATCTATTGATCACTTTTTTTTTTGCATCGGTTAATTTGGTATTTACTCGCGTACGTACATATATATAATTAATGAAATTAAATGTTCCTGCTATACTTTTTGTTTTTGGCGCACGGGTAATTCATTCCAGATATTACTATTATTTACTCCCATAAAATACAAATATTACTATTACATGGTCAACTCAACTAGCACTTCATTTATTTTATTTTATTTACTTTTTGATAATTTATGAGCTTGCAAAAATTATTTAAAGGTATATGGATTTATTAGGTAACTAATCAAGCAATTTATTTTTGCTATTATTTTAAATTTTTAGTATTATTACTACTACCACTACTAGTACTATTATTCTTATTGTTATTATTATTATTCTTATTGTTAATTGGCAGGGGTTAAAAATGATTCACATATCTTGCAACTAAGCAATTTATTTATGTTATTTTACTATTATTATTATTATTATTACTTTTATTGTTATTTTTATTATTATTAGTATTACTACTACTAATATTATTAGTTATTAGCAATATTATTATTATTGATATTGTTTATTATTATTAGGCAAAAAAAAAAAAAAAAAACCTGAACTATTGTTTAGTTGTTGCAATATGGTCCCTGAAGGGTATTATGGGTATTGTACATTTATGATATTTTACCATTTTTATATAAATTAATAATTGAGGGTATTTTGGTAATTTTGACCCTCTGGGTGCCGAAAAATGTGGTCCGGTAACCGAAAGGCTCTATTTTGCAATGCTGGTATAAATGAAGGTTCGATTTGTAATTCCAGATAGTTCAGGGGTATTTTTTATTTTTGGTGATAGTTCAAGAATTTTTTCATACTTTTGCCTTTTATTTATTTATTTTGGCCATATATGTCCATCTCAAAATAGGTTCTCTTCATGCATTTAAATTTGTGAAAAAATATTATTAGTATTTTATAAATTTTGGGTTAATGTGTGAAAAGTTTGTGAAATCCGTTAAAACACTTTGGAATAATTTTTCTTTAAATTTGGCCGTTAATTTGTGATATTTTGCTGTTAATTTGTGAAATCCTAATCTAACAACTTTTTCTTTCCATCACTATTGATCAAATTTTGGGAATTATGTTAGTAATAACTTTTCATAAATTTCAAACACTTTTAAACAGTTAGACCTGTTTATCAAATGATTTTTGAAAAATTGAAAGGATTATTTGATAAAAATAATAGTTTAGAGGCGCTTTCAAAAATTTTGGAATATATAAAAGAATTTTAGTGCAATTTTTCCCTTCTTTGTCTTTCCATCAACACTGCTCAATTAAAAAAGGCTTTCTCTAACCTTTCTCACCACAACAAATCCCTTCTTCCAGTCTATTTTTCTCCCGCTCCCTTTCATAAGAGTGGGGAGGTGTTATTTTTGCCTCCCACATTTTTAACAAACTCAGTGTGTGTCAAGAAGTTCACTCTGTGAATGTTTTTCATGCTGTTTTTGCTTTTGTTCAACTAGATCAGTTTATGTTTGGCTTGTTTCCAGCTAGTATGGGTGGATGTGTTGTTTTCTCTCCGGCTAGATCTCTGATCTATATCGGTTTTGGTTGTTCTCGACTTGATATGTTATTTTTCACTTGATATGATCTTGTGCGGATTTGGGTGATTTTTCTCCATGGAGGCACCTTGTAGTTGTAACTTTGGTGTTGGTACCTTGATGATGGTTAGGCCTTTATGTCTTTCATATTGTTGCTCTTCTTTCTTGGTGGTTTTCGTTCTTGAGTTTTGGCTCTTGTTTGTCAATAAATTTGAAACATGTTTTTCATTTTTTCTTATTTTACTTCAAGATTTGCATACTTTTATTTGACTTAGCTTTTTTCTACAGTCATTGATGACTTAGCCTTTGTACAATTGTACCTTTGCAATAATAAAAAAAATCTAAGCTACTCATGATAACATGAAATTAGGTAAAGTTATTAAAAGAAAAAAGAAAATTTAATGGGTATCGTGAAAAAGAAAAGAATCACGACAGAGCATCATTTTTGTTAAAGTAAATAGAAGAAAGAGTTTTAAATTAAATAAGAACATTTAAAATTTTCTACGTTATATTTCAAATGTTACCATGGCGACCTTTTCAATTGTGTGTGCAGACACAATTGTCACAGTTCAATCTCATATAAAGATTGCTGGAAATGGAACATCATATATATGTGGAGGTTCTCAGAAAATTGATCAAGATAATTATAAAAAATGCTATTGTTAGAACTACACAAGTGTTGACATATTATGTCAACAAAATCTTTGTAATTTTAATAATTTTTTACATATTTTTATTTGCTAGTGAAACTACCCGATCGTAAACATTTTTGAAACACCGACAAACACCATAGAGAAATCCATTTAAAACGCAATATAAATATAATTTTTATTTTTATATTACTCCCAAGAAGATTAAAGAACTTGTGACTTTTCTCTGTCCATCATTAGCTTTGAAATTAAGCTGTCCCAAAGAAGTTGACCCATTTGGCAAGTGACTACCAAAACTAACAAGAAATTGACATACGAGAGGGTTATATCTTAATGGGATGGGTAACAAATATTGTTCTTTTAAGACCACCAAAACTATCAAATTAAAGTACATTAGCTTAATATTTTTAAGATTCATTACATATATTTACCCGGGAAAAAAAAAATTCATTACATATTTTAACTTCATATCTTCACAACTAAATTCCACATGGATCCTATGGTATCATTAACACTAGGCAATTAAATTCCAAAAGAATGATTCTATTTACTACTTATTTAGAAAATACATATACTGTTTGTTATTTATTTATTTATTGTTTAAATTTATGTATGTATGGAACAAATTTTGATGCAATTGTAAAATTTTGAATAGTCAAGTACATTATCCTTCGAGTCTGAACACAGTTACTCTGTACAATAATGCAATATTAATGTCAACATGCATATATATATCAACCTTCCAACACTTGATCATTAACCAAATTTTTTTTTTAATCCCAATAAAGCAAAATGACCATCCAATGTAAATAAAATGCCAAGGAAATGTTACAATTAATTCACATACATCACTTTAATTGAACAGTACATATCAACAACCCATATATATATTAATTAACACAGATGAACTGAAAGAATAAATTTAATTTCAATAGAGTACAAGTTATAACAACATTTGCATAGGTTGTACAAAACCATCTTTTACTTTTAGATGGCCCTCCCAAGAAAGAGAGAGATCTAGCTAGAGAGAGTTAAAATCAGAGTATAAATCTCCATTTGGAGCTGATTTCAGTTTTTATACAGAACTAATTAAAACCCTTATATATATATATATATATAGACTCCCGGAAAGATCAAGAAATACTACTTGTATCTTTTTTGTGACTATCTTAGCTTAGTTTAGAGGTTGCCGCAAAGTTGACCATAAGGTCAGGAAAGGCGGGCGGTGCATGAGCAACATGGCCGGCAAAGTTGATTTCATTAGTAGCCAACGTGCACCGTCCTCGGCCTCCTCCGCCGGGAATGTACGTGCATGGACTGCTACCTGAGGGTGGCACAGGACCTCTCCGGAGGGACTGAACTTGAACATGACCTTTCTTCAACCATTGATCTCCCTCTAGTGGCCTCATTGCCAAGAGTTGTTGAAAACCCAATACAAAAAAGATTGTAAAAATGAATATTTTCATGCCAGACTTATTTTTATGAATACCCATTTGTGAAATGAAAGGGCTCAAAACTGATCAAAAGTCTTGGTTTGTGGTTTGGTACACTCGTGTCTCGTGTATGAGGAGCTAGCAGATGTGTGTGAGAGCTTGTGAAGAGAAGAGAGAGTTGGAATGGTAATGAGAATAATGGATAGGTCACACAGTCGCATATATATACACACACACACATACATATATAGAAGCAAGTTTGATTTGTAGTAAATTAAATTTGTGGGCGTTGACTGTGGAGCCGCGTTTTGTTTGAAGTCTGACAAGAAACAGGGGACTTTGAACGCCAAACATTTATATATTATTAGAGATCCATTAACGTGGAAC